TATTCCAATGAATAAGTTCTATTTCCGCAAAATAGCAAACCTTGCTGAATAGGGAACTTGGGATAGGCATCCCATGTATATATGCAATATTAATATAGTTAATATTAATTATTTAATAATCGACTCTCATTTATTTATAATTTACCTTACAAGTTGTAATAACTGTATCATATTTAATTAGATTATGTTATTGAATCGACGACTTTAAAACTATTTTTTTTTATCATTACAATGAGCAGTTAATTCGTCCTTAGTCTTAGAAAATACTTGCTTAATTTATGTAATAATTATTTAACTTTAAGTATGAAAAGTGCGTATTCCTGTTTAGTTCTAATATGCATCCACGGTAAATTCAGTAATGTGAGCCAGAGAAGAAAGCAATGTCACAGTATGATGCCGCGCACGCTCGTGAGATTGTGATCTGCCTATCTGCGTTTTGTGCTGAAGCGTTCACTGCGTGTTACGCACCTCTCAAGCAGGCGCAACCCATGATGTAGCCCATCATAGATAGACGCGGCGCAGGTGGAGGCGGTGGCGGCGGTAGCGGCGGCACGCGCCTGCCGCGATGTGGCGCTCGCGACACCGCGCCCACGATTATCCACCACCCTTAACTTTACCACACCCGCACATCCTGGTCTAACCACCAAGTTGATTCACCACCTTTATAGTTAATTATCAGCAGTAAACTTTACATTTTTTATTAGGATGGCGAAGAGTACTAACAGATTAATATTGTGTTTGTAATAACAAAAAGTAGATTTTTTGCCAAAAACCTGCTGGTTGCATTTATTATGTTGTCGCGTGAGGGTATGTTACTTAATGGGGTGGCACGTAAATAGGTCACCTTTTTTTTTCAATTATCAGTCCCATTAGTTGGTCACAGTAAAGTAATGGATGTATAGTTTAGTTGGAACTGTACGAGCGGCTGGGGAGCACAGCCGGTGCAGCGACCGCGATCGCGTGCTGGCGGCCGATGTGGATCGATAGCATCCGCAGGTTCGCGCCTTGCTACCAAGTGAGTTGCCACCGCACACAAATGAATCGCGACCAGAATAATATTGTAATAATGTAACGTTTTATGGAGGACCAACAAATCCGTTACCAAATTCTAAATTAATCTAATTATTGCCGTGTGTACATTACAAAAGTAAACCAGTAATGGAACAGTTAATACACGGTTTTATAAAATAAACAATTTCCCAAACGTACCTAATATTAAAGTATGATGTTATGTATGCAATAGACTTGGAAATAAAGATATACTAATTATAATCGTATACTTTCTTTACGGAATTTATAGTTCTTATTATAACTTACATATAAAAAAGTAAGATTGTATATAATACTACCTACAATATCTATTATTCAAGAAACCGCAATTATGAATAATGGTTTTCCAATTATATCAAACCAAACTTATATGCAGGTGATTAAAAACAAGCACTTCACAAGTAGGTTATGGGGCACCTGATGTAATTTCCACCAATTCAATGTTGGAGATGAAGAACTGAATAATTAGGAGGGGGTAAAGAATTTGGCGGCATGAAATGGGATAATAATGTCAAACAAGTGATTTGACAGGTAGAATTTCTATGTAAGCCGGTGATCGAGTGAGGTTAGGGAAGGCGGGCGCGAGGGTCGGTTTGTGGCAGGTCGCGGGCCGGCGGCGGGCCGGGCGGGCGCGGGTGCGGGCGGGCCGACACTGAGGCGCGCGCCGCGAGACCGCACTCCGCGCATCCCCGCACTTCAACCCCGAATCTAGCCCCCACGGTTACCCCTATAACGCTACATCTAGTACATGTCTTGAAAGCTAGCCAGGCTTTCACAGAAAATATGGCGGAAGTAGGTACTTATTTCTAAATTATAATATAGTAACTAAGTATATTAAAGGCAATTTTCTCTTTTATTTAATTAAGCTTCTCTTCTGTTATAATTACAATAACTCTGTTAGATATAATCTTAAAGTAACCAAAGGAAGAGATTGTAAAACGTAAAATAAATGCCTAAGTCACATCTAAAAGGTAACCAGGCTTTCACAGAAGACAGCGGTAACTAGGTACGTTTTACGTATAACATGGTAACTCATTATATGTAATTTCTCTTCCACTCAATCATGCCTCTATTCTGTTTTAATTACAATATATTGTTAAAATGTTAAATTGAATAATAAAAAAAAAATTGAATTAGGTAATATAATTAATATCTCGAGTCTAGACAGTAGTAACTGTAGCAAAGTTACTTTTGCGATTTTATAACTTTTTAAAAGTGGTATAAACATATGTATACCACATGATCACATAATTTCAGAGAAAACCTCTACTTTTCAAATCAATATCTCAACTCTAATAAAAAAAAAAACGATAGACCATCGTCGTTCAATACCTTTATCCCTTATAAACATTCATCCTCTATTTTAGAACTTTAACGATTTATTTACCAAAAAACAATTATTGCAAACTACTCGTATTGTCTGGCATAAACTTCCGAAGTAAAATTTCACGTACTTCAATTTCACACGAACTTTCGCCGCAGGTATACGTTCCATTAGCACCTATAGACTACTCTTAGATATCAATAAAAATAATCGGTAAAAACATGAATCACGATGTTTTCTACCTACGCCATTTTTTCGAATATGTATGTGAGAACATGTATTTTTAAAACAACTTCCAAAAGGAAAAGGTTCTCAAGAAATTTTTTATAGTATTTTATTATTTTTATAGTTATTTATTTATATAAGTTAGTAAAATATTTTTTATATTACGCAATATCACCGCTACACGTTCCTATTTGCTGTGTAGAAAGGTCTATGTTATACCTAATAGTTCCTAAAATATATACTATTATATATTTTGAAATTAAATTATTTTTTACATCTATTAATTCGAAAATGACACAAGCTGTTTTTTGTGGGTTCTTTTTAGCAGATTACAACATTTCAAAACCCAGCGATGAAATCATAAAAAGTGACGATCTAAAAACTTACAAATAAATTTAAATAAAGTTGCTTTCTATTTAATATCGGGTTAGCATACTTATTTCTTCAGATATATAAAAATTTATAACTTTGTTTTTTACGTATACATATTGGTAGTATTTATATACTTATTTATTTGTGTAGGTGTCTATATGCATGTATGTGTGTATGTGTATGCGTATGTGTGTATGTGTATGCGTGTATGTATATATATATATATATATATATATATGTGTGTGTGTGTGTGTGTGTGTGTGTGTGTACTCCTTTCCATCCAAACGTTGCCTGGAAGAGATCGCTTTTAGCAATAAGGTCGCCCATTGTTTTATCATTGTGATTATTTCTTGTAATTGTTTATATCTAGAATAAGTTTACTAAAGAGTATCTCTATCTATCTATCTAATAATAAATTCACTTATATAAGAATAAAAAGTTGGGCTATCTTACTCTATCTAGATGTTATTAGTGTAGACATAAAAATATGTAATTTTTTTTTATATATTATATGTATTATTAATGATTGCAATGTGTGGAGATATCGAGTGTGATGTTCACTACACCTGCAACAGTCGACAAATGTCTTTGGCCCTACTATTAGGGATCGTTACGCATATGCAATCATTAACATCTTTCTAAGGTAGTGTTCTATCAATGAAGATGAACATTTTTTCAATGGAACATTTGGTCAAAACATAACAGAAAAATCTATCATATCTACTTGACAGCTGGATACGGAGTTCAGCACGAAAAGTTAAAAAAAGAGTCTTTTATTTACCCTTCTTCCTTTAGGAAAAATAATTTGTTTCTCTACAGATATGTATAACAGGAATTTTATGAATGAATGAACACAATTATTTAAGAGGATGCGAATATTATGAATAAGTATTTTTCTTTTTAGGCTAACAATTGCGATTTCACCCTGTATATTGTTTAATTTTTATATTTCGCCGACATCTCGGATTAACATTCACACCATATTTATGTATGACGTCAAACCTTGAAACGGCCACGACAGTTCGCGATGACCAGGGAGGGGAGGGTCAATGTTCGACGGCCATCCTGGCAGGATGCTACTAATTCCAGGCACGCGTCTTCCTCTCCATTCCTCGCGTCGTGTACGACAATAGTAGCTTTTTAATCAGACGAATTTTTAACCACATACGAATTAATACAAAACTCATTATCTAAAAAGTAATAACACACCTTTCACGTGTTATTAACATTTCAAAGAAAACCGTTACAGTTATAGTAAAAAATTATGGATATAACGTTTGCCGCGTTGAAATTGTATTTATACATAAAAATTAATTAGTAACAATTAATTTAATTCGTTAGCAACTGAGCTAGAAGTGAAATGAATTAAATGAGAAATAATAATAATCTATCCGCCTCCAATAAATTTTATTAACGGCAAAGATTTTTAATTTGAGCGCAAAATTTTTATATATTTTAACGACAACGACGTAAGCACAAAACATTTTTTTTTAAAACTTTATTCATATGAATTAAAATATTAATTAAATTCTAACTATTAAAGTGTTTTTTAGCTTTTTTACCGGTTATTTGTTATAATTATTTTATTTAATTCCGCTACCATTTGTATGCGTGGTGCAATTACCAACACTAGAAGATTGACTACTATTATTATTATCAGATGTTTTACAATCTTCCGTATTAATCATCAATTTTCGAATGTCTTTTCCTCCACGCACGTTTTGCGATACATGTTTCTCCTCTAAATAAGACATATTCAGTCAAATTAATAGATCGCTGCTCGAAGCCTAGTGTTAACTGTTCGGCACCCAAACTGCGAATGAGTCATTTTTAGCCGATTTTCCGAAGAGCAATTGCGACAACCACGGGAAAGGAATGGATAACCCATTCTATACCGGGAGTACAGGACAGTAAGTTTTTTATAAAGTAATATAATATATATAATTAAAACAAAAATACATGGCGTGGTTTATGCTAAAAGCTTTCCAAACCGGGGCGCCAAATTTCTAACTGATAAAAGTGTACTCACCAATGACGTTATTATTCTGATGTTGATGCTGCGCGGCGGCGGCGACGGCTGCCGCGAGCACAGCTTGCTGATGCGCAAGCTGTGAGGCTAGCTGCGCCTGGAGTGCAGCGTGCATGCCCGCTATCGTGCGATCCGGGCCGCTGCTGCCGCCACTCACCGTCTCGCCTCGACCCTCATCGCCGCCGTATGTCGGAGACAGTTCTTCGTCTGCACAATACACAACTTATTCATCAGTACTGCTTTGCCTATTCCCATTTATTTGAGGTAGGCACAATACTTAATATTTCATTAATATTATAAATGGAAAAGGTTGTAAAGATATTTGTTACCCAATCGTGTTGAAATGACTGAACGGATCGAATAATTGGCACATAGATGCGCATATTTAGCTAATGTAAAATAAACAAAAAAAAAACTATCTACTACATATTTCTTATATGCACAGAAATTATATTTTTAGTTGTTTTTATTACTTAAGTATAAACATCATTATTATGTCATATGTAATAATAACACTTAATATTAATTAACTAATTTTTTTTATTTGAGAACTTTGCTCAGTCTATTAAAATAACTGGAATTTTAATCGAGTAGCAATTATGTGGTATCTCTATTCATGCTGAATAGAATTAAAAGAACATTAAAATTATTCAAGCTAAGATTCAAGATTTTTATTTGTCAAACAAGCCTAATATTTAAAATGCACATAATCCATTCAAATTGTTAAACAGATTCCATTGTCATGGTTATCAAATCGGAGCTCAAAAATACTAGAACATAACAAAAAACAAAAACAACGCCAGAGACGATAATGTGTTGATGTGCGGAAACATTATGTTATCGAACCATTAAGAAAAAGAAAAAAATCTCAAATATGTAGTGCCTTAATGGTGGTTTTAATGATAAAGTAATTAGGTATACTTTCGGAGTTATTCCGTCATAGATATAGTATAACGCAAACATGCTGACGTAGTCTTGCAATGACTAAAGTATTGGTATTAAATTCGTTCCGGTACCAACGTGATAACAGGATATTTAAACTTTGTCCACGTTTATGAACTTACAATTTTACATAATTTTTATATACAAAAGTACGGTGTTACGATTATAACTGTTAATGACATTTTGTAAAAGTATATTCTTTACTCCAAGTTAGGAGACAGTCACATCCCGATAAGAAAAAATGCAAAACAACGCTCATTGGATTAAGTAGTATAAAATATAAATTGTAATATTTATTCGTATCTAAACTAAATATACCAAACCACCTGGCCAAAAAGCGTAAATAAAGGGAGGGACTCCTCCTCTTAAGGGTTAAGACTCTTGTCCAGGGAGACATTAATAATTATATTTTATAATAGTTTTAAGGAACAACCTAAAACATTTTAAAATACAATATAGATTATTGTATTCATTACCGGTTGTATCCCACCCTACGGCTTTGGTTACGTGAACTAATACATAAAGTATCCTACGTATTAAGTTACGATATAATTTACCCGTGTGCCAAATTGTATTTAAATCCGTTTAATAGTTTTTGTGTAAAAGAGTGACAAACATCCATCTATCCTTACAAACATTCGCATTTATAATATTAATAAGATACAATATAATAAAATTTAATTAAATATACAAATTAAATAATTGAATCATGCGCAAAATATACATACTATCTTCAACCTTCTTTTAAGCATGTGAAACGGAAAATCAATTTAGTATTGTTCGCTCTATTTTAGGCATTAATTATTATTAGGCCATTATCATTTTAATGGATGACAGAGATTCTTGTTATACTCTTGTGCATTCTTATGGCAAACCTTACTAATATACCTATAGCTATATATATATATATATATATATATATATATATATATATATATATATATATATATATATATATATATATATATATATATATATATATATATATATATATATATATATATATATATATATATATATGTAACATTACAACCACATATGAAATATAACATTGTTCAAATGACCACCTTCACTCTTGAGAAATGTCGTAATCCGGTCATAATACCGGCTATTCTATACTATATGCGTCGAATTTCTTGTTACAGACGTATAATTGTAGTCGATTTATTTCTTCAGACCCTAAATTTGCGAATATCGCGAAAAAAGTCTAAATATTAGTGATGATTAAATGCTTTTGCATGTACCTATTACATTAAGTACGTTATAAATAAATTTAGTTTGTTATTAAATACTAACTTCCAAAAAAAATCTCAATTTGTCTATTTTTTTTGTAGCTACATTACACAATAACGTTGTCAATTCTGAATAGAGTTTCTTTCTACAGTTTAAAGAGTTTACTTTTATATTTGTTCTATACTATTTTACGATTTCAACTACCATATTTTTTTTCTTAAAAATTTACTTGTAGAACACACGATATTGCGTTCTATATTTAAATATTTTCAATGTTATGTCTTTACGAAACATCTCGTAGTTCATTGGTTAAAAATACATTGATCATATTTTAACAAGACATCGCCACCACCAGTTACATAGAAGCAGAAAAGTACCGGAATGTGTAATACTTATAAATGTATCAAACATCCAGACGGTATTATTGGACGCTGAAATCTTTCGATCGCTCTTATAAACTACTTCTTTGAATTGAATGCATTACAGGTTCTTTGCATAAATAAGGTCTCGTGTTCGAACTCGGCTGGGTCAATTTAAAGAACGAACTTTTCTAAATCGACTCGGGACTCTTCTGGGTCGTACCCCAGATGTTCAAGTAACCCAATGTGTGACTGTAAGATTGTGCGGCTCTTTATTAAAACTACATGGCGTTAATAGAATAATTAAATAGGTATGTTATATTTAACATTTTTATTTTCTAATACGTGATTATTATAGATCATTATGGTTTCATTCGTTTACACTTACAAAGTTTGTGCGGTAGCATTGATTATGCAATAGTATCGTTCTATTTATCCTGGCAATGATCATCATTGTCGAATGAATTAAATTCGATGTTATTTTGAATTCTTATTATTGCTTTTTTTTGGTTGGTTGACTTGGTAATTTGTTGTTTTGTTATTGTTCTTTGTTGATCATTTGGATTATGATAAAATCGTAAGGGCCGACGTTGGGTAATCGCTTTCTACGCAGTAAGCCAGTGGTTCGAGGAGGTGGTCAGTCGTTACGAGCAAATGGCTGAGTGGATTTCAACAAAATTTTATAATCTACTACTTTATAAAATTTTGTTGATATTATTTATTAGCTCAACTTAAGAACTGTATTTTAACAGTATGAGTCGAGCAAATTATGAAAACCCTTTATTATATGAAATCACGTAAAAGATAAAGGTCTTTGATAATTGGATACTTATATTAAGTAACATATATTATGTATTGATATATGGTGTGAGTATTAAATAAGCACATTATATTTTTTAACTTATTTCGTCAAATTATGCAAACAAAACCGCGGATACAGGTACAGTACAGTACGGTTACAATAAATTTCATAGAACTATGAACTTCTACGTAACATTATCCTATCGAGATTCCGTGATACATAAAAATATTTTTAAACAATAATAAATACCTAAATCAAAAGCAATTAAAAAAAAACCTTCATTTAAATTTTGAAATCGAATTTCATTTTAAATCTACTGCATAATTCAAAAAGTCGTTTCAGCTGAAAATTATGTCTTTCGAATTATGCCAATGGGCAGGGAATTTTACTATTGCTCTTTTAAAAAAGATGAAGGATATTCTAAGTTTATGATTTAGTTTAAACGGAAAAAATTAAAAAGTAAACACAAATATCTAGAAAATAAACATACAATTACTTTACAAAATAAATGAATCACTATTGTGGAATCCAAAGCTTAGGTATATTATATAACGTATAAATTACGAGTAATAACAAGTAATTGCATTAATTATTATTTATAATTTATAAACAGATTGACAAGTGCTAGACGCATGATAAAACAGACAGTAAATCAAGATATTTATGTAATTTACAACGATGTGCTGTGGTTACGACTGGGAATTGATACGATAAAGCTAGAACTGCGGGTCTATGTGACCAAGGAATCTTACTGGCTTCGGGGACAGGCGTAACTGGACTCTCGGGCAGCAGGATCCCTTTCTGCACCAACTCATCTCTATTTGCCCGGACGGATATTTTTCTTTCTAGCGCTGCAAATGAAAAAACAAATATTGGATTTAGACAGGCACTGTCACATGAAATGTTTTTAATACTGTAAAAAAATAGAAGAAACAGGAACCAGTTATGTCTCATTTAATTAGTTCTATTTATATTCTAAAAACCGATCTTTATCTCTCCATTGGGATTAAAAGGCAACTGCAGGCGAATCGTATTACGACTCATTTCATATGACCCATCTGACCAATGAAATATTAATAGTGCAATAATATTACGCCCTCCACGCGACATGTCTATGTAACTCGAATGGATTCGAAATCATAATATGATTCGTGTAAATTTACTATTTCAATGCTCCAGGTCAAATTACAGGATTTGGAGGCATAACAATTTAGTTCTTAGGAATTGCAATGCATATGGTGTACTCGTATCATGGGCGTGTCAGAGCTTGTTTTATGATGTTCATGGTACTATTCGTGCAATAGACAATGGCTATATCTTTGAATCAAGTCGACCATCAGTATAAAGTTGCATAAAAGAGAGAACTAATATAACGTACGAATATAAAAATAGTAGGTTTTTCTTTTTTAAATACAAATCACATCATAATCATGAGGTACGCAAAAAAGATAACACCCCTTGAAGAAATGTTCAAATTAATTCAAGATTTGAAATATTCTAATTTATTGATACGATTTTGTTTCGGCATAGATTCTGTGTTTGATACAAAGTTTTTACAGATTTAATATGGTGTTACATATTTTAGATATAAATTCTTATAAGCAATTGGTAGTATCTGTATTAAACCGATTCAGTAACTAACTTTATATTAACATGATAACGTGCCGTCAAATCAGGAAAACACGACCCTGCCAAAACAGTGTGCCCTACATGGACTTCCCTCGTACGTTACATTGTGATATTCTAATTAAAAATAGCATACTTACTTCTAGAAGCAGCTTCAAACTTTTCCGACTTCTTTTTCCGTTTCCACTTCCATGGTTTAAAAAGTCTACCGAACGCCGAGAATTTGGATTTGGTCCGTTCGGCGGGTGGTGTCCGCGCGCCAGAGCCCAGGCTATTCGTGCGTACTGTTGAACCATTCTGTTTTTTTGCTGCAACCAAGCAAAAACAAGAGTTGTATAACAAATTACTATAACTTTAGTGTAATGTTTTTAAAATATTACAAGAAATATCGTGTACGTTTCATTTATTATTATAAAAAAGAACAGAAGCAGATATCCTTATTAGAATTTTTGGAAATTTAATAAGGAATCTGGCGCAAAGATATTGTATGTTTCTATTACGAGTATGTCCGTTATAAGGCAGAGACCACAGAGTGTTAATGACCTTTATTTTTACGCACATGTTTTAAATATTTATTAGACAATAGAAATATCTCTAGTTTCGTGTACTTTCATTATTATTTTGTCTCGTGCATGTACGTCTCCTCTGATATAGAAAAATCTTATATCGTCATTTGAAAATGTGAAATTTATATCAAAAATGTATATATACTTGATATCATATCGAAGTAAATTCTAGTACATTTGTTGCTTTATATTATTATAATATATGCCTGTAAAATTCTCATGTGTATATGAATTGAAAATGCCCGGACAATATACAAAGAATGAGATGGAAGACAGCTTTACATCAATACAGATAATGGTGACAGAAATCGGTACCCTATTGCACTCACACATGTGTCATATATACATACACAATCAATGGCCCCATTACGTCGAGAGTCTATTGTGAAGAACTGTCCGTGCCTATCACAATACCAGCAGGAAACTACATACATAGTATATACATAAGTACAAAACAGAAGACTTTCTCATTTCAATGAGTAGGTACTTATGATCTATTTTAATTTATCCTAGAATTTCTATGATCGTTGTTGTTTTGATGTTGGAATCGAATAAAATTCGATTTTTTATTTTAATTCTGAATTGTACATGATGTTAGGCTTACTTACCTACCCGTAATCTACAGTGGTCAATAAAAACAAATACAAATAAAAAGTATACATACGTGAATACGTTACACATGTCACGTATAAAACAAGTATGAACATTTTCTGTAATTAATATGCAACGAACGTATCTCAGCGGTCCCATGAAATTTTTGAAGAGAAATATTTGTTTATATATAAATAAAGAGTGTTTCAAAATAACAAATTTTCATGCATGTTTCACATATACAAAATTTACCGACTGCACTGATTTAAGACGGTTAAATATCTTTTAAAAGGCGACATACTTTAAATAAAATAATATTTGTTGAAGTAGTTCCACAAAGACGAACCTCATTACGCGCATCCACTCCGCTATTATGTTATCTATACTCATTTTACGGTGTCCAAACATTAAAGATAAAATATGTAGTCAAGAAGACTGATTCAGACATACAAAGTCGACAAGATAAGACATACATACCTGACAAATAAAACAAAACCAATGCTGTTAAAGATTTCACAATACACACCTTGCATATTAGCGTGGCAATTTTGCAAGTTAGTATTCATAATTGGGATTCGTTATTCGTAATTTTGTAAGTAGGTGTAATGCATTAGAGGCTGTACAGATTCAAAATAATTGTAAGTGTTGGCGTGTATGCTATTAATTGCAGACGAGTTGCAGCCATTACAGACAACAAAAGATCAAAATGGTACTAACAAAAATAATAAAATGAAAGGTGAGTCATAGACGGTGATACAATGATCAATGGTGCACCACCAACACGCTAAGAACTTTACCATCTTCAAGACCCTGACCGCCATTTATTAAAGGTTATATTAAAGGTTATCCTTTTACTTCTGTATTAATTTGCTAATTTTTCTTTATAACATTCAATCAAGTTCTTTCCGATTTTAAATATCGATTTTTCATTTTCTATTTTTTCGTAGGTTTTCTCCCTGCTCTATTCAATTTTCATTGTATCTACTCTTTATTATATCGAATCCATGTTTCATCAACAGCGAATACAGTAACAAACAAAATAGTCCTTTAACAAGCCCAAAAAATCCAGCGCAATTAACTGGTTGGAGTTGATCAAACGATATGAGTATTCTGACACGTTAAACGTGAGCCTACGTTTTTCATATGCAAATGATTATACGAAAATATACAATTCTTTCCATCCAAAAAATAATGCTCAACTTTTCTGCTATTTGTTATTTTTACCGGTAATATTCTAATAGCATTTTCTTTACTTTGCCGATGTTTTCTCTTGTATGTAGAGTAATTTTTCAGAGAATTTGACTCTATATTAAAATAATCATTAAAATACATTAAATTATAGGAAATTCTTAAAAAATATTCTGTTTTTCTTTAGATAGTATTTATGAAAATTTTATCCTTCTACAGTACTGAGCTATCTTTTATAAATTAAATCGGCATAAAAAATTAAATCGCAGAACATGTTTTTTAATGAGAAATCATAAAAATTAGAAAATAAAAATAATTTCAGACCAATATGCCAATACAAATTGTGTTTGATAATGATAGTTTTCAGTTGTTTGGATTGATTTTTCATTATTTATTTAAAAGCTTATTAAAAAGCATCCTACTTGAATTTTGACTGAACTAAGAGTAAATTGGCGGCAATGTTCCATTTTTAAGTAACGCAATGATGAGTCTGTCATGATGATGTTCAATTACTCGGAGGATAATGATGTTAATTCTTTCATAATTCACCTCACATACACATGGAACTACCAATGAGTGTAATTACAATAGTTCACCTTTAAACAATTTATCTGATTGGTCGATCGATCATACGATCTATGGGATCATATTATCATTTTTAATTGATATATACACTATGAACATCATATATGTAAATTAAGAGAACTGGTTGTATTTATTACTTATGTCGTAGCAGACAGTGATGTTTGCTAGCAATACATATTTGGTAGTATGAATTACATAACTTGAAATGGCACAATCTGAGGGCTCATCGATAAAAAAAAATGATAACTGTCAATTATATATATGAAGAGTGCCATGGATATTATCATGAAATTTATTTTAACGTACATAGCACCTTATACATTGACATTACTGAAGACTATGGTGTTAGATCTCCGTACGCTGAAGGTTCAAGTATTATGATCAAATTCTATGGTTATTTGGAATATTAATTTTAATAATTTATTAAATCTTCGCACTACTCAGATAAGCTACCTACACTTCCAATGCAAAAATATTTTCAGAAGTTACAATATGCAGATCTTTCCCTTTGGAATTATTACTATTTAAAGAGTAAGCACCATGAATAGTTCCTACTACCATAAATTAGTTATGTATTATATCAATCGTATACATATATAATATACAATAGTGATTATAAAACATTAATATGCCTTGTAGTTACTAAATACTGCCCACCTAGGAATGCAATGAATGAATGTTAATCCTTGATGAATCATTGTCATAAACATTATTGCGCAACGAATATTATTGCTATGCTCCTCATGCACACCATACAAGCACCTACTTATCAACATTACACTGGAGAGAAAAGACTACAAGAACCTTATACAATACAGACTATCTCTCTATTTAGTTAGAAAATACACTAATACTTAAACTATAGATGCAACTAAAATAGTTATAAACGAAGACACAGTTATAACATCTAGTAATATTATCAACAATTATAACAGTTTCTACTTACAACAAAATTACAAGATCTGCCATGTACATACAACACATTTGACATATAATACCTACCATTGTTGACTTCAATTAAAGCGGGCCAATAGTAGCACGGGCGAGACGGGACTGACTCTAAAACCCGAACATTTCATTAGTAGTAGAAGACATTTATAACGCTCTATAAAATAACATATATTTTCAAGGTCATTGTAAAAAAAAAAAGCAGATGACAGTTGATTAAGAGAGCGTAGCATATTCACCACGAACAATTTCTAAGACATATTTATCATAGAACGTTGCGGTTAATCCTGTGTTGTTTCGTTCATAATAGACAAATCTAATACGCAACTTTGAGTTGTTAATAGTGAAATGATAGTAGACTTCTCTAACATGCAAATTCATGAACAAATCATAGAAGAATAGAACATAATAAATTAATATTTTTGAAAGTGGGTTTAATATTTCGGTGCGCTGTCACTAGCAGCCTTCTAAACCTCAATAAGTCCCACTATACCTGCAAGAAATTATTTTATTATAAGACCATCTTCTGTACTATATCTTTTACCTACGTCCATTTTATTTTTTACCTTATTCCATTTTTTTTTATTTGAAGGCAATAAATTGTAAATAAACTGCGAATTCACCCGGAATATAAAATTCTATCGAATAACCTTTAAAATAACTATAACCATGTAAAAAGGCCAAAATCAAATTTTGCTGTTTAATGTTTCTCCTTAAAGTTGAAATTGTCAAAAATATTTTAGCATAAGCATTCGCTAAGTATTAAAAATATTAATACTTAGCGAATTATTACAGTATAATATAAATCAACGTTTCAAATTTCAGCTTTCTTAACTTAGAAGTTGTGACTGTGCATTAATAGTCAGGACAAACGATAAGCATAGATAAGGACAATTTTACGTCTTTAATTAACAAAACATCACAAAATTTTGTTTACACTTAGTTATTAAAAAAAGGAGAAAAATGTAAATAAAAGCTATAATGTTGTATAGTGACAATCTTTTACAGTTACATTCATAAATGGCTGTGTCAGCAAAAACAGACCGAGTGACATCATCAGGCCATGAATAATATGCGGGAGATAATATCACGCATACGAAAGTATTATTTGTCTCGTTCTACTGCTCAGTAACTATGGAAATAAAGTTATTATTTGATATTAAAAAAAATAACCCTATTGTGATTATTTTTTTACACACTAATGTTACACAACTTATAAAATAAAAAGATATTCAGAAAGTTTACTATTGTTGTGGTCAAAATATTGTTGACTTCTTATGTATGTAGCCATGGTGCAATATTAATATGAAGTACCATGAGATAAGAACACACTATTGTCTTTGTCAATAGAAGTTTCGCTTTCAGTAATGATATAATTATGTGAAAACGTGGGGAAAATCATGTACTATTTATTCACTACTTTTGTTCTTCATTTGTTACAAATTTATAATGGACTTAAAAATATATCGTCTATGCGAGTATATGTTTAATGGCAAATGTAATTAAGTACAAATTAACCAATAGAAATTATTACATTTATCTTTTCTTATAACTTTGGAAGAACAAAGAGTTGTATTTTCGTACTGCATAATAATCCTTTTTTATGCAACTTAGAATGGCAAACAAGCTGACGGCTTAGCTGCTGGAAAATGGTAACCGTCGCCTATAAACATGAACAGTACCATGGACATAATAGAGTATATACTATGTCGCCCATGATACCCTTCATGCGTTGCCATTCCTGAGTACTAAGCTGCTATGCCACTATATTCTGTAATTTAAATAGAAATATATGTATGACCCTATAAAAGAAATATTTTAGAACTTGTGCATATGCGGCAACCAGACTAGTTTCAAGTGAAAATTGTTTGCCTACATTCAGAACTAGTATTATGTTCTCATTAAGTACTAGAGAAGGATAATGTAATTATAGAGAAGTAAAGGTTCATATTTAATTCAAACATGTCGGTGGCCTCAACGAAGGTTATATTGAGTTCAACTTTAACTATAAGGTCATTCTGTTATCCGTGTTAGAATTAATAAATACCGTTAGAAGATTTAGAAGTTGGTTTATAAAACCAACCTTTTTTTCCTTCAACCTCCAACTTCGTCTGTGTGGATTTTAACTAGTATTTCATTGTATTTCATAGAAATACATTAAAACGTAATAAATTTTGAATTTATTAATCTGGAATTGTGTAAAAGATGATAATTATGGAAATGAATACTGAAGTCATTGCAAATAGAGGAAAATGTAAGAGAAAAACATTATGGCGATTTCAAATGATATGATAAAGACAACATTAGATTGGAATGTTTTAATATGGAGCTAAATCATTCAAATCCAATGGGCTATTACGATTAAAATATCTTCACGTATCTACTTTTTTGGTTATTAGTGGAACCCACGTACTTTTCACGACTTAGGACCTAGGTAACCATAGTAAATTAGCTGCCTTTATCAAAAACTAGTCAATTTCTACTCATTACATTAACTGAAATTAGATTGCATAGGTTTATCAGCATGCATTTAGGGGTTCAAAAAAAAAAGTCTATTTATTTAATCTGTTTTCACAGTTTTCGAAAATATGTGTAGTCAGCAATAAAATGGAAAATATTTTGAACTTTATTTAATTTTGATCAAATTTATTGTTTTTATAGATGTAAAATTTAATTTGCTATTCTTTTTTTATATTTGCAATGAAATTTCAACAAATTGAAACAAGACTTGGTATCAATTAATAATGAAGTTCTAAATGTCGAACGGCATGCATACATGAAGACCGATTTCGCAAACCTATTGTTTGGAATGTGGCTAGGCGTGTGACGAGACTGACGAGACAAATAGCTATGGGGTACTGACCGGCAACGGCTGCAACCTCCTTAGCCCCAACGTGCAAGAAGTCTGTAAGAGATAACGAGCTCGCGATGAGCTGCCTGCGCTCCTGAAAATCAAGTTGGTCGAGGCTATTGGTCCTAGTCCCGCGCACCGCCTGGGCGGGCGCGCTCAACGACATGTCAACTACGCAAAGCCATATCGCATGCACATCATCTTTGGTATATAATCACCACAAAAACACTGACAATTTCCACTAGCAAAAGGCACACGCGATACCGGCACGAGAAAAGACACTATGAAATAATCATATCGAAGTGCCTGCGCCGCGATGGACGCACAGCGGTGAACTGGCGCGCGGGCTGTCGTCTGCGCGGGGCAGGGTGGGGGCCCGCCTGCCTTTGTCCCTCTCGTCTTGCATGTTGAAATGCACTCGACTCGCCTCGCCGAACCGTGGCGAGCCGACTGGCGAGTATCCCATGTCTCGTCAGCGCGCCCGAGACAACAACCAAGCAAACGGCGCCCAACTGGATTGTAATTGTTTTGCTTGATTTGTTTTGTAGTCACGCATATAGCGAAGGTAACCGTAATTACAGTGGCAAGGGTAAGAAAAATATAATTTTATGAGTTTAAAACCATTGCTAATAAGGTTTATTTTAGTATACTATAAAATTAACGAGCAAAAGTACAAGTACCTAAGTAATAGTATATTTTGATAATATAAATAATGTACTGGGTCGGTTACTCTACTATTATAGTACCAAATAGTTTAATGCAACATATTTTATAGTACATAAGTCAATAAAAAATAATATGAAAGATATAAAATACCTATACCTAACACAACGCCACTATTTTAACGCAATTAATTATTTACCGCACAGTACCTATTTTACATATACAGGTATATTGATCACTATCAATACCACTATTTAGATGTATATCGTCTAACATATAAATTATCATATACATACCTAAGACATTATAGCAAACTACATTACGATCATGTATTTATGTAAAAGCAAGTAGTAAAATTTTCCAAAATACAAAATGAGTAGCAATTTATATACGAATTAGTTTTATATTACGGGTCATTGTTTTGTCGAAAATTCGAGTGGCACTTTGGGTTTATTACCTATATTATAAAATATTAGTTAAATCCAGACTTTCAGTTTATAATCACATATAGTCCATTTAGCATTGATTTACAGCTTACTTTTAATCATCTCTCCCAGAGTTTGATCCACATCCTCTTCTATTAAAATCTGTGGTCAAATGCTAACAAACATTGATCACCACATTATAGAATGTACCGCAGCAATAATCCGATTAAATATTGATTTGCCGTAATACAAAATATCGCCGTTTTTTAATACAGATAGTCCTTATTTGTTGCGACGAATTCTACAATATCGCTGCGACATATATGTAGACGTTAGACATAAATATTGTTACTTTATACCTATTTAACTTTTTGCTCTCCACTTCATAAGCGTAAATTTCCTAATACCAGAGGAAGATTTTGTACAAAAGTCGATTGCTTGGGTACCTCTGTCCCATTCGTGTTTCAACCATGAAACAGTTGTGTTTGCATGGCTGTGTTTCGGTTTGAAGGGTGGGATATGGCGTGAATTTACTGGGTACGTACTGCTCATGTCTATAGGCGACGGTTACCACTTTCCATCAGGTGGGCCGTCAGCTTGTTTGCCATTCTAGGTTGTATAAAAAAAAATAGGAAAACTAATAAAGCTATCTAAGCTATCTATGTATCTATATGTATGTATCTATAAAATAAGCTATCTATGTTTACAAATACAACTGTGAAAACAGCATCTAATTTGATGCAGATGATTCTTGCTTAACAAACACATAGAGATAGACAAAAATAATTTGTAAAAACTATTGTTTTGGCTCCTATTGCTTTTATTGATATCGCTCATATCTATTTATCTTAAATATCTCTTATATACAGACGACGACTAGTTACAATTTTATTATATCAGTAAGATATTTATAGGATTATTTAAGGTTCGAAATGGAATAAAATAAAACAGAGACTTGGGAAACATTTTTGAGAATGTCCCACAAAACTATTTAAATTTCAAAACATCTCAACATAAACAAGTACAATATTTTTAGACCAAAAAAAAAATGTGTTACGCAAATATCAAAATGTGAACTATTTAACTAAAACGTGACACATTTACATCATACCTATCTCTATTGTTTCCAAACCGGTAATGGAACTTCGATGTCATATCACGACGTCGACCAATACGTCACTAGTTACCCTGCCTATGTCATGTGAAAAAGATTTTAGTCGTTTGGAATGTAAATATTTTTTAAAACGAACGATCGACACACCGGCACACGTGAGTATCCACGTACCTATTCCCGCACCCCTCAAAGAGCAGGTGCATACCATAGTAAAAGCAGTACTATCCCGAGACCCCGACCCGGCGACGACCGATGCTCGGTGCAACGCGGTTATCAACACACAATAGTCACTGCCACAAATAACTTAAGGATCCTATCGGACTAACTGCGAAATACAACGCTATTCATATCATGCGTTATTATTAAAATAGAGATTAAAATGGCTACCTACCTGTAGAGATTTTACTTTTTATTTTTTACAGTCGAATAAGTTATTATTACGATTATAATACGGACCTGAACTAACCCTCGGAGGCTACTTTACGCGATTCAGATTCATTCAAAAGAATTCATGTTAATTACTCATTGAAATTAATTACAATCAATAGATAAATATGGATTTTTTTATAAAGTATGTAAATGCATTAAAAACGATAAATTACCTAGAAGAATATTAGATTATCGTATGTAATCTTATCCTATAATGATATTGATTACACTTTTAACTTAATTACGCATAAGTACGTCACTAAACTGATCTGTCAAATTCAATGTAATAAGTCAGTGGATACAGTATAATTTATTAGAGAGTATTAAATAAAAATAATGATATTAATTTATAAAATAAAAAGTCAAGAGTGTCTCAAATATTTCAAATATCGGCCTGAAATTCGAAGAACGGTACGGTTGAAACCATTCATTTCCTGAGATCAATTAAGGATCGTGAAAGAGTAAACAATTTCATCTGACAATGAATGGCTGAAATTATCTTTATTGATATATATATATATATATATATATATATATTACCAAAAACCCGATTTCTGGTAGATCAGATTGGGGTACCATAGGTTACAAGTAAAAAAATTACTTTTATCTGGGTGCCTATGCTCCCAAATGTAACCTAAATCTAGTTTAATTTGGAAAAGTTCCCTTTCTTAAATTGACCTAACACAGATCAAAGCTAGGACTTTATTTCTTAAATTTACTTACTACTGCACTAAGAAGGCTCCCAAATTAATATAATATTAATCTCGATATAGTATCACAGCCTACCACCACTTCAGAATATTCCACACTTCTGGCAACCAACGCAGATACAAAATTAACTAATCAATTACCTAATTGTTGTTAAATCGAGTTTCAACGGCTGAATGGATTTGATTGAAATTTAACTATATCCCACATTAACATGTAGGTAAAACTTATTTTACCCTGATTTGTGTAGTCAAAGCCGCAGTTTCAAATAGTCAATCATTAAAGGGTACCGATAAAAACAAAGTTCAAGTATATGCAAACAACTGCTACTGGATGATACCCCATTATAATTATACAAACCGCTCACCTATTATTAGTACTAGATTTATAAACATTCTACAAGTAGATTTTGTTTCGCAAGAAAAAGCGATTTTAACCGTGACTTTACTAATATTAATTAGTAACCTTACCATTTATTTGTATTTTAAAACTAATAAGACGCAATAACGACGAGACATTTCGCAGATACATTAAATTTAAAATATTTTATCGTGTGTCAATAAGTAGACTGCTTCGCGACAAGCAGAATTTTGTTCCGCAATGCAAAACTGCTGATTAAAGACGATTTTATACCAAAAGAGGACAATACGATTTTATTTTCAATCAACGAAAAATCTAAAGTATCAGGAGCAGAGTGGAATAGAAAAAAATGTCCAGGACAATGAAGCCAAATCGAAACTCGAACTCGGTTGATGTTTTTAAATTTACAGCATGACAGTGCTGCACACAGTACACAGCATATTCATGGCAACATAATCCAAAATCCAGAGCAAGTAGAAAATATATAAATTACAAATGTCAAGTGAGTAGAGGCAATATAAGCAATATCATGATTTAAACATTTATAACTACAATTGCTAAACGGATTGTAATGAGACATTATATAAAATTCAACATAAGTCACCATGCTTCAGTGGTGTATATATATAATAAACAAAATGATGAACATGGCGACAATGCCATAAAAATTCCAGTTGTTGCGATGTTTGATCCTGAGATTATGATGTTATACTAGTAGTAGTCCGAGTCTTACCCTATTTTTAGTTTCTATTGCTGCACATATCTCTCTATATAAGTACATCTCGTATGTAAATAAAATAGTAATTATTTGGGAGCGAATTTTATTCCCATTAACTAGATAGAGTATATTACAAAAAATGACGCACAAAACTAGATAACTTACAGAATTCTTTGTCAGCATCTAAAACACCACTTTCACTCCTAGTATCATCATCTATAGGCCTGTGTTTCACATTTTTTTTCTGACATAAAGCATCCATTTTATTACAACACGAGAACTTTGACATTAATGTAATATTTCGTGAATTTCATATTATTTAAACAATTTTTATGTCCACATTGAAATCAACGCGATTTATAACTAAGACATTTCATTACATATAAACTTCAAAGATAAGATACGAAGCGACTGATATCAACATTATAGCTTATCAAATTATTTTTGTACTGGGCCTAATCCTTGAATTTGTTAAGCAATCAACGCATAGACAAGGCTATTGAAAGTAATCCTGTAAGGAGCAAACATTTAGTAACTCAGCCATATTTCTGATAATTGACGACTGCGTTGAAAAAACTGATACCCTTTCTTTGACTAGATAAGGAATAATTTATTTCTTATATTACTACTCTTATACTACCTATTCGTGTGGGCCCTTCTGATGTCAAGATTCTAGGCCGCCTTCACTGTACACAAAGATCACGTGGCTTCATGAACAACGGCTTTACGTGCCCTCCGAAGAACTAAGCGAGAGATTATCACTTTAAAATGATACAGACATAAATTTGGAAAATTCAATGGTTTAGCATGGAATTCAAATCTTCAAGTGCCCGGATTATCGTTAAGCGTTATCCAATTGAACCGTCACATTTCATATTTTTAAAGCAATCAAAATATACTCTTCCAAGAAAACTGTTAGATTTATAGTTCCTAAGGTAACTTTTCGATTATAAAAAACAAAAACACGACTATATTTTACTATAGATATACCTACTTCAATTTTTGAACATTGGGAATATAATATTATCTAGTAAAATAAAATACACGTGGAAAAAGTACATACACTTGACCGGTTTATTGAATGTCAAGTGACATAAAAAACATTACATAGAGCCTGCTTGAATGATCACAGAGCCCAGATAATGATTTTATGTGGATGAAGCGGCCGTTGTGAGATTAACCGTGTAGCGTCTACTTATTAATAGATACCTATTGCCCTAGAAAATAAACGGACCATGTTTTATGCCTGAAACCTGCGTAGCGTTAAATGCATGCAACGAAGCCTGAAGTCAAAAGTATCACCTACCCGTATATTATTTTACATGATAATTTTATAATAGTTATTATATTATTATCTTTCAATAAAACTAACTCTAAAGATATTGATTAATAAACTACTTCATCTAACACCAATGCAAGTACCAGTATCAAAAATCTATTATTTAGATGTTACTACTGTACATCACATAATATTGAAATTTTCGAGTTAACCTAAATATATAACCAAAATTATAACGATGGCGCACACTTACTTCATCTTTATATAGAGTTATTATATACATACTTAAATACAAATAGCTACGAGACTCTATGGCAGGATTTTAGTAACTATGATAATCAGTGTACTATTTTTGTTGATTCGTCAATAGGTAGGTGGATTTTAAAGACGCTAATAGTAAATATAGACACGTATCTCTATACAGGTAAATCATGCGTGTGGTTACTAATTCACAATGACAACACACAAGGAGAATGTTCTCACCTCTAGCGTAAATGGGAAAATCGCCGTCAGATCGGCTGTGGGTAAGCATGGGTCCGTAGCACCGCCACGGCGGTCTGTCCCGCGGCGCCCGAGGGCCCTCCACGGCCGCTCACCTACACCAGGCCATTAGCACATAAGCTGTCGGCACGGGGCCTACATCTACGTAGCACTTTTAGCGTGGCGTCCACCTTACAAAACTCGCATCAACTCGACGATGGCGGCGCCACAATGTCGGGAAAACGAACGGAGGCTGCGCGGCGCATCTCACGCACACACCCCTCGCCCATCCTAAGTCGAACCCGATGCCCTCCGATGCCCTGTATTTAGCGTTGCGCCCGACGTACCACGCTCTTTTCTTTTGATAATGAATGTGTTCCGTTTTATACTACATTATTTTCGATTAAAATTAATAAAAGGTAAACAATCAAAATTAATGTATATATATAATAGTATTATGAAAATACATACCTATTAGAATAAAAAAAAATATTAAAAAACAGTTATTCATATATTTATAATACTTTTACTATATTACACCTTACTCTCAGTGTAATAGGCCAAAAAATTATATGTCCAATGTTCAGATTCAAATCTCAGAAGTCTCATCAATTTTATGAATCTATTGCAAATCCAATAATCATAACAAACAAATTATAAAAACAGCCATTGGACAACATTCTGTATGCTAACCAATAGAGCGAAGATTGAGCTGAAAACCAACTAAACAACCTTATAAATAACTGTAGCCACTTTAGCTGAGTTTGGAGGCATTTAACAAGAATTTTATTTGCATTACAAAAGTGGTATAAATGTTTAGTTTGTACAATAATTATTTTATTATTATTGTGTACATTTTATTATTATTAGTGTGTGTGTAAATTATGTACGATAAAGATTTTATAATATATTTTTCTTATCTATTTTATAGTCGTATCGTATCAGCCTTTAACTGTCCACTGCTGAACATAGGCCTCCTTCATAAGGGAGGTTTTGCTAGTAATTGCCACACTTGACAGGCAGGTTGGCTACTGCAGTTAGGCTTTAGTGATGTTTTAACGAGTACGCTGCTTCCCATTCCTCGACCCTTAAGTTCCCTTAGTCGCCTTTTACGATACCCACGGGAAAGGAAGGGATGGCCCATTCATATATTATATATGTGGTCCCGCCATATATAATGTAGTCATATATTAAGATTTTATTATTATCCTTAGGATTTATTATAGATGGACCATAGTATGTTAAGCACTGATACACATGGCAGAAGTACTTAGAAATACCCGCTGTAGAGTAAGTAATAGATAAATCGATAGGGGCATATGAAGAGATTATCACGCTAATCCATTATAGCTGAATCGGTGCACTTGCCATGCTCGCAAAACTTAATGAAAACAATTAATAGCAGTCACTCTTTCGATATACGAGACTAATACTACAAAAAAAAGGAAATGTGTACACTAATATAATAAAATTATAACTAAACGATGTCTATATAGAAATTATTTAAAATATACATACATGTAAGGGCTCTTAATAAAAGCAATAGAAGCTAAAACAATGTTTTTCAAAATTTTGGTGTAGGTAAATGTGGTAAATTGGATGTGATTTTCTCAACCAAATTGTGCTTTTTGCCACCATTTCAATTGTGTTCTTGGAGATTTAATTTAAAAACTAGTGTATGTTTTATACTGAACATATCTAGAAGCGAACATAGCTATTACTTATTTCCAAAACAGATACGCACGAAGTTGCGGGTAAATGCTAGTCTTAAGACATTATTTTCTAATTGATTTAGTACTTACGATAAACTGATATGCTTAATATAAAATAAGAAATTAAGATGGTTTGAGTTATGTTTGTTTGTTACCTCTTAGCACCTTAACGGCTTAATCTATCAAAATAAAATTTGATGTAGATTCATAAACTAGACGAGATGAAGGGTTGTAGGCTACTTTTGCTAGTTAATGCATAAATTTTATTCCTAAAGTTGAATGTAGCAAATGCATCTATAGATGAAATGACTAGGAATCAAATCTCATTTAATTGAAATGTATTTCATTTTAAGTGTACTTATGTTCAAATGAAGAAACAGACAAATATTATAATATAGTCAATATATATATAATATATAAACAAACAAGCAATTGTCATATTACATTTATTTTACAATTATGAAAAATGAACAAAAAGAATGATTGTAGTTACGATAAAATTAATGTGAAACTATTGTTTTATTTTTTAAAGTAAACCTTATCATTTTTTTTTTACTATTTGTAATAGCAAATACGAAACGGCACACTTAAGGGAAAGTAGAAGCCGTCAATTAAAAAAGTGCAATAAGAATTATAAAATTCGGTTCAAAATTAGCTATCACACGAGTATAACATACACACAAAATAAACCGGCCAAATATCAGTTGAATTCGCACACCGAATATTCTGAACTTAAATAGTACAAAAATAGATTTTTATTTTATGAATAAATGAATACCAATTGAAAGTGGTTAGTTGCTGTATTACAATTTTATAACAGACGGATGGACAAAGTTGCATCATAAAGAATTTTTACTTTTTTTTAGTATTGAACTCCAATACTAACGTTCTTTCCTAGAAAATTTCTTGTATTCCTTTTCAAATTCGATTAATAATTAAATACTGCAGATTCTTCTGTCCTAGAATTTTCTGAATCTGAATACCCAGTAATTTTACTGTTATACATAAATTTTTGCATAAAACATACAATACTGATTCTTTCATCTTATGATCTAATCAGAGTACTCAGTAGTTTTACTGTCATAATATCGGTCATGGATAAAGATATGGACAAAAAGTAGACAACCTCCTTTATAAAATCGATTAAAAATGTAAAACTATACTTACTTAAGTCACCATTAGCAGTTGTAGAATCAAATGGAATAGATAAGTGACGACCTCCTTTGCCAACAACCGTGTTCAATTTTTCTGCACTGTCACCTATATGAAAATACCATATTAAAAAATTTACAGACAAAATATCTCTAAATCTTAGTAAAATTACTGTTATACAAGTATATTTAATATAATAATTTTTAATACAAATGTTATATAATTTCTTGAAATAATAGATACAAAAGCCAACAACAGTAAATAACATTTACTACTTATTTAAATTTAAAAATGAAACTCTTAAATACTCATTACTACTTTTATTATAATTTAATAATAACATAGAATATTACAAAAACTAGGTATTCAAATTCATTATCTTATTGATTAACAAGTAACAAGGATACATTAAAGTTCATATTATTCAAAGGTGTAACATTTTTTTTGCCAGTTTGACTGCATAGCAATTAGTGTCTTTAATGCTTGAATGATATCACCAGCTTTATATTTATCTGATTACTTTAAAATTTAATTATCAAAGAAATACAGCTTCTATTAGATAAAACAACAGGGACAGTACACAAGTTAGAGGTACAAAAGTTGTGTCAAATAAAATTGAAGTGAAGCAATAGTGATTGTAAAATATAAACAGATTTTGTTAACCAAAACAAAACACTAATATCAACTGCAACAAAATCAATATTGAATTCAATATTCTCATGAACAACAAGATGTTTTATAGCCATAATAAATTTAAAATATTTTAGTTGAAATTAGTTATGCAATAAACAGCCAAATTACATAAGAGGTATAATGGGAGAAACAGCATACTCTGTTATGACCATGACATTGCACATGTTTATAGGGGACGGTTACCACTTTCCATCAGGTGGGCCGTCAGCTTGTTTGACATTCTAAGTTGTATAAAAAAAAGTCTATAAGCGATGACTATTTCCTGCCTAACTTAAAATAATTTAGTATATGAAAGTAATTGTTTATAAGTAGAATTTGATTTTCAAAGTAGCAGGTTCAATTATGACAAAATTGATAAAGCACTAATGGAGAAGTAAACTATCAAATGTAGTTAGAATTATCTAGATTGATTCAAAATTGCTGATTTCTCTTAACATATGTTAAAAAAAAAACAGACAAATTGAAAATCTGCTTCTTTTGAAAGTTACATTATAAGTAAATTTTTATATACAATCCATCAATATAGAAATCTTATTATGATTGTCTAAATCAATAAAAGTTGTTTCTAAATAATATCATTACTGTCATATTACATCCCATATAAAATTGTCTATATTAAATGGAAAATTTGTGTAATTATTTATATAATTTTGCCTAATGTGTCTTAAATTATCATCGCTTCTTGTAATAAATGTTTCTCTATAGAGATTTCTCCAATCACTCCTATCTGTTTGGAGTTCTTGGAAGTCTCTTCTGAATAAATCATGCCATAAACTTTCATTTGCAATTAACATTTGCAATCTATTGCATGTTTTACTAACATTTATTACATCACTTACAGGTAAATAAAGTAAAATTCTATGGAAAACTTCTTCAGGTAATCCAATTAAACTTGCACTAGGATATCCACTGTGACTTAAAATTCTACTTTTTACTGGAACTACCATTTTATTCTTGAAAGTAAATGCCAGATGTCTTAAATCTCGGAACATCAGTGGAATGGTAGAAGCATGTAAAGACACAACATAGCGACTCACTGGCAAGCAAATGGAATATGTATCCAAATTTAATTCACTTATCACTATATTTAACAAAACCATGGCACCTAAAGGTGACATTATTAATTTTACTGAAATATCTTGAAATCCCATCAAAACAAATTTTGCCTCTTGTCCAGAAAAAATATCTAGATATGACTTTATATCCATACATTTGAACTCATCTGATATAGGCGTAAAACCGTTTTCAACCATTAATGTGATAATTAGTATGAAAAAAACATCTTTTTGTAATAGATCGTTTGGTTGTGTTCGAGCAATGACTCTTTCTATAGTTTTCTCTAATAAAATCGGTATTTTCTGAGTAGTACTTTCTTCTACAGGAAAATCCATTGTAATATAAAAAAAAATAACGTCTTTAATAATATAATTATAAAATCAAAATTTAATTAATAAAAATTTAAATTGCAGACCAACAAAATGACGAAAATGACATTGAATACGAAATAATTAGATTGATTTCACTGACAGAATTAGTTGCAGAAAATAAAAGGACATAACTGACAGATATTGACAGTACGTGATTGACAGATATGGACAAGTGACTGACAAAAAATGACATATTTTATAAGAGTGATACCAAATAAGATTCAGGTTTTCGGGCTAAATCCAATAAAAAGGAACAATAATATGAAAACTTTGAAAATTTATCTAAATTAGTACATCAGTAATAAAATTAATTATGAGTGAATAGAAAAGGTGCGAGGACCAGTTTCAATCGTTTTCTACCGTTTTCCGCACTGATGTATCAGTCCCTAGCCCCTCCCCTTCAAGGTTGGGATAACTGTCAAAGATGATAGTTTTTTACACGGCAAACCGAATTTTGTAATAAATAAAATAACCATTTATTCTATTCCAACACAATATACATTCTGTGAATCTTTGTTGTTATTTAAATTACAATAGTCGCTTTTTTTGCATAGGGCCTCTTTCTTTTCACCTAATTTCTATTTTGGCCTTTCCTCATCCACATTAATTACTTTTCCACCACTAGTGCGTTTGCCCACCAATTTTGCAACCAATGTATTAATTATGCTTGTAGAATACATCTGTACAAGATAAGGAAAACTTGAAATAAAATCCTATATCAAGCCACCTGATCAACATGACAATAGTAGGCTCTAATATCATCATTCCCGAGTAGTAGTCGTAGAAGATATCCTTCTCTTAAGAGAGACCTGTGTCCAGGGGTGGGACATTAATTTGTAAAAATAGTAAAACCAAACGTTCACGGGTGAGACATGTTTACTATCTTGGGATAGTCTTTACTGTTATGAACATTATTAGTATGACCTATCAAAATTTAAATATAAATTACAGAAAAAGAAAAATCTTTCATATATAATTTGTTTCATATTTAGAGGGGCAGGTTGTCTGGGCTGGGCCAAACTCCAGAATTATCTGATGTAATGTAATCTAATGTAAATTGGACTCTCTTTTCCGCGCCTAGACTGTCATTTGGGCCGTTGTGCGTATGAGTCGTGACTAGTACAGCCAACCCAGCTCCGCCCAAAAGCCTCATGGGATCTTAACAGGCCTCAAGGAACGACCTCAAATCCAAAGATTTGTAAATGTTGATGGGCCACAGGTTCACATTCCAGGATTACGTGAGCAGCCGTTTTTTCGGCGTCGAAACAGCCTCGACATAAACGGCTCCTATTGTGTATAAATGTTTGTCTAATGGACAATAGCCTGTTATTGTCCCTATCACTATTTTGAGGTTTTTCCTATCTAGATGTAATAAACATTTTGATAGTTGTTGATTCAACATAGGCATGGCCAATTTTGATTGTCTGCAATTAGTAGGCTGTATCCATCTTTGGTTTTGTATGTCAACGGATCTTTGACGAATCCATATTTGAAATTGCGAGAATGGATGAAGAAGAAGAAGTGAATACGGGCCTACCACACTCGTTTCTGAACCTCTTCTAGCTAGCTCATCTGCAGCATTGTTACCATAAGATCCACTGTGCCCTCTTATCCATTGCAGGATAACTCGGTTATTGTAGGATATCTTATGCAGTGAATGGTGGTATTCAATTATTAATTTGTTGTTTGTCTTATTGTTTCATAGAGCTTTTAGTACTGCTGTGCTGTCAGATAAGAATCTAATGCCAATACCATTTATTCCTAGCTTATGTACAGCTGCAGCAGCCTCGGTTGTTGCTACACATTCGCATTGGAATATTGAGCTGTGTATACCAAACGGTATGTGCATGTTTATATTAAGGTCTAAGGAAAAGATTCCGGTTCCTGAACCATTCTCAGTTTTGGAGCCATTGGTGTATATGCGTAATTTGTGTAGTCCAGATTGATCCTTTTCCTCTTCTTTTATTTGTACTTGAAAAAAAAAATATCTGATGCCCTCACCAAAATAAAAAACAGTTTTCAGCTACAGGCAAAAACATATCTGAGAAATAATTTCAAATATACTAATGGTTTTATATTCACATAATAATTGTACACCTAGAAAAATGGAAAAAGTATGTGGACAGAAACAAATGAGGACAAAAACAAAGGAAATTACAAGAGAGAAAGAGAGTTTATAATTTTTGGTTTGCAGCACATGTTTTACAAGAAGGAAGATGAAATAAATTTGAATATGTTTTAGAATACATTTTAGATATGTAGGAGGGCTACACTGAAAATTTAATAAATAAAAAAAATATTCAAATTTTGAAAATGGAACTCTTTATGAATAATACTAAGTATTTATATACTTTATTCGTTTGTCATCTGTTTTACGGTTTGGCGGGAAATTAAAAATAGTCTGTGTAACATCCTGAAACAAACGGAAGAAAATTTTCATACGATGATTTTTTATGGCTTTTGGATGTCATCTAAGTCAACAAAAAGTTATGATAGACTACGATTGACCTTTCACGATGAAATGCCCGTCTCGTGCCACTGTTTACAACTGGTTTAATGAGTTTAAACGTGATCGCACTAATCTTACCGATGATGTGCGTGAAGAACGGCCTTCTAAGGCGATGACTGAAGATAACATCAGTGTTGTGCGGCGTATGATAGAGACTGACAAAAGAGTGACCTATCAGCAGATTCCGGCAAGCTTAGGGGTTGGTAAGAGTCAAATGCACAAAATCCTCCATGAACATTTGGCGGTCAGGAAGCTTTGTGCCCGGTGGATACCTCATAATTTGACCGAGGCTCAAAAACTCCGTTGTGGTGAATGGTGCCGTGAAATGCATGAAAGATTTAATGGAGGTGACTCGAATTCTGTGTTTGACATAGTTACGAGAAACGAAAGCTGGATTTACTGTTATGATCCCGAAACTAAAAGACAGTCAGCTCAACGGGTGTTTCCTACTGAGGAGTTGCCAAGTAAAGTGAAGAGAGGTCGAGGCGTGGGAAAAAAGATGGTGGCCTCGTTCTTTGGAAAGACAGGTCATTACGCGACAATTGTTTTAGAGGATTGAAAAAACAGTTTTTTTTTTTTTTTTTTTTTTTTTTTATACAACTTAGAATGGCAAACAAGCTGACGGCCCACCTGATGGAAAGTGGTAACCGTCGCCTATAGACATGAGCAGTACCATGGACATAACAGAGTATACTGTTTCGCCCATGATAGCCCCCATGCGCTGCCATTCCTGAGGACTCAGGTGTTATTCCTCTGTACCCAGTAAATTCACGCCATATCCCACTCTTCAAACCGAAACACAGCCATGCAAACACAACTGCTTCACGGTTGAAACACGAATGGGACAGAGGTACCCAAGCAATCGACTTTTGTACAAAGTCTCCCTCTGGTATAGTAACAATTGTTTGTCACATGTTTTGGAAATAGTGCGTGAGAAACTACCTCGCAGTAGAATCCTCCTTCACCACGACAATGCTTTGTCACACACCACCAGGCAAAAGATCGATTATTTGGCGACCTCAGACTTAGAATTACTGGGTCATCCACCTTATAGCCCCGACCTCGCACCTTGTGATTTTTATATATTCCGAAAAATAAAAGAAAAACTTTGAGAACAACAATTTATGGACATCGAGGAAGCTGTGGCTATGTTTCAGAAGGCAGTCAAAGAGATCCCTAAGGACAAGTGGGCAAAATGCTTTTCTCAGTGGTTCTATCGGATGCAGCGATGTATTGACATGAATAGACACTATTTTGAAAAGATAAAAGAAAGGTAAAAACTAATTTAATCAGATTTTGAATTTTTGAAGACTTTCAGTTTGACCCTCATACCATGGTCATACATTTCAAAAATATCACCTCCTTTAATGATAATTTAAAATGTGTCATATATTTATGTCTTTGTTTATTTTTTTAGTCCAATAGAAGCTTAAAAATATAGTAATTGTCAGGATATACTTAATTTTTTTTTTAAATTGACCAAATGCTCACACTTTTTTATAGCGAATGGTAAAACAAACAGCCCTGAAACATTGGTATATAATACTGTATTACAAAATTAATATATTTATTCCAATCATTACATTTAACAAAAACTCTCACATCTCACAATGAAATTGTTTTCATAATAAAAACATATTATATTGAAAGGCATTTATAATTTAGGACATTATTGTGTTTTGTTAAAGTAAACAATATAACCCACATATCTATTACCTAAGCACTTAAATAAATTACACTATCATATATTAATATGGATATTTAAGAATCATAAATACAGGTTAGAAATAAAATACAAAAATAAGAATGAGACATACAATATTACATAATACCATCTAGATCTAAACTAAGCAAAGCTTTTACTATAGGTACTACACAAGTACTATTAGTTTATTAAAAAGAAACAAGTATATAAGTATGTCTATAGATACTTATAAATTATTTCTATTTTCTAAATACATATATATAAAATAACACTCAAACCAATACAAACATATATAAATACAACTGATTATATTGTGCAGGGATCAAACCCATGACCATCAGAAAATGACATGGTGTGTTGAACATAAAAAAAATAAGACTTGTACAAAGTCTCCAGAGGGAGACTTTGTACAAGAAAGGCAATTGCTTGGGTATCTCTGTCCCATTTATGTTTCTACTGTGAAGCAGTTGTGTTTGGATGGCTGTGTTTTGGTTTGAAGGGTGGGATATGGTGTGAATTTACAGAGTACAGAGGAATAACATCTGAGTCCCCAGGAATGGCAACGCATGAGGGGTATCATGGGCAAAACAGTATACTTTGTTATGTCCATGGTACTGCTCATGTCTATAGGCGACGGTTATCACTTTCCGTCAGGTGGGCCATCAGCTTGTTTGCCATTCTAAGTTGTATATAAAAAAAACAAAATGTGATCTCACACATAACTTAAACACAACCCTAGTTATAAGTTGCTCCTACTTAGAGAATTTATTTTTCTAATATTTTTGTATTTAGAACAAATATAATTAAATAAACAGAAATCCTTTCAATTAAAAAAAATGGAACATGATTACTGAAATTATTTCTTAAAAAATTTTTCATTAAAAATTTATTAAAAGATTGTTGAATTACTTAATTAAAAAAAACCTACTCTAACATAAAAAAGTAATCTTTTATATAAGGAAAAAAGGACATTATCCTTAAATAATTGGGCATTTTTATGAGTACTATTGATAGAGACATCAACACCTATATAATTAATGTAATTACAAATAAAAATAATGACAAGACTGATTAATATGTAATAAATATACTATATAGAAGTAGGAAGTATATAATATACAAATAAGAAGGGAAATACAAATAAACTGAAACAATTACAAAACAGTCAATTAGTATAAGAATACAACGCAAGGTTATGATTAAGAATGTTATTAATTAAAATGGATTATAATAAAGAGGAAATAGTTTAGGCTTACCAATATTTCCCGAATTTCCTTGTTTCATATTACTCTTAAAGGTATCCTCCGAGTTATTACAAGAACTTTTTTCACTGTCACTAGCCATTGAAAGGTTTCAAAAACTATATACTTTAATCAGGAATAATATCACATTTTACAGATAAGGCTTACTTTACTTAAAACCTGTATTGATTATTATATTCTTATTCTCACTTTAAAAATACAAAAGTAACGAAAGTACATAATTAATTAGTAATACATGTTTACACCCTCTCGACAATTTTTTTTTTTTTCATGTAAATGACATATAATTTTTTTTAAATGTTTTTTACGGCTTTAAATATAATGCTTTCTGTACTGTCCGTGACCGAAGATGAGACTGCTATGTCACCGTAGATGATTTGCTTTTGATTTCTTACATGATAGTTTTTTAATTTTAATTCTTCATGAATACATAGAAAATTACATTTGTCCTTACAATATATTCCGGATGACTGCACCGACGCTGCATAATAATGCATAGTGTTTTATCGAGTGCAGTGATATAGTATAGTTTCGTTTTGAAACATAGTATAGTTTCATTAAAAATGAATAGAGAATCGTCTACAATATATATAAAAATATTGTGATTCGTCGACATACGAGTCTTACTTAATAATAAGACTTATCCTATATAATATATATTGTATATATATAGATAACTCATAGTTTCATAAACTCATTCCTAAATAGTCATATATACTCATAGGTATATAGTTCGAGATAACGAGGGTAAGGTATTAGTATGCCGATAGGTCCGTTGATCAGTCTTTATATGCCGCTATAAATATAGTGATCATCGTCCGAAGAGTAACGAGAATCGATGCTCTGTATCGTTGCCGTCTACAGGATGCTGTTCTAAGGGGGATAAGTATACGTCCAGGTATAACAGCACCCCGGTACCGATGGGCCTGACTCTCGACTTTTAGGGCAGCAGTTCAGCATACAATATAAATTTTGATGTGATTTATTTATTGTTTAAAAAAAAACTCATCTCCATGTCATCATCTTATCTCTTAAGAAGAGGAAATGACAAACTAACCCCCGGCAGAAGCACAGTTGGCCAGGGTTCGAAGCTCCAGGGAAAGAAATCGGCGCACTATACAAGCAGTATCTAAGAGCACTGCTTTCTGCATCTTTGCCGGAAGATAGCCGCCTCGGAATTCCAACCGTCTGGTTGGGATAAATTCGTTCACCGACAGAACGATTGGAATGATTTCGGTGGATGTAACACCCCACATTTCGGTCAGCCAAGTGAGCCAAATCGAGATATTTTCTCTTCTTCTCGGTTTCGGCTTTCACGAGGTTCTCGTCATGCGGTATAATGACATCTACCAAAAACAACCTCGAGAGTATCCGATCTATCACCACGATATCAAATATATTCGCAGGAACTGTCCTGTTCATGATGATGAATCGGTCCCAGTAGAGCCTGACGCTATCGCTTTCAAGAACCGGCTGGAGCTCGTACGGCCTCGCAAATGAGAGTTTGCTGTACTATAGTATATTCGCGAGGCCGTACTTCTTAAGTAACTCTAAATGGAGTATTTTGACTACTTGGTTGTGTCAGTATACAGTGTTGGTAAGAGCTGAACAACCCGAAAGCACATGTCTGAGTGACTCCCGGGGATGGCGACATGCCCAACAGATGTCCTAAGTGCTATCGTTTAGAATGTGCTTTCGGTATTTGTTCGTCTTAACCACCTGATCCTGTATCACATAGACAAAACTCTCGGTCTCTCCGTAGAGATCACCTAATTGTAGCGAGTGCGTGAAGGTCTTTGTATTGATATACGGCCCGCGGCAGGCAACATGGCAACTGCTGCTAGACTTTTAGAGATGTTTTAAGAAAGACGCTGCTGCTCATCGTTCGACGAGGGTCGAACGACGGGTCATCTTGCATCGAACGCTGAGTTAAGTGGTCCTTAGTCGACGACGTAGGCGCTAACGAAGGATGAAGGACCATTCTACTATATTGTTTGGAATCACTCTTAATAATAAAACTCAATGGAGTCCTCAGATCCAAAACCTTGCAACTAAATTAAATTTAGCAGCGTACATTGTACGCAGGATTAAACAATAAGTATACTAATATTTAAACTGCTAGTGCTAGATTAATTTAGTTAGTTTCATAGTAAATTGTTCTATGGAATATTATTATGGGGTAAAGCAGGCATCCAACACATATTTGTATTACAAAAACGTGCAATCTGCGGAATTTATTCTATGGGAAGTGGTGAATTACTAAGAAAAAAATTTAAAGAAGCAAATGTTTTCACTCTAGTTTCACAATACATATACGCAAACATTTTATATATACGTACGAATCTTCAACTGCTTCTTAAAAACAGTGACACAAGTACAAACTTGCTGTTCCGAAATTTAGAAATCGTTTAGAAAAAGTTAATACATCTTTTATAGGAATGATATTAAATGTTATAATAAGATATCGAAGTATATTTTGGATCTACCATTTAATAAATTTAAATTTTTTATTGAAAACATATGTGCATTGTGTATGTATATAAACACTATTTTTAAAATATGTTAACATATTTAAAAGTGCTTGTAAAGTCTGTTTGAAGAAACAACTTTAATACGATGGCACCTTCAGACTTTCATCTATTCCCAAACCTAAAAATAACATCTTGGAGGTCAAAAATTTTCATCAAATGAGGAGGTCGAAACTGCGGTGGGTGAACTTTTTGAAGGCCTTAAAGAAATTTTTTTTTATGACTGGCATACAGGTCTTGGAAACCAGATGGAAGAAGTGCATTGAATTAAGTGGAGATTACGTAGAAAAATAAAATTACTTTTGTTTATATTATATATTGTTTTCTTGCTGAGATCGTGAACTTTTCAATCCATCCTCGTATTATTTGGAAATTATGCACAAATTTTCCTATATGATTTGTTGTTACTTTATAAAATTATTATATTGTTCTAACACTTTCTGATTTTATTTCACTGCACTTTAATACACCGTAATTTTTTTTTACGTAGATGGACAGTCGTCCGGAACAATATAAATGAATAATACTATATTTGTTACCTTATAACGCCTTAACCATTTAACTAGTTTCATATAAACGCATTATATGAGATGGAGAAGGATCTAGACTACTTTTTATTCCGGTCTGTAAACATTCTGGTCACGAGAACAAAGTTGATGGTTTGTAAAAGTTAATATTTCATAATATGCCAGTTAAAAACGTATTTCTGTAAGTATAATGTATATATTATAGTCTATGCTAATTCCCTAAAAGTTATTACCTAAAATCTTTGGTTATTACTAATACTGGCAATACTCGTTCTGAAGTAAACTCGTATATCTCTAAATAGTCTGTTCTCCGTATCGTATGGTTTTGTTCTTATTCGCATTTTCATTTTCTTATTTTACACTTGCTAGCAATTTTGAAGCGTGTTCGTGAATTGGCATCTGAGTTAGTGATATAAAAAATATATCACTTCGGTTTGAAAAATTAAAAATAATAGTAAGAAAACAACACAACTATTTCATTCAAATTTTTTAGACTCCGTACCAGACGCAGTATACTTGCTGATGTGATATTCTTGAAATGTCATCGTATATGGCAGGTGTTTTCGATTTAGATTTAGATGTGGATGTTACAGTTGGAGATTCAGACGAAGACGATATTATCGAAGTTGATGAGGTAGTTATTTTGTTAATTTTAGAAAAGGTTATATCTACTATTAAGTCTAACCTAAAATCTACATTGGAGTCAAATGATAATTTGTTTTTAATTACTAACCATAGGTACAGTAATTTTGAAGTAATCTTATGGAACACAGATATTTAGAAATAAAAGTAATAACTGTGTCATTTGTTAAATTCTTGTCATAGTTACAAAATATTTTGTATAATTTTATTTATTATTATTATGTAAAATTAAAATAGTATTAGACACCAATACCTACTAATTGACATTTATAAAATAGTTGTTGTTTTTTTTTCTAACTTACATATTTATCTATGTAGACATAGAGAAATAATTTTTACTGAAACATGTACTAATTTATCTTAAAATCAAATATATTGCTTTTTAGTTTCATCATTAGTATATTATTTCAAGAATATGCTGTGAGGAAATGGGGTTTTTCTTGTCATATTTTAAAATTATTGTCTTTTTTTTAGTTGGGATTTTTTTAAATCAAGTGATTATGTTAATATATGTGTATTTTTGTTATAATTCTTTTTTTAATGCAGGTGGATTATGACCCTGAGTTAAATGTCAACAATATTGTTGAGTAAGTGAACTCCTCTATTATATCAGAATGTATAAAATTTAGAAAGAGTATGAAATTTAATATAATATAATACTTTACAGATTAGAAGGATCTGAAACAATACAACTATCTGAGGATACAGTAAATCCTGGACAGTGTAAGCGACTTGGTCCACAAGATTTTGAGTTGCGGAAAGTTTTGGGAAAAGGTGGATATGGGAAAGTGTTTCAAGTTCGCAAGATTACAGGACCAGATGCTGGATCTCATTTTGCTATGAAAGTTCTTAAAAAGGCATCAATTGTTCGCAATCAGAAAGATACTGCACATACTAAAGCAGAAAGAAATATATTAGAAGCTGTTAAGGTGATTTTAAAATTGTATTAGTAATCTTAACTGTATAATATGGTAATTTGCTGATAATTATAGCTGTAGGTGTAATGGATATATTAAATTAGGTACTATAAATTAAAGATAGAGAATTAAGTTTCAATAGCCTTTCAGACTGGAGGATCTCTGGATGTGCATGTTTTTTGTAAGAATCTAATTATGATAGGCTACTTCAATTGATACCTAAACCTCTCCACTTCTGCATAGCATACCTTTCATTATCAACATTAGTAAATAATCATCATTTCAGCCATTATCCATCCACTGCTGGACATAAGCCTTCCCGATAGACTGTCATAAAGATGATCCTGAGCCATCAGCATCCACTGACCCCCTGCAATGCATTTCAGGTTGTCGCTCCATCTAGTGGGGGGGATAAATAATAATAATACTATAGTATTAAACATTAAGATTTCCAAGAAATCTTTCTTAGCAAATGTGTAGATCACATGAGAAATCATGGTTTCTTTATTTAGATATTTTATGATAGATCAGTGTGTGGTATTTCAATGTTATATCTACTTATCATGTGGATCAAAATTTTAATGAACAGATCTGCACAATATATCTAATTATTTATACATTATTGCCTTACTAATATAATATTTTATATCTTAAATTTTTTCAGCATCCTTTCATAGTGGAATTAGTTTATGCTTTTCAAACTGGTGGTAAACTATACTTAATATTAGAATATTTAAGCGGTGGTGAACTTTTTATGCATCTTGAACGAGAAGGCATTTTTCTTGAGGATACTGCATGGTGAGTATTGAATTATATATATTCTTTATTGCACTTGTAAATTACATTGTTAATGCATTTATAAATATTGAGAGCAAAAATTTACTTATCTCTGACAGACACTATGACTATATATTAGCTACTAATATATTGGATTTTAGGTATGAATATAAATATTTAATTTTATACAAATTAGTGTTTAGGCAATAAATATACATTATATTACACTGTATTGATTCCATTATAAATTTATAAAATTATTATTAATTCATCACTATAATTACAAATTCTGTCAGAGAACACTTCCACTAATATGCACTTTTTGAGATTATTTAATAGACAAAACCTGTTGTACTATGTTGTTTGTGACAACCAAGTATACTTGGCTACTAGATTTATTACAGAGTTCTCCATGAAGCATATTTTGAGTATGACTGTTTCCTATTCAATATAAATGTAGTATTACATTTTATAGCCTTTTGTTTCGATGCAATGTATCCTAAAAAATAAAAAATCATGCTACCCATTGAAGTAAAAGAAGTGACGATGGTGGATTCTAAAAGTTACTGCTTGAAATTTGTAACATTTTTCTCCTTTCAATTTAGTCAGCTGATTTAAAAGACTAGAATTTTTTTAAATTGTTTTATCTATATTAAAAGCTGTTTAAGTAATTGATATATTATCATATACAATGATAATTATATAATGTGTTAATTATTAAGTTTTTTTTATATTCCAGCTTCTATTTATCTGAAATTATACTGGCTTTAGAACATTTACATAGCTTAGGTATAATTTATCGAGATTTGAAACCAGAAAATGTGTTATTGGATGCACAAGGTCATGTTAAACTCACAGACTTTGGTTTATGTAAAGAACACATTCAAGAAGGAATTGTTACACATACATTCTGTGGTACAATTGAATATATGTAAGTTATCAAGAAATACATTCAAAAAAATATTATTATAATAATAACATTATGTAATATTAATAATATTAAATTTTATTAATAGGGCACCAGAGATTCTAACAAGAAGTGGCCATGGGAAAGCTGTTGATTGGTGGAGCTTGGGTGCCTTGATGTATGACATGCTAATTGGTCAAGTATGTAATTTATCACAATCAATCAGATACCATTGATTGTATAAATATTAGTGTGTAATAATGTATATCATAAATATAATTTGTCCATGTTGCAGCCTCCATTTACAGGCGATAATCGTACAAAGACAATAGAAAAAATACTTAAGGGTAAATTAATGCTGCCTGCCTACCTCACACAAGATGCCCGCGACTTAATACGGCGTCTTATGAAGCGTTCTGAAACACAGCGCCTTGGTGCTGCTGGAGCAGCCGTAGTACGAGGTCATGCATTCTTCAAACATGTTCATTGGGATGATGTTTTCGCCCGTCGATTAGAACCACCAATAAAACCCAGATTGGTATGTGTATTTGTGTAAACATTTCAAAATATAATTCTACTAGAACTTCTGATACTTTTGATGTTGCAGATTTGTCATTAGTGTCTGCTTATTCGTTATTAAAAATAAGTAAATATTTACAACAATTTTTGTGTAAAAGTAAAAACAAAGTAAAATTTGTCACAATTTTTTAAATTCCAAAATCATCAATAGGAATTGTGATATGTATGAAGCTAAAGTTTTTTGTAGTATGTATTTAATCTTAGTTTTAATTATCTTTTCCTTTATCCTCAATGTTATCTATAAATAAAGGTCGTTTAGTATAAATCCCCACATACACAGAGATATTTTTCTTTCCGATATAATGTAAAAACCATAATCATAACAATGTTAAGTCAATTGTAGTGTTGTATTGAGTTTTTATTGATTACATGTGCCATTTATTGACTATAGGTCTTAAATTTTGCCAAATGGTATATTGATCATGTCTGTTCCCATAGACAAATTATATACAAATCTATTTAGAGATATGTTAACTGCACACATGTAAAAGAACATGATGCCAGATATTCTAATTTGTTTTATTCTATCTCATACAAATAGCAGTGAAAATGTTTGTCATTTGTACAGGTGAAGTAGTAGTCACGGGATTATAGCTGTGATCTGCAATCAGTTGTTCAATCTTGGTTGCATAAAAAGTATACGAGGTTTGTCCGGAAAGTACGTATAAAAGTTTTTTAAAAATTTTATTTTACAATTATTCAGGTAAATCAATTTTATCCCCTTCAAAGTACTCCCCCTGTGACATAATGCACTTGTGCCAACGCCGTTTCCACTGTGAGAAGGCTCCTTGAAAGTCCTCTGGTTGTAGGTTTCTCAGCTGCCCCGTCGTAGCTTTTTTTATCTCATTTATGTCCCCCAAATGCCGCCCCCGAAGTACCAATTTGGTTTTTGGGAACAAGAAGAAGTCACACGGGGCCAAATCCGGCGAATAGGGGGGTGTTCGGTCACCGTAATGGAATTTTTACTCAAAAACTCACGGAACGATCTTGGCGCAAATTTTTTTCATTTGAAGTTCGTTTCTTAGAATTTCGTGGACCACGGTTTTGCCCAAATTAAGCTCTTCAGCCACCTGTCTGACCGTTAAACGACGGTCCCCATTAACACAAGTTCGAATTCTTTCCACGTTTTCGTCGGAATGTGAAGTGGAAGGACGTCCTGAACGTGGGTCATCTTGAACGCTTTCTCGGCCCTCTCTGAATCTTTTTAGCCACTTGTGGACGGTTGGTTCCTTCACAGCATCATCCCCATAAACTGTTCTGAGATCGGCAAAAATTTCACGGCCATTCTTGCCGAGTTTCGAGAGAAACTTGATTACGACGCGCTGCTCTTCAACGGAAGCGGGCTCCATGCCGACGGGGTTTCGTTAAGAGGTAACTTCACAGATGGCGTGACAAGCCAGTTCGCACCGCACGGCGGTCAGACCAGAACTGAAGCATTGTTAGGGACATAAGGAAGGGGTCCTGCGCTTACCTGGCCTCCCCACTCCTCTTTCTCGCATTCCAGAACACTTTTATACGAACTTTCCGGACAGACCTCGTATATACTTGATGTAAAATCTTATTGTATGTTAGTTTATTTATCTGTATAAGGAAGAGTGATATCATAGAATATTTGCACCTATTTTTTTTTTGATGGGTGAAAATGGTATGGTAACCCCGCCTGCGCTAACGGGATACGCTGGCGGAGCACCAGTGAATGGTGATCGATGAGAATGAAAACAGGCCAGTTAGCCCATCATGATGGATTCATCAGGAATTAACCATGATAGTTTCCAGGGGAACCACGAGGAGGTCGACCTGGTTGGGTATATTGCTAGCAATGGGATTTTTAGTCTCCATTACTAACAATCCCTTTCCCCCCTTATTTGCACCTATTAGGTACACTAGTAGGTACTAGTACTTCATACAAACACAAAATTATTTACATTTAAGTCAATATCAAGATTTAAGCTTTAGCAATAGAATATGAATATGCCAGGTTTCTCACTCATTAATAAATGGACAGCCAAATTCATGATGTAGAGATAAATTTACTATCTCAAAGAATATATGAAATGATTTCCTTATCTACACAACACTTTAAAGTTACTTTTTATTTTTGTAATAAAATTCATCATGTGTAATACATTTATATACATACATATTTGTGTAAAGCACTTGTGCTGTATTACAAGTAAATCAACTTAACATACGAGTACAGAGTGTTTTTTGTAAATTTTACATACCTACATATTATGTGATTTTCAGGCAAGCGAGGATGATGTATCACAGTTTGATACAAGATTCACACTTCAAACGCCCATTGATTCACCTGATGAGTCTACTCTTAGCGAAAGTGCCAACCTAATGTTTCAGGTATTATATTTCAGTAGCTGAAATTAAATTGATTGTGCCCTATAAACAAGAGATTTATCTGAATTTTATTTAATAGATACACAATTTTTGTATTTATAATATTGCAGGGGTTCACATACGTAGCACCCTCTGTACTGGACGAGATTCACAAGCCACGAGTAATTACGGCTCGTTCGCCGCGCCGCCCGCGGCCACAACACCACAACACGTTCGCAGGACCGCCACCTTCCACCGCCCATTCGCAATCACATGCTCAACAAGAGGACCTCATGGACGTGCAAGGTCTACCTATATAGTAAGTACTGTAATTAGGATAATTATTGTTAATTAACTTGGGTGACCGGATCAGCGGCTTTATGTTTAACAAGTCATAAATATACGTATATCTATTGATATGTATAATATCTATGTATGTTAAGACGAGTAATTTGTGACATATAATAGTTAGTGAAGTAGTATGGACATTTGGCAACGTTTCTTTTGTAATGAAAAATGTTATAAGTTTAGTAAAAGTAAAAAGCGTTAGAAGTTCTATTACAAAAACAATAATTAATAGGTCTGTTATGTAGAAGATACAACTTTTTAATGTTTAATGACTTGAAACCGTTGATCCAGTGAGCCTACATTCATAGTTAGCATACAGCCGCACACTAGCAGTGACAGTTACTATTTACCGTAAAGAAAGTATCTTATGAATTTTGCATATTGACTTATTTTTTTATATTGTTATTGTTACAAATTGAAGAATACTATAAATATTCCGGTAATTATATATTATATATTTTGTGCACTTTATGCACTACAACATAAGTAGCATTGCTATTCCTCTATTATGCAAAATGCACTGGTTTATGTTTAGTGTGTGGCTGCACTATTTGTAGTTTATACTAATATTATTACTAGTTCCGAACCAAACTGAGAAAGTGTGGAGTATTGTGTGCTAAATCATTGGATGCAGTACAGACATATATCCAATTTGATATTTTTAGTTTAATTCATAATATTATGTAATAATTATATCGGATCTTATTTGGTTGTTAAAAAATATCTATTAAATATTTTCATTATATGATTTGTAGTGATAATTACTATGAAATCGATAATTTTATGTGATTGTAATTTAATTTTAAAATGCAGTAGTTTCTCAATTTATCGCGTGATAAAATCCGCATGTGATATAAAAATTTTCGTTAATACAAATCAGGGGTTAGAATTTATGAAAGTAATTGGAATAAGTATTGTATAATATTTGGATAAAATTCATGTACCTTTATTTATGTAATTAAATTAATTTTGCCGACAACTATATAAATGTAAAATTTGTGCTGGTAATTGTATTATAGCCTATACTCTAGGTCTAGCGACCGGTAGGTGCATCTTTGTTTTTGTGAGACTGTTGGTATTTGCTGGCGGTGCATCTTATTACCCGCTTATATTGAGAAACTAATGTGAATTTATGAATCGCATACACTCATTTACTACACAGCAGTTTAATCATTTCCTAGGTCTTATGCCCATTCAGTTTTAATATCCTGTCTTAATATTTTTTAAATCTATTATCAATCAATCATGGAACAACAGAATAGGTACTTTCCCTGTTAACTATCGCAACATCGCGATCTCCTACCAAATTTTGTGATGTTTTAATTTGAAGTTTCTTTTTAATTGACCTTATAATTATGAGAACATTGTAAATATTATCTTATTTATATATAGGTATAATATGAGAATGTGATATGTATTAAATATGATATATACTTGTATGAAAATGATGTTTTGATGTAAAGTAATAATTATAATAATAATAAAAAATACCAGGAAATCGCGATGTAGCGTTATTAACTAGCGCGGTTTCAAAAAATATACGATGGCAATAATACAACTCAATATCATTGAAAATGTCTTGTCTAATAGTATTAAGTTATTATTTGTGCTATTTTAATAGCAAAAGTTACCATTTTCACTAGAATTTATTTAAATGTCTTTTAATGTTATTGAAAGATGACCTTAGATGAAATTATTTGGAAATATCAGTTAGGGCACTGTAAAAGTTTATTGTTAATGCTTAACGAAATTAGAGCAAAAAGTAATTATGCAATGGTTTGCAAGTACCTAGGTATAGCCAAACACTGAAATGGAACTATAGTTTTAAATAATGAATTGGTATCAGAATGTTTGGTTTCACAAATAGCTGGCAACTTCTAGCGTCTTGGAAAGTTAAAACTGGCTTTTTATAAATTATTATAGGATCCATTTCATGTAACCCACCGATGAAACCATACTAGTCTGTTGATATTACGTTCTCATTATAAAATGAAACTAAACATGGCGGGTTATACAACATAAATCCATTAATTCCCGTAAAATTTGCCTGATAATAACAAGAAGATGTCAGCGTCACTGTAATTAAAATTATACTTGAAATTAAATGACATTAAAACATTACGTTCTATCTAAATATCCATAAATTTAATCAAGAGAAATTGTCACCCTTAATAGATAATAATTTGTAGGTAGTTTTTGAATTATGAATTTGTAATATTTGTAATGACTAAGTCTAGAAGCAATTTTTGTCGGCTTGAACGACCGAGAAAAAAAAAGCATATGCCCTTTATACCGAAAATAACAATTTTCATATTATTATACATACACAATAAATGAGTTTAACAATATTAGAGATTCGACTTAGCCGAAATAAAATTTTGTCAAAATCTGAAGATAGACACTGACATCCCGATTAGGAATTCTAACATTCTGATATCAATAACGATTTTAAATTTCTTTAGTTATGAATATTAAATTATGTATATATAATGAAGTGTTTTTTTTTTTTTTTTTTTATAAAATTATCGAAGTGAAGCTCATTTTCATTATTAGTTAATATAATATACTATTTTTTTTCCGGAAGTAATTCTTAGCCTGTTTGTGTTACATACTTATATTCCTAATGACAATTGTAAATACAGGATTTTTTTATTGTAAGATCTCGAAAGACCACTTAGAAAATCCAAAAAATAATACGTATTCTATTCATTTTAAAGCAAAATACATATGTTATTTTTTTTATAAAAACTATTTCGTATCGATCGCAAATTTTCGGATAAATAATTAACCGGTGTAAAGTATAAAATGTGACCGGAAATTTTAAATGATAACTACAAAAACATTTCTTCAGTTATGGGTACACTTACTTGATTTATTTAAAATATGATATAATAATGTATAAACTTCTTACACACCATATATGTATACCCTCGAGCTCGACTCGTCTCTCGTTGAAACTTTCGTGCCAATGTGCGTACATGACCTATGGTATACATATGGTATGAGTTTAGTTTTCAGTTCTATACTAATTCAGTTATAAAAATATAAATATGCATGTCTAATGCACTGATGTTACATGTTTTGAAACCGTTAAACCGCGAATAAAAAAGAGAATGGACAAAATATTTTTTCTACTAGTCTTTGGTACCTTTTTTTTTGCTTTAACCGAAATAAATTAGTATTAATTTTACTGTTACATTTAATTAAAAATATTCATAAGAACATAGTATACCTTGAATATAATTCTACTGCCCTACTAAGAAGAAATAGCGCAAGTCGCGCATTTCGTGAAATTGAGTTAGTTTGATATTTATGTTTGCAGATGCAAAAAATAATAAATATTTATTGTCTAAGATGATTTGCAATAAATAACAAATTAAACAAGCTCATTTTACAAAGTTTTTATCTCAGAAATATGTTACATTAACAGTTGTGGTTTAAAAAGGGTAGACTATACTTGAAGATAATATAGGATATGATCAAAATGAAGGATTAATTTTTCAGTCACGCAAATTCTGTTTTGAAGGCACTTATTATTTTTATATCTCAGGGGCGACAGTAATGAAAGTAATAATTTGAGTAGGAATCTTTATTGTGACGTCATTATTTTATTAGATTAATCTATTACATCGTTTTCGAAGAATTAATTATACTATCAAATAAGTAATGTTCTTAATTCATTTTCTCTTTTGAAATATACATAATTGACTGAGGCATACAATATATACAGTTGACCGAGTGACAATATAATCGTCAAATCGTCGTCAATTTTTTAACAATTTATATAAAGGGCGATGACATGTAAGGGCTACATAAATGTTTTCACATATAAATGTCGGTAAAATATAAATATGATATTGTTTTATACTACCTACATATAACGAATGTACATTTTATACAAGTTACCGTTTAGTCTAATCTTTGGTAGGATTAATCGCTCTAACAAAAAAAATGTTCTAACCCCGACTGTAAGACGAAATAATAATTTACAATATATTATGTACCTTGTTACCATGCTTGATGAATTGAATTAAAAGGTCATTTTTTATTTTGTATATCAGAGTTTTAATTCACGGCGTTTATTCCTTAAATAGCTCGCAATGTGGTCCCGGCATAGAATAGAAGCCACCCCTATCGTTCCTGTGGGTGTCGTAAGAGGCAACCGAAAAAACTTAATGATTAAGGTCTACCCTTATTGGTCTACCCTACCCGTAACAACGTCCCTCTTAAAACATCACCAAAGCCTAACTGCGGTTGCTAATTCGCCTGCCAAACGTGACAGAATCCCCCAATAGAGAGAGGCCTACGTTCAGCAGTGGACAGAAGACGGCTAATATGATGATAATTCCTTAGCTAGCGATTTTTATTGATACAATAATGTAAGTACATAAATATAGAAAATAGTACTTTAAAGTTGCATTCCTTATACAGGTGTCCCGTATGACCCGAAAGCCATGGATCTATTTATTTATTTACAAGAACATGGTAAGTGTAAGGTATAAGTCCTCATAATTTGCAAAATTTAAAACAAAAAGAATGAATGTTAATTAACTGAGTCATTAAAACAATTCGTAATGTTATAAAAAAACCAATATATCAAATACGTCGAACACTTGTCAACAATAAAAAAATAAATGTCACTGTCAAATCATGGACTATTGATAACAGCTGCATTGCAACACGATAGGTAATTAAAATATGTAAGAATTTAGTATTTATAATGTATGTAAAAGAACTCCTCAGCAAGCCAATGTCCGAAACTTTAGATAAGGGGTAGGAAGTATTGAGATAAGTCTTAGGTCGGACATAGATGTGAGTTTGAATGTTTTAGGACAGGAATAATACGGACTTTCTTCCATAGCTCAGAAAAAGAACATGTGTCAAGAGAAGAATTAATAATATATGTATATATTGACAATAGCTTATCAACAATGGGTTGCAACATTAAAATACTTTCACCATCAGCACCCGTGGGTTCGGAAGAAATACTGAGATATTTCTTAACATCACACTTTGTAAGCATGCTGAAGGAAAAGAGATTACGTCACACGTCATGTCGGGGCTTTGTGAGAAATTCAGATATTGTTAGACCACTACCCTTAAGCAGTGGGGGGAAAGGGATTGTTAGTAATGGAGACTAAGAATCCCTTTGCTAGCAATACACCCAACCAGGTCAGCCTCCTCGCGGTTCCCCCTGGAAACTGTCATGGTTAATTCCTGATGAATTCATCATGATGGGCTATCTGGCTTGTTTTCATTCTCATCTATCACCCTTCACTGGTGCTCCGCCAGCGTATCCCGTTAGCGCAGGCGGGGCTACTATACCATTTTCACCCAACAAAAAAATACCCTTAAGCAGTGTCTTAGCCTTCCAAACAAGATCACGATGCTTGTACTGCTGGAAGTTTTATTCTTTACCGTGCACGATTTATTATGAACTTCCACATTATTATCGTGCAGTTCCACAATATATCGTGCAAAAGAACGCTTTTATACTTTGCTGTGGACGTCCATATCGTAAATTGTCGACGCCATTTTTTTATTATTATATATTTATTTAATTTACATAAATGGCGTTCTATTGTTTCTGCCTACCCTAATAGAAGACAGGTGTGACAGATATGTATGTATGTATTTAATTTACATATATATATTAATTAATTTATTTGTTTAGGTAAAAACCTGCAATCTGAATTAGAACCAATTGATCTTAACTGATTTTGCTGTAATTTTGCCTTATAATATTACTTGCAGTATGTCATACTTATTATTGTAATATTTTCAAAATGACCGACGTTACAAGATGAAGGATTGTGTATATTTTACTAAGAACAAGGAATTATATAAAAGGAATGATAGAATAAAAACTGTAAATCATATGGTTGCCGCCTTTCTTATGCAAATATAATTAGTAAAAAGAGGACGAAAGATACACCGTCAATTGCTATTTTCTCAATTCTTAGTAGGTAAGTGTATAGAAAAAGTTTGATATTTCAATTATTTGTCAATAATAAATTTTATATTTCTAGATTATATATTCGACACTGTTTATGTAGAAAGTATGTAAGTAGGTTGTGTCTCAATTTGGTAGGGTTATACGGCTGTTTATTATATATTACATTTTCTATACACTAGCCTCGTATGAATTGATAATTTTATCACTCCTGTTATGTAATTCCTTGTTCTTAGATATTTTATTAACCCTGTTAATACAGCTGTTAAAATAAATTACGTTTAAATATGACCGTAGACAAAAGATGGTGGATTACTTGTTTAACACCATATTAATAAAATTTAATCTTAATCAAAACCTACTTCTTTTTCAAATCGACTGATAAAAAACATATGCCATTAATTTCCTCTTAACGTTATTGGTCTCCCCCTAGAAGGTGGGTAGGAAGCAGCGTGGATAGGCATTCGGTAGCATCGGCTTACTCACTCCGAGCCTAGGTGTATTACGATATAGCTGAAAAACGTGCATCTCCAAAATTATAATCTGAAGAGCATCACAGCAGGCAAACGCTTATTCATATAATAAACACATATACATACTACACGCGTAGAATTGCTACAATCTTACGGGAGAGCCTAATTCTGCCACGAAAAGGTTACGGCAGTGTCATGATCGTGTACGACCATGTTATTATCGTACGGAATGCATAAAACCGTCTCCATACAAATGTATATATTTTTCTCTCCTATTGTATCATGACGGTAAAAACGCACATTATCGTAAAGTTCCACGGAAAAGTATTAAAACACCCAAAGGTTATGATAGTGATGAGATCATGCACAACCACGTTATTATCGTAGAGAATGCTTAAAAGTATCTCCACACAAATTTACACATTTTGCTCTGTCATTGTATCGTACAATCGACTGTAAAAACGTACTATATCGTGAAGTTCCGCGGAAAAGTATAAAAACGCCCTTTAATGAAAATATAAACCATATAACTCGGCTCAAGGTTCGCATTGTATAAACAATTTAAAAACAAGTAGGTTCTCAATTCTTGTAATTTTTATTAATCCTCAACTGACTTTGATAATATTTTGGACCAATAATATTTACCACTCATTTGGTTTTATATTTATTGTCTCAATTAAACTATAATTTATTGCGGGAACAAATTCTTAAAATAATTATTATTGGTTTGAAGTGTTATATTATTCAAATACACAAAAAAATATTCCATATATTTTAGGATTTTTGTATCACAGCAATACTTATATTCTAGGTATATTTGAACAATTTTTGAACCATAATAGCAAGCAACATGACAACAGACACACTTGAAAACGTATGTATTATATATCAGTATTTTTCAATGTTTTTCATGACGCGACCCCCTTATTATGTAAAAATATCTTGTGGCTTCCTACTCTCTATGGTTTCGAATTTGTATACATTTTATTATAGTACAATTATGAAATCCGTACAGTCGTATTTATATTCACAGTTAGGTATCGATAAAATAAATAATACGTAATATAGTATTTAAAACAGACATGTAATCGATGTATGTTATAGATACTTCATTATGTATTATTGATGTATTTAAGGAACTGCTGATTTTTCATTGCTTCGCGACCTTCCGCGACCCCCTTGTAGAGGCTCGGGGACCCCTCAAGGGGTCGCGACCCACACTTTAAAAACACTGTTATATATAATTCATAATTATTATATTGCGATCAAATCATTATATATATATACTTTAAACACGATTGAATTGTGATGTGTATATATATATATATAAGGATTCTTTTTTACCAATATATTACTAATAATAGAAATATATAAATACGAACAATTTAGGGACACTCAAGTATTACGTTACGCATATTTTGAAGATTTATGACCTTCCTTCCGCCATACATGGGAGCGCCAATACGGATAGCAACATTTTTCTGTAAGGCCAACTATTCACAGTACTAAAGAATATTGACAACAAAAACAAAATAAAAATGACGTACAATACAGTCTAGGAATTCCCTATAAAATATAAACGAAGAGGGTTGCCAACTTACGATATTTAATTTCTCTAGTATTTTATTCAAATAAAAAACAATGTTTTTTTTTTCTTTTTAGTGGCATTCACTTCGATATTAGTGTATTTTGCCAAAAACAATAATACAACCACATGTTCAACCCCCTCCTCATCTCGCCCCTGTAACATATTGTAACGTTTTAGAAGACACCGCCCTCCCTCCAATTGTGTTGCGTAATATTTGAACGCCCTCTTTGATATTATAATTACATGAACAATAAAATGTCGAAATTACAAAAATTTACAAAATAAATCCACTTTTATCTAATTTCTTTACAAATTCAATTCCCTAATGGTTAATTATCTTGAAACAAATTAAGATAATAAAATTAACAAAGCTTTTTGTCATGCATAGATATAATGCGGACAAGGTTAGTAGAGTTATACTATCATTTGCATTTCCATACATTCTTCACAAATGGCATAAATATTATGTGATTCTTTTGTATCTGGAACTAAAGTAAATTGTAAATCATTATTGCAAGCTGTATTATGCTTTTCTAGCATATTGAAGATTTCATATTTTATCTGATCAAGGGATTTTTCTGTTATAATGGCACTTTTACAATTTGTACATGTTAAAACCTTGTTTTGTAGGGTGCAATTAAACTTTTGACATACTGGACAAATTAGATTGTTGTCTTCTTCTTCTAGAGACCAGTCTACATTATCAGCTTGTGATTTTTCATATTCTTTCATCAGCCTGTAAATAAAAACAAATAATATGTATCACATGCAGTTAACACTTCCAAATACGTACTAACATGGTATATAAAATAATTGGCTGTTTAGTAAATATTGTGGCTGTATAGAGTAAAAAATTTGGGTAACTCAAATTTAGTTGAAAAACAAATAATACTACAGTACACAGAAAAACTTTGTACAAAAGTTTCTATCGTGAAGCAGTTGTGTTTGCATGACTGTGTTTCGGTTTGAAGGGTGGGATATGGCAGTGAATTTACTGGGTACAGATGAATAACACCAGAGTTCTTACAAATGCCATCGCATGGGGGGTAGCATGGGCAAAATAGTAAACTTTGTTATGTCCATGGTACTGCTCATGTCTATAGGCGACGGTTACCACTTTCCATCAGGTGGGCTGTCAGCTTGTTTGCCATTCTAAGTTGCATAAAAGAACTTTTTTTGTGAATAAATTCTTATTCAACTTACTTTTTTGATGGTAGTGTTAAGAAACTAAATTCAATAGATGGGAAATGGTTTTATTAATGGTTGTTAATGAAATAGTAATCCAGTTTGCGTTAACGGTACATGCTGGCGGAGTATTGGTAATTGGTTTTTTTAATGAGTGAAAATGGAATGGCATCTCCATCTGACCTCACCTGACAGATAATAGGATAAAAGCAGGTCAGTAAGTCTATACTACTATATAGGAATTACGTGGAGGTCTACCTGATAGTGTATATTACTATCAATGGGGCTGTTAAACCCCATTACTAACAATTCTTTTCTCCCAATGGGAAATGGTTTGCCTCCACATCATATGAGATTGCACTATCTCTGTTTAAATGTGAACTAGTCAGATGGTATGTTTATTCAGTGTTATGAGTGGTTAGTGGATATTAATACCTGTAATTCCTGCATCTGGAACTATAATTGTGAATGTGTGTGCATATTTTAATTTTTTTTTTATACAACTTAGAATGGCAAACAAGTTGACGGCCCACTTGATGGAAAATGGTAACCGTCGCCTATGGATATTAAATGTCTTATATATACTCACCAAGACTTTTTGTATCTTTTTCTGTAATAATATCACTAAATATAACACACTATTTTCTAATCCTAAATAAAGCAGAACTTGTAATATAAGTATTAAAATATAGATTTTTTTTATGAGTGACAATGAAATGTTAACCCCACCCGTGCTATCCGATATACACCGCTGGGGCACCAGTAAACGCTGATAGGTGAGGATGAAGCAGGTCAGTTAGCCCAACATGACGAATTCAACAAGAATTGTTCATGATGGTTTCCAGGGGGAACCACATGGAGGTCGACCTAATAGGGCCATTAATAATTTTGCCAGCGACAGCGCTGTCAAACTCCTTTGCTAATAATCCCTTCCCCCCTTAAGATATAGATTAGGTTTATTGATTAAAAACAAAATGCCTGTACATAGAAAAGACCAACATAAATCCAATCATAAATACAAATGTATATAATTTGTGGGGATTAAACCAGCAAGGCTTCACAGCTTGGAGGAAGATGATGTAGAAAATGACGTTGTAGTCGTGAAATGATGATGTAGTCAATTAATATAAAAATTTCATGTAGTTATAATCATCATCATCATATTGACTATTATCTAGAGATGTGTATATCAGGTGTGAAGCCTGAACATAGGCCTGGGGGAAAAGCGATTATTAGTAATGAGGGTTACCAGTCCCATTGCTAGCAATATATCCTATCAGGTCTTCCTCCACATGGTCCCTCTTGGAAATAACCGTGCTGAATTCAAGGTGTATTAATCATGATGGGCTAACTTACCTGCCTTTTCATTTCACCTATCATTTCTTACTGGTGTCCTGCCAGTGTATACCATTAACATAAGCAGGGTTACCATTCTTCTGTCATCTATTAAAAAAAGGAATGTACACCTCCTTAATAGACTGCCATAAGGAATGGAATCATTTCTTAAGGCAAATGCAATGTTTACCATTGAGAAGATTTTACCAGTAGTTGCCACGCTTAGCAGGTGGATTGGCAACTGCAGTATGGCTTTTAGTAATGTTTTAAGAGGGACATTGGTGCCCATCCCTCAACCATTAATTTCCCTTAGTCACATCTTAAGACATCCACGGGAAAGGAAGGGGTGTCCCATTCTGTGCCAGGATCACACAGCAATTTTTGAATGCACTTAATAAACAAGAAATATAATTCAAAACATATAAGGTGAATATATAAAATTACTATAACACATACCATTGAAATTCTTCCAGTATCAATTCTTTTTTAATTTCATCAAAAATTTCAATTTCTTCATCATCAATTGAATGTATATTCGTAAAATTAAACATACTTCTATAAATATCATTTAAAGTGTTATGAATTTCTGTGTCTATATGTGCCCCACGGAATTTATTTAATAGCATGTTACGACAATTTTGTACTTTGTCTCTATAATTCTACAAGGAAATAAAATTAGTATGTAAATTATTAAGCACATACATTTTATCTTTACAATTTTATATTTTATTTTCTTTACAATTAAGGGCAATTGATTTAGGCAATTGACTCCATTAGATGAAACATCTATTTTGTCATTTTATTTATAAAAAAAAAGCAGTAGCATTTCTTTTAATTTTTGGTGAGAAAATAAGATATTTCATCAATATTATTTTACAACTAGTGTTCAAAATGGAACATAGTTCAATAAATGGTTTACTACCAACAAGTGTAAGATTTTAATGTCTGAAAATGATCATGTAACTTCTCATTGTTTTTTATATTTAAGCAACAACAAATATCTCCATCTTGTATGTAGAGATTAAATAATACCAGAACAGGTGTGGTATTTTTATTAATATGAGTATATTTGTGTATACATAAAATAGTTATAGGGAAACCTGTTAAACCTAGTAAGTGGTATTAAGGGGAAAATTCTAAGGCTACTCACTGACCCTGATCTACACATTAAATTATTAATAATAAGGTGAGCTTGTGATTACCTGATTAAAATATTTTATCCTTAAAAAGACCTATGGTTTTATTTGTTTTTTGCATGGTAAATATTAGGTGGATGGCGAATTTCATAGAAACTTACATTTGGTTGTGCTGTGAAAGTATTAAGAGATAACAAATATACAGACTTACTTTTAGATTTATTAATAAAAGTTTCTTACAAGTGATTAATGTTTTCACGAATTAATAGAATAACATAGTACTAACTAACAAGTATATTAACTAGACCTAACATGAAATGTAATATTTTTAAATAAACACGGAATTACATACATACCTTTCTCATTTTCTCTTTTATTTCTATTGGAGAATGTTTTCTAGAGTTGCAATTTAAATTCTTGAATCTTGGAGAGGAGACTGTAGAGGAATTCATGTTTAAACAAGCAAACTGGAAAAAAATCTATATCAAATAGATAATTGGAATTTTGATGGCATACATTTGGCAATAAATATCTATTTTTAACTAAACATCTACATCTAATATTGAGATTGTAACGGTTATGTTTTTACATAAAATGTTTTTAACATTATAGTTAAGAAGTTTTTATAAGAAAAAAATTACAAGAGAAAAATAAAATAATAAAAACATTTATTATGAACAAAGCAAGTTACATCGATGTTTTTTCCATTTTTTTTTTAAACGATAGGCAAAGGTAACGAATCCAATATAGTTTATTTCTTTTTTATAGTAGTTGATAAAAAAGTAGATTATACTAGCACTAAAAATACGTTGCTATGAAAGCGCAGTACATTAAAAAACTAAAAATTTTACAAAAATAAGATTGTCTTATTTTACACAATACATAATTTCCGCTAATCTTTTGTTATTCTATGTTGGTATATACTTAAAATTCATTAAACATAAACATTAAGTGATAATGGCAACATCAGTTTATTTGTCACAACTGTCAGATGGAAAAAACAATGTGAGTTTAATCTGTTCTACGATTCTTATTGTAAAAAATATGGCTAGGTCCAAAAGTTGATATAACATTTATTCGTATATATAATAATAACAAAGTGTTTGTTTGAGTTTATTGACGTTCTCATTGGAAGAATGACCCACATAGAGAAACGCCAGCCTCAGCCAGGAAAGGAGGCGATACATTCTGGGCACTTCATGGTGTCGCATTTTGAAGCTGAGGCTCAAGATGAATTTGACGACTTAGCTGTTCCTGTTCCGGAGGAAGAACAAAACGTTCAAAAGGTTTCGGGAATCACCACGTACACGGTGGCTCGGTCGAAGGAACTATTTCTGCCCTCGGATAAACAAGAAAATAAACATCATCAACAAGTCTCTATTGAAATATCTCTTACAAAATTATTTAAATGTATGACATTAGCTTACAGGTGAGTACTGACAATATGTTTTTACTTATTTCTTTTGCTATACCTATTATTTTTATTATTTCCCTTAAGAAATTATCAGTATTGGATTTAAGTAAAATATTGATATACCTTATCAATTGTTCTATATTGCTGTAAAATCATCTTAGTATTATTTGTAAGCATGTGCACAATTTAATTATAGAAACTGGATAAGGCAATTATCTTTTTTAATTATTTGAATTTTATTTTGTTGTAATAAGTAGTATAATATATTAGAAATTGTCACCTCATAGGTGAAGTGGTTTTCTAAACTTAAGAAACAGTATGTTTCCATTGCTAAACTAATGGAAATATGCAAAGATAACAGGAGGTCATCATAGTCCAATAAGATAGGTCATTTGCACAGATAACACTGTCTACGAATAATTGTTATTTATATCTGAGTCCACTTTTAATAAACATTTTATTAACATTATCAGTGTCTTTCTATCATACTTGGTATTTTTGTATTTTTATCTAGTATATTTGCATCTGGGTAGATATGTTCTATTATTGAAAACTTGTAAATACTGTGTATTTTCTATACTCAAATTTAATTTAATGTAATTATTAATTTATTTTAATAAAAAAATACTCTTAAAACTATTATAACCTTTTTAATTATGCTTCTTTTTAGATAATTGCACTATACAATAAATTTGAAATAATGAAAAATTTATGGGTGAAATCTTTTCATGCTTATGTTAGATTTGTTGCTTTCATTACAGTGGGATTATTTTTTATTTTATTTTATTATTTGTGCACATTGAATAGCTCACTCAGTGATAAGTATATTAGTTTGAAAAGTCTCTTGTGTTATAATTGAATCATTTGTTCATTGAGAAACTAAAATACCTTTATAATAAAATATATAAAATAAAAATACAAAGAAAAGTAATTTGTTTTAGACATCACAATTAAATAATCAATTTCAAAATAATATTTTAAACAAATTTGGTGTTAATAGCATATACTCATATTAAAACCCTATTTTTTTATATTTTTTAGTAATTGCTTATAAGCAATTTGTATTGTTTTCTAATATGTAAAATTTAGAATTCACTTGAGGGCCTGTTTTTATTTACATTATAACTAATATGAGTTGTTCTTAAAATGAACTTGTAGGTATTTTCTGTATATGGATGCCAATATTTTTATCTCAACATAAAATTGTTACCACTTTGATAGTGTGATTCAAGGATAAATCAAAAGTTCAAAATATCTTAAAACATTATCTTACAAGGTTGCTGAAACAAAAATAATAACTAAGTATCGATTCTTATATATTGATTATATTTTATTAATTAAGAGATTGGTAATGGATATCTATTAAAAATATATTTAATATACAAAAAGTCTAACTATATTCTTCATTTACTATCATAAAATTAATTTATGTATAACATTTTATGTTTCCAGTAGGCAAATTTATATATATTGTTAAAAAGTTATATTCTTAATTTGCTTTCTAAAACTCATATTTACAGTTAAAGACTACAAAATAGATAAGATAACAGTCTATTTCTTATCAACATGTTATTTGCAATAAGCTTCAGATCCCTTTGATAGTGATACTGATAAATAGACAAATGTTAAACATTTGATTGTCTTTTTATTTCTACAGTACAGTTTCATCACACAGTCTGTATTGTGATTGTAAAAGTATAAATTTGTACTTTTTATCTATTAATAATGCCTATATTAAATTATTTTCAAGTGAAAATGTTTCTTATGAATTCAAGGACTTTCATAGTTAACTTAATAATGAAAGTACTTTTAGCAAATATTTGTTTGTGACTATTAATTAGAGTTGTGTGATTGATAATTGAAGCATGGTAAGTCAGCATTTTATTATATTTGTTTTTATTTTGTATTTATAATTCTCAGACAAAAACTAACATCACCAAAATGGAATCGTTTCAAAGGTATAAAACTTCGGTGGAAGGACAAGATCAGACTGAACAACGTTATATGGAGATGCTGGCATATGCAATGTGAGTTTATACTCAAATCGTAATAATAATATTATTTCACGTATATTTGAAATGTGATATTTCTGCAGAAGCATATTATAAGTTATTTCTCCTAGATATCTGTGAGATTGAGCATTGCAATAAAAATGGTATTTTAGATTTATGAAAATCATTATAATTTGGAATGTTGTAGGTTAATAAATAGTAAACTTGTTAGTAACAATTTAAAGAGTCTATGTTATCAAATAGACGATAGATAAATCTTTACATTTTGTGTAATTACAAGAGAAGAGATAGACTGAATACCCTGCTATAGATAGATATGGCGCAAGTAACTGCATTTAAGTGAAATGTGTGTGTGTGTTACTGTTAATCAACTTGCTGTCCTTTTGTTGATAGTTAACCTTTTTAATTTTTTACTATTTTTAAAATTGTCCTTATATATATATATTATCTTCGAAATGATAATTTGGCGTAGTCAAATACGCTCTTTTGAGCCCATTTTAGGAAAAACAATTGACATGCAAAGTTATTACAGCTGCAATATTTTTTAAATGCATATCTATTTCGAAATTATTGGTTCTACAATGAGATATTTCGCCGAGGTTCTAATATATGACACAGGTAAACATTTAATCCAAGGTGGATTTTCAGGAAATAACTCATGAACAGGAGATACTCGTTGCAGAACAGAACAGCTGTCTTTATGTATCCTTATGTTTATATCCATACAATTTATATTATGCAGAAAAAGCAAAAAAGGTTTTCTTATTAGTGAAATTTAATTGATTTTTTATTTCTTTTATATAAATTGTGTAAATATTATTGTAATCTTACGAGTCTTTAACAATGTATAACCCAAAATTGGGAAAGACAATAGCATCGAATGAGGTAATTTTTAATAGGCGAATAAAACCCTAGAGGACTACAGTTGCCTCACTTCAGAGAAAAGGAAGCAACTCTATAATTTTAAAAGGCCAGTAACACATGCAATTTCTCTGGTATTTTGGATGCTCATGACTGGTAGTAGTCATACCGCATATATTCTTTCGACCCCTTTTATAAAAGAAAACTTAGGACTCTCAGACATAGGCCTGGTTTATCATGGCTTCGATAAACAAAAATTTTATAGTATTATCATAATGACCAAACACAAATTATTTATTTATTTATACATAATTGTTTACGCTAACAAAACATACAGGAACTTGATAGTAGAAAGCAAATGTACAAAGACGTGTTCAACTCTGTAAGAGTTCTTTTCCAGCAAACGTAAAATGGAAAGAAATGAAATATAGGAATATAATATCAATTGTTCAATGTGGCTCGGTGATAAACATGATAGAATCAGTAAATAAGTGCTGAATGATAGGAGCTTAAGAGAAATATGTAATTCAAATTTCTTTTTCTGATAAACTGTATCCTCAGTTGTCAAAAATTTAGAAATATTTCACCCTGACCTGGAAAATTACAAATTGCAAAACAGCGAACGTCCATAATGAGCTCGTGATAACTATCTATATTGTCATTTAATTTATAAGTCCCATAGTGATAATGGGACCCAAAAAGTCTGTTATCAAACTTTGACTTTCATGAGAACTTACCGTGAAGCGTGTGTGTCTTATTCAATACTAGCGACCACCCCGGTTTCGCACGGCATTTTTTTAATAAAATACAGTTCATGTTACTCGCAGATAATGTAATGTAATTATCTATAGATGAAAGAATTTATAAAATTGGATAAACATTTTTTGAGTTTATCCATTTCAACAAAATCTCAGAGTTCATATTTTCTTTATTATGAATTGAATATGGGTAGTGAATGGATGTATGCCCTTGACCGGAGCTCATAAGACCCTATTTTTAAGTACATACTCAAAGATGTGTGAATGGCGCTTAAAATAGTAACTGGCAAAACACGAATGAAGACGAAATTAGATTTGAGCTTTTTTTGGAAACCCGGTAGCTTTTATTCCTCCACTGTCATTTATCTCTTTTCGAATTTTATTTAAGAATTTAATTCTATGAAAACCTGAACGAATATTATTCGTTTATTATATATTAATTATATACCACAGTAATTATTACGTAACAGCAAAAAACTGACTTGAACTTTTACTCACAGTAAAAAAAAGCTGTACGCGTTATCTACAATTATGGAAGGCAATGTTATTAATTTTAAAATTTCGTACCTGTAATCAGAAAAATCGAGTTCATTTACGTGTCATTAGAATAAATTATTATATTTTGATATTTAAGTTTTCGTACGTTGTTTAGACCTGCTCATGTGCTCACCCTTTCTCTAGGGTTTGCTGTTAATTTCTGTTAGTCACAGATAAATATTTTATATTGTTTTCAGCAGAGATTTTTTTTTCTCTTCAGGATATAAAATGCAAATAATAATTTGCAGACACCTATTGAGCTACAACCACATAAAATGTTTTGTGACATTTTTCTCTCTTTGACAGAAACTGCTAAAATTTTTTTAACATAGTCCTAGTTTAGTTATATTTGTTTAGATTACTGTTTTTACTCGAAAGTATAAAAGAGAGAAAAAAATAATGTCAAACAAAATCGAACATTTTTTTATTTATGTATATTTTATTCCAAAAACTACTTACAAAAAATATAAATTTATATTCCCTTCTTATTCGAAATAAATCAGTTTTCCTACAATTTAATAATAATTGTATTATATCGGCTATATAAGGTAGTCAATATACACGATGTTTGTGTGAATACAGCAGGTGGGAACTAATATATTAATGTTTTCGGGACGCGTAAGTAAATGATAAGAACTTGTCACGCGTCATCATCGTGATATGATGACGTCACGTGGCAAGGTATAGACGTTTTTATCGACAACAGTATTCTTTTACACACAATTATTGATAAAATATAGATGTAATTAGTTTCATATAACTTTAAATAATAATAATTATTATACTGTGTCAAATTAAGGGTGTACATTCACGGGTGTGGTGACATTTCTTTACATACACACTATTTTCATCAAAAAATTTCATCTTGTAAAAATTTCTCGGAAGTGCTTACGAAGCAAATTTCAAATTGCATTCTGGCAATCCGAACAATTTACCAGATATGCTAGTCTTCTTAAGATATAAAAATCCCATGTCACGATTTTCGTTCACACTAGGCTCTGAAATCACTCTACCGATTTTAATGATATTTTGTAAATGGATATTGCTTTGTCTTAAGATAGCATAGTTTTTATCCCGATAAGAAAGAAAGGACCCTGTAGTGAGTAAAACAATGTTTGCCAGGTCGTAGCTAGTAGAATGATAATTATATCTACATTTTGGAGTAATTTTATGTTTAATTTTTCCTTTATAATTGACTATATTTTTATATGTTTCAGTCATAAAGAAACAGAACACTTTAGTTTGCCAGTTCGCTTCCCCGTTGGATGTTGACACACACGTGAAACCAGAGGTGAGATGTAATTACTGTATAATTTACACATTTCTTGAGATTTTATTATTTTATATTGTTTACATGTACAACTTTATTACGATACAGATTTATTTAGTAATATAAATTACATTTATGAGGCCATGAATAAAGTTGATTGTTATTTCAGACAACAATTTTAGAAGGCAAATATTGGAAGAGAAGAGCCGAAGCAGTAATAGCAGAGTATAAAAAATGGCGGATGTTTCATATAATGCGCCTCTTTGGCAAGGGGGACTCTGCTGTGCAAGATTCGGTAAGAATGTTGTGTTCGTTTGTTTGAAATTTTATATATCGTAGTATTACACTATGATTACAGTCATAGTCAAAATATCATTAATATGTAGTGAATCGAATAGGCTTCGCTTTAATTTGTACGGCTCATTTTCTTCGTATCAGTGTATCCATGTGTGCTGATCCAAATGAGATCAATGAGTTCTTTGATTGCTTAATTTTTGGTTTAATTCCATGGTGTTTGTTGAGAGGTCAACATAAATGTTTTAATTTGTGCAGATCTCGGAAATGGACACAGTGGAGTCATTCTCACAATGCAGCGACTTCGCAGGCAATATGCTTACAGACGAGGACTACCTCAACTTCATGAGTGACACATTGTTTTCCACCATCACTAGCAATCAGCCGTTCGCATTTCCGGATTGTAGGGAAATTGGTAAATTTCGCAGATATAGATTTATATACAGTGTGCATTTATAATTTTATAAGTACAGCGTCCATTTTTTTATTTACAATGATATCACGAAAGCTCATATTGATAGCAGTATATTCTTCAGCTCTGATCTAAAGGCACAAGCATGCTGATTTTGTCAGTCATAAATTCTTTTTCTACGTCTATTTTCGAACTAAAAGAGAGAAAAACCAGATATTAAGCTCTAATACCGATATTATAATTGTAGAAAACTAAAAGTAGACTGATGTCCTCTGATTTAAGAGAGAGGCCATATCTTATTGCGGGACAGTTAATGATTTATGATAAAGTTTTTTTTTTTTTGAGGATTTTAAAATGAAGAAGACTTGTTATACGATTTCTTTATTTTGCAGCTAGAGGAACGAATTTGGCGGACTTTATTCAACCAAGTTTAGGGCCTTTGCAACCTAATCTTGATGATTTTATGGAATTGGAACCTTTACAAGGTAAATGCAAATGCTACATTAAATCATTATTGCCTTAATTATATTTGTTTCTTATCATCAAGACCTATGTTCACAACGTCACGTATTGTTCTTATTTAGATGTACACTAATGTATGTTTAATTAATTACTCAATAGATCTATCTCTTAAAGTATTATTTTATACACCATAAACTGAATATACTTTTATAATGGATTATAGAATAATAATTTCTATATATGTATTATCTTATAAACTGTATCTTATTTAAGAGCAATAAATCAAGTATCAAAAGAATTGATTTGAGAAATTTATTTCTGTGTCTTTACATTTAGCTTGTATGATGTCTGTTTCTTACATCAATTTAGTTCTTACAGAACTATTATCGCCTCGTTTACCGCCTGTACCCGAAGAAAGCACTCTCGCTCCTGAAGACAACCTGTACAGGAGTGGTATGTCAGTGGATTCCTATAGCTCGCAGGGGTACATAACAGCAAGTCAGACACCGAGCTCAGTCACAATGCCTACCAGTCAAATGTCTATTCATGGTCAGCAATTTTTATCATATTTTGAAATGTATTCAACTTTGTGATATGTTTTATATTATATTTATGATGAATTTTTAGGCACCAATAACAATACTCAAATGATAACAATGTCTGATCAGACCATCAAAAACGAACAAATGCGAATGTATGATAATGGAAGGCAGTATATACAAACAACCTTACCGCAGAATATGATGAATACTCAAGAGATGCTTTCTCCGTTTCCTCCGACATCGTTTGAACAGCATGGCGCTGCGCAGCCTGGTTCCCAAATTAATAATCTTTACATGAGTAAAACACGACTACAGTATGCAAATGCACCTAAAATTGTATCTCAATCAGAGGCATGCTATTCTAAATATAACAACTCAGGTTCGTACAACTTACCTCTCTTTTCTATTCGATAAATAGATAATATCAGATGAATAATAATGGAAGTAAATTAATTTTCTAACAGTCATACCGCCATCGCAAACGGCCCCAGAAACAGTTTCGTTACTTCAGCAACCGCCGTCGAGTCCTAAGTACACGTCGACGATAGTATTACCGGGGCGGAGCGGGTATACCCGTGAGAAGCCGAGGCCGCGGCTGTCTCACTATGCGAATCAGCTTCCGAATAACCAGTACCAAGGTTATGGTCAACAACACGGGCCGACCGGCGCACAGGTGGCCCCTCAGGTTTACGACTCTCGTTCAGGGGCGGTACGGCAAAGTACAACGCAAATGCAATATCTGCAACCGGCTCCCGTAGAGCCGTACAAACCTAAAACTGTATCGGCCGGTGTTGGCGCCCGCTCTTTCAAAATTCCTTCATCGACTCTCGCACCGCCGACTTCACAGCAGGTACGGGGCTGGGCTTAGTTTGGCTGATTGGCCTAGTTACTTAAACAACAGCAATTTAAGTGTCATTTGTAGATATTAGTTCCGGCATGTAATGATCAATGTCTTACTGGTCATCATAATATTCTTCTTTACATTTCTAAAATGCTATCTGTAGTTAGTAAAATCAGTGCTGCGCCAGTGCACTTTGTGTTCGGACTTTAATTTCAGAGATTATTCCGGTACTAACAGTATTCAAAGTGGATAACGAGTAATAATTAATTTAGTTTTTCAATTGTAAATTAAAAAAAATTATTTTTATTATTTCATGGAGCCAATCGAATATCAAAAGCATTTACATGTGTAGATATTACTTTACGTCAATTTTAGCGTTATGGTTCGTGGGTGTAGGTGTGTAGCGTGAGCGCGTTGAGTCCAGGCGCGCGCGGCGGCAAGCAGGAGCAGTTCCGGTCGCAGAGCCTGCCGCTGGGCGCGCAGCTCAACGCCGACTGGTCGGTGAGCACGCCGGCGCCAGCAGCGCCGCCCGCGCCGCCAGCGCCGCCCGACCCCGCCGCACTCAACGCCTCTGCCTCCGCCCTCACAGCACCCACTGTCCTTACGGCCGCAACCGCCAGGCACACCGCTAGAGTAAGTGCAACGCAATATACATTGACACTTTTGTAAATTAGTAACTATGAGTAGCTTATAACACAACATCATGGGCGTACAGACATACATACACTCCTACTCATCCATCTTTTCTCACATATACATACACTTATACATATCCTATTCATATGTCATATATACACATGCACACACCCACACTCATACATACACGCGCCCGCGCACGTGCACACACGCACACGCACGCACACACACGCACACACACGCACACACACACACACACACGCATATATTTTTATCACAATTTCACTGAACCCATAAATTATTGTTTCTCTAAAATTATGAGTTCCATTGTAATTTTGTTTTTGTATTTGTTACTTCTTTTTTTCATATTGTTTCACTAAAAATGTAAAACAACAACATATGGAAGAGGGCACTAACTCCTGAAACACAGGTTTTTTCATACCTATCTCGGGAGTTAGGGACTTCAAACTTTATTGTAACAAAGAGTGAAATAAAGATTATTATTATTATTTATTATACATTGCAATATTTTCCATATGATTTTGTATATCATCATAACCTTATAAATCGTAATACAGGCACGCGAGACGAATCCGAGTACACTGCGGATGCGGTCTCGTTCAACTTCGAGTGGTTTATTACTGGAGAGCGGAGCCAGCAACTCGTCGAGCGGCCCGCCTCGCCGGCCACCGCCGCTCAACAGCGTTGCTTCTGAACCTAGTCTGCCACAAGAAAGTGTTATGCTTGCTCAACTCCTGTCTTCCCAACATTGTAAGTCGTCTAATTACTGTATCAATGTCAGGCCACTTCTAGATAAACGTCAGGGATTTAACAGTCATCAAACAACAGTAGTTTATTAGAGTCCCTATGTGTATTTTTTTGAATGATAAAAGAACGATAACTCAGTGCAATGTGCAAGTGTAAGTGAAAAGCAATACGTAGGTCAGTTAGTCCACCATGACGAAATCAAGAATGAACTACAAGGGTTTCCAGGGGATCCGTTCGGAGGTAGATTTCATTGGGTATGGGTTGTTAACGATAAGGGTCATCAGTCCCCGTTATTAACAATTTCTTCTCTCCTTATGTACTCGTAATGTTACATTGGTGAACGAATTGTGACTATCTTAATTTAATTTCAGCTCAAAGCTTATACAAAGTTAATAGTAATAGTGAAGAGGGCTTGGCTGGAGGCGATCCGACCAGGTCACCAGTGCGAAGACTTCAACCCTCACCAATTGGCAGCGACATTATGTCACCACATCACGTGAGCGTTCATTTTCGCTTATTCGGTGGATAGGTACTAAACCCCATTCTCATATAATATTAAATACTTAACTTACAATTAGCAATTATATACCGATTTACTCAAGTTATTTAGATTTTTTTTATATATATATATATACAAGTAAATTTATTTTTATTATAATATTACCGTCTGCTCTATAAATGAAAAATAAAATATGATTTTATTGAGACAGACAAGTAATATATGTTACTTTGTATATTATAAAACCATTACATTGTGCCATCATCATTATTTACTAATTATATCATGATTATATAATATTCAACTTTATTTAGAAGACATTGAAATCATCATCGCTTGAATCAAAATGAATATCTGATATTCTAAATGAAAAATAATATTGACATTGAAAATGGTAACTAATTATTAATACTACTTAAAATGATAGTGGTTCTTATATATCAATTATTCGCTTATTTATTTAAAATTATTTTCAAGGGGTTATGTAGCTGTCTCCGTAGTCAATGATAATGATGATAATCAACTAATAATAGTTGTATTAACCTTCGATCCTAAATTTAGGTTTAATAATTTTTTTTATGTATCTAAGTATTTTGGTCTTGTATTATAAAACTAATTTAAGCAAAATTAGTAGCCATAAATTTAGGATCGTATAGTATTTTATTAAATTAATTCGAGATTTGAAGGATTTGTAATATGATAATTGTGTACCAAATTCATGTATGTTTTGCAATTTGAAACTCTACATAAATGTACTCTTTACATATATAAACTATGACACTTGTTCAATAAAGAAGATTTGATTGAATATAAATGTATACAGGAAAAACCTTACAAATGACTCCTGTGACTTTTGTTTTTAACTTAGAGATTGATTCAATCAAGTAAAATATTTATAGTGCCTATTTAAAATTATTAGATAAATATTCGATTAAAATCAAATAAAATCTGTATATAAATTTAAATACTGTATCCTCATTGCGGTAAAAATTACTCATCCCTGACTTTATCTACTTTAATACGTTTTCAATTAATTTAAATGGAGAATTTTGTTATAATAAATATTAGTAAATAAATTCAATTTTAATCGGCGTTCTGTATCTAATTAATTAAATGATTTCACTGAGTGAGTATGGCACTGTCTCAGTTTTAGTACTAAAACAATTAGCGACAAAAATCCAGTTCTCACATTATCGTAATGGTTTATTCACATCAGAATAAATGGACCTTCATTGACTATTCATTTCTGGATTACACTGGTAAACGGTATGAATTATGACCTTTGACAGTGTCGTAAATACGTCGTAATATACGCTTTGAATGTTATCGACATAGCGACATTTGATAGGGACAAACATGTTATTGAATTTTGTGCCATCGAACGTAATCACAAACACGTTGATATCCCTCCTGAATCTCCTCTTACAGTATAAATGAAGATTCTTTTCTTAAACTATCCATTGTCACCACGTTATTATTTCATAATAAACGTAATACCTTTAAAGATAACATTCAGTGACCTCATTTAAATTAGTTGTTCTAACGACGTATAGTTAGAAATAATTGGTCTGATAAAATAGCACATTAGAGAGAATATTCACCTCATAGTAACTTATACGTAACATAATAATGGATTGATTAATTATTGAACCTCGTGCCTAATATGGAACAAAATTTATTTTTTACTTTATGATCCGTCGTACTAATTTTTATGGTAATATATGTCCGTTCACTTGCAAAACTTTCATGGTGATAGCGACATGAATTACTTCCGTCTCTACGTTAAAATGATTTTTATTCTAAAAAAATTGTCAGAATGGTCATTCAACTCTCGAGTGATTTTTATGTGGGCGTGCGGCTTGGGTCACAAATATGTGTTTAAATGCCTGATTTATACTAATAAAATTATTCTACTAGCAGTGTGAAAGTTTGTAACATGTTTACAAACTTGAGTTACTCAATCACACTTAAATGGTTAAACGGAATGAAATTTGCAACATGGTTAGATTATGTTCTAACTTATCACATAGAATACTTTAAATACTGATACACAAGGCAAGAAAGTTAGTATATAAAAATGCAATATTATTAGTAACCAATATTCCTATGCATGCAAAACAACTCATGTTACTAGCTGATAATTGTAACTTTGTATAGATGAAAGTATTCTTAAAATCGGTTATAAAACTCTTTCACCTATAAAAGTTACTTTATAATTTTACTCTACTCGTAAAAATTTTTTTATTTATCCATTGCAAACAAATAATCAAATTTTTTTATAAAATTGTTTAGATTTCAAATGTACCATTTAAAATGACGTAGAAAACTATAGCTTTGAAGTGCTACTTTTTAAATTTAGTTTTTTTAGTAATTATAAAGCCGGCATTAAGTTATCATTTACTTAAAGCTGTGGTGTAGGAGTGTTTTAGTAACATACCATGTGTGTTGTGTGGTGTGCGCCAGTCGCTGTCGCCGCCGACGTCGCCGCAGTCGCCGCGCGCGGGCAGCCCGCGCGAACCCCGCCGCACGCACCTGCACGCCGAGCAGAAGCGCCGCTACAACATCAAGAACGGCTTCGACACGCTGCAGGCACTCATACCGCACCTCAACGCCAACCCAGCTGCCAAGGTACGCACGCACACGCACGCGCATGCGCACGTACACGCACACGCACACATACACGCATATTTAAAATTCTGCACCTTCTATCATTATGCGGATGACAGATCTCTCCTGCTCCAGTTGTTCTCTCACAGCAGTGTTGTGATGTTTCCAACCGAACTTCTGAGCGAACTTTTTTCATTATTTATCTTACTTACGTTATTTTATTACTTGATTAGGTCATTGTATTAGTCTTTGTCCAAACATACAGCCTGTTCAATCGTAAATGGTTACTTTAACTTATAATAGTCTGTAATGGATTGTAATATCATGCTGTTGGGAAACAAACTAACTATATATAAAAGGTTGTTTGATGGTAAACGGATATACTAAAAAAATGTTTTTGTCATCAGATTAGTAAAGCGGCCATGTTACAAAAGGGCGCAGAATATATTAAGCAGCTGAAGGCAGAAAGGAATCAAATTAAAGAAGAAATGGATAATTTGAGGCAGCAAATCGAATGCTTGAACAATTCTATTTCGTGAGTATTTTAGATAAAATTTATAAAAGTATGTACTTAAATACTCTTATATATACTGTTTAATATAATCTCATATGTATTATTTAAAATTAAAAAAGAAATAAAAACTAATCATTGAAAGCCACGTACCCCTCCATCGACCCACGTCATCATAGTCGGCAATCGTCATTCAATCAATCATAGTCTATAATGATTAGCTATTTTTATTATGGATGAAAATGAAATAGTGCAACCTCTAACTAGTACCCCACCATTGAAAGTTGGATGGATGGAGGATGAAACGATTAAAATCAGATCAGTGTAACAATTCCTTCCCTCTACTTATTTGCTATTTTTTGTTAGGTTTCGTCGCTTCGGATACGACTTATTTAATAACTGAATTGGCATGTATTATTTATTTAACTTTTTATTGCACTAAAAACAAAAAAATAAACAATAACATATAAACAATTTATGGATATATATATATATATATATATATATATATATATATATATATATATATATATATATATATATATATATATATATATATATATATATATATATATATATATATATATATATATATATATATATATATGCCCTGGTGCTCAGTAACTGCCACTCGCTGCTGCCGGCGACGGGCGCGCCCGTGTCTCGAGCTCGAGCGGGCCGCTTGCGTGAGATGTTCGCACGGCACGTCGCCAACCGCACCATGCACAACTGGAAGTATTGGCTCGTATCCTTTTACAAATATGTTAGCTTGTACCAGCGATTTAAACTGTATGACTTAGATGTGTTCACTGATAAGGATAAAATATATTTATTTATTTATATCCCATATAGTATTTATTTATTTATACATTCGTACATGTATCTATTTAAGCGGCCTCAATGCTAAAAGCATTCTCTCGCATCAACCTTAGGAGAGTGTTAGAATACTCGAATGCGGCACTAATAGTAATTGAGACCTACTAAAATTTACATATGTAAACAAATATATATAAATAACTAATATACCTACTTATATAAGATATACCTACTATATTATACATGAAAATGAGAATAGTAAATAATACCCCTATTATTATTACCTATATTGGTTAAGCCACTTAGCTCCTTAAGTGGTAACACGCAAACTTAATTTCACATTTATAATACTAGTAAAAACTAAAAAAAAATTATTTTAAACATATCATAATTATGAAACTCTATTATTATGTTTGCACTGACATGGCAAACAATAGTTTCTTACATTATCCATTATAGGAATATATATTGCATATAGATACTTATACTGTATAATGCTTCTAATGTTATCAGTTCTATATTTAATTACCTAAGTTTAGTTCTACAAATAGTTTCTTAGATAGGCAGAGATACTACAAAATAAATATTACTTAGGTACATGTCTTGTTATCAGTCGTTTCATTACTTATTATTACATATAAAACATTTGTAGTTATTTCTATTGTCTAATTAATTGCATTAATACAGATTTGATCGTGGATTTGCAGTAGAATGATTAATAATATTGAGTATAATTACAAGGTATTGAGTACATCCATGTTGTCACACATGCAGGGTACCATGGGTTAGTTTTTAAATAGATGATAATGGATTTGAATCCCCGTCTGTCCTATCGGTATCTTCTGGCGGAGAACCAGTGAAGGATGATAAGTGAGGATGGAAGCAAGTTATTTGACCAATCGTGTCAAATGCAAGAATAAATAAGCACGGTGACTTTCAGGAGGAACTAGAGGAGGATAGGGTATATTGCTAGCGATGGGCTTGGTATGGCTTATTACTAATAATCCCTTCTACCCCATCATGGCAATAACGTATCCTGTGTTGTTCATGGTTCTATTCACGCCTATATGCGACGGTTACAACTTTTTATTAAGTAGACTGTTGGCTTTATTTAACTTTTCAAGTTATATAAAAAAAGTAATAAGTATACGTCTTTTTCATATAAAAGGTTTAATTTTTATTTATAAAAGAAAATTTCAGATTGTCACCGTGACAAGTATTTTATTTAAAAGTGAAGCTAATAAATTTAGATTGTTTCATCACACTTATTGTACCTAGATATCTTATCACTTTGTAATCTAATTTATATCGGCAATGTGTAAGTGTACGACTATCTAGTTCAGTTTAGGGGATTACAATAAACAATTGTATACTTATAACACAAAGGTATATTTTGATTAGAGTCACTAGAGTCCAACATTAATAGGAAAGGTTGATAGTAAATTTTACTTAGTAACTTACTTAGTTTAGTTTTTTACTTCCTAAAAAAAGCTGCTTAAATTGTCAGAAAATTCCATCGGGTCGTAACATATATTGCTAAACTACTATAATACAACACATTTTGTTATTTTTTTTTATTCTTATATTGATGTATAACTCATATCCACGCGGGACTACATTATGAAATAAATTCTTAACAACAGTATTCCTGAATAGATATGACATTGCAAGATTTAAATGCGCGCATTCCTTCTTAAAATGTCGATAGCACACCTGCACCTTTAAATCACTAAATTAATCATAGTCTTCATCAGGTGAGGTGCAGGTTGGTTCTCTCTCTATTATAAATAGAAATATGTATGTATTCGAACAAATGAAGATTTCCTTAAGAAAGCATCCAGTTCAGCGTGGTGGCGGCGGCACTGGTGGAGTCGTTCAGCGCTTGCGTTTCGTGCGGCAGCGGCGCCGACCTCGTGCGCACCACGCTGCTGTGGGCCGAGCAGCACTGCTCACTCGTCGAGATGCGTCCGGGTGCGTACACAACTACCCTAACCCACCTACTGTCTGCACCTGGGGACTTATTATGATTCCTTGCAACCTGACAGTTACCCTGCATATTCACACTAAAAACATGGACAACTGTAACTGTTATTTTTTTTAAATCTCTCGAGCGCACCTAAGCCATCATCTCTCGAGGCCTAAACATTTATTGTACTGTCTTATTTATAGTATCGTACTTTACAAAAGTTTTTTTTTTTTGTAATTAAAATTTAATCTTAAGTAGGTAAGTCATAAATATAATCAAGATATATATATATATATATATATATCTTGTATGTATATATATATATATATATATATATATATATATATATATATATATATATATATATATATATATATATATATATATATATATATATATATATATATATATATATATATATATATATATATATATATATATATATATATATATGTATATGGCCAAACAGGGTATATTAGCGTTTTAGCCAACTTCTTTCATATATTCCAATAGTGCTCAAGGGGTTAAGTTTGTGTTAAGCCCCTTGCTTATATTTTATATTTTCTCTATTCTATTCACTTATATGTTGCAATTATAGAGAAAATGTTCTTTATATTTTGATTAACCGGACATTGTCTAGTTATATACTGAATTATAATTATTTAGTAATATGTATTTTCTGTATTTAAACAATATTTTACCACTCAACGAATAGAATGCACGTTCGTTACTCCTTTCCCTTTTCTCTTCGTTTCTATAATAAATAAGTTCCTTATATAAAGATCCGCTAATTCGCATTGTTTAATTGAAAAGTCTTCCTACGAAGCTTATTAATGGTTATATATACTTACAGCCGTGCTGAACTCTCTGAGGGTTCTATGCACAAAGACGGACATTCTAACGAACCCTGAGAGGCTGCCAGAAGAAGCGCGGCAGGCGGTCGCCTCTAGCGCCGGCGTCAAGACCGAGCCCACCTAACGTGTCATCACACAGCCACCGAACGTGTATCCGTGTCTTTACCGGTAACCACAAAACCTTAGATTTTTTCGTTTCTTTTTCTTTCAAATGATTTTTTTAATCTGATGTACAATACAATAGTTGATATAGGTTTATTGGAGATTTTGTATTATGTAAGTAATTGAGAACTAAAAACAAAATGGCACTTGAATACTCTAGTCGAGCTACAATGGCATATGAATTATTCAGTTTGTGCATCATCATTTCAGCTATTATTCGTCCACTGCTGGACATAAGCCTCTCCCATATACTGCCTTTATGACATGTTCATTTAACACTATTTGCTGCAGCTATTATTCTTATAAAATTTACACTTGCTTTCTTCTCTTGCTCTTTACTTCACTGGTTAATTTATCAACGTAATTTTCTGTTTCTAATATGCGATGAGTTACAAAGTTATCTAGTGTATTATGATATGTTGAAACAATGATTTTGTAAATACCAAGCTCATTGTGTCAATTAACTGTACTGTATCAACAATCTTTTGATATGTAAGGACTGATACGGTATCGTTGTATGGGATGGACTGTACAAAAATTTGATGTTCTATTGTAAACGCAACTCCATATATTGCCGGTAAAGACACGTAGACATAAGAGTATAGTATTAAGTTCTCGGATATAGATCATATTTTTAGTTTATATAAGATTTTATCAGAATTGACGAAAATCAAGCGAAGTTTAAAAGTGAGGGCCGTTCACTATGGACTGGAATTTGGACTACGATTCGATTTTACCGTTCACTTTTATAAAATACCTATTGTTTAACGTCAGTTCTGATTATATTGATCAGTTATGACTTATGATTCATACAACAAAATACCTCAAAACGTTATTCAGGTGAATTTTATACCATTTTGGTAAATATTTTATGTACAAATCTAGACACTGTTAGTCAGTACTTAACAATATTTACGCCGAATGAGCGGCAGAATGAGCTGGAAAACATTAATTTGTTTAAGATTCTGTTACCTGCTTTATTATGCGAAAATGTCATTACACTTGGAGCGATATTTTTCGTATAGTAATAAAACATCACAAATTTTTAATAAAACAATTTAACTGATAAGATTTATACAGTCAGTTTTGTAAATAAGAATACATTATTTTTTAAGGAAAATAAAGTATGTATGTCGTGCCCTAATTAAGCAAGTGGTTTAAACAGTGTACTCTATTTGTTCTATGTATTTTTTTGAATGGAAGAGCGGATACTCGTTATAATGGGTAATAATGGAATGGTAACCCTGCCTGCGCTCTCGATATACATTGACGGGGCCTCAGTGAGAAATGATAGATGAGGATGGAAGTAGGTCTGTTAGCCCATCGTGACGAATTCCACTAGAATTAACTACGATGGTTCCTCGAGGGAATCGCGTGAAGGTTGACCTAAAGGAGTACATTACTAGCAACGGGACTGTTAGATCTCCATTACTAATAATCCTTTTTCCTTCCACGAGCGAATACTGAATGTTTTAAATGTAAGACACATTTATCACTACGTTTCGTTTTAAAATTATTTTTAAATGCTTTATTGTGATTGGGCTTACGACGCATGGAAAATGTCATTTGAACTATTATGGAGACAGAATATAGTGTCAAAATTCAGTTTTTATAGAATTTCTGGTTATCTGTTGTCGTAAACGCACAATTAATACTTAGTTACGAATTAATTTTTCCTAATTCTCAGAAGTAAATTCATTCCTTGTTTCTTTTACTAATTTCTTTTAAATATATAGAATCACGCATATATTTATCTCTTTTAATATTAAATACCGATAAAAATATGAAACTAATTAATGTATAAAATCTGTTGCCTAAAGTAAAATGTCTCATAGTGTATATGATAACGCTAATAAATATAAATGCCTGTATTATACTTGTTTGAATAAAATGTGGCCTAATCTAGTGCCTTTGTACACTATGTTAATAATACAATAATATTCTCATGTTAAAATATAAGAGACAAATGTAGATGTCTACTCATGAAATTACCAAAGAATGTAACATGGTCATCCTACCAGATGTTTCACTTTATATAACACTCTATGTGATATTATGCGTGAAGCATTGGGAATTCTGCCTGCCCGTCCTATCCAATTAGATGTGTGATAAGTAATGAAAAGAATTTATAGAACATGTCGAGATTTAATTTAGCATTACTCTAAGTATATTTACGTAAGTTGTATAAGTAAATATTTTTATATGATTTGTGTGGTGACACAAATGTTTTTATATAACTATATATAAATCGGTGCCAACGTAAATATTGTTGTAATTTGTTATGTAGTGATATAATTTTATGATGCACCGTTGACTCTGGTAGCACGTTGTGTTTGTTGGTAAGCGCGCGGACGTCGCTGCGCTCAATGTGAGCTTTAAACGAATTATGTGCAATTGTTAATCTGTTGGTAAATATAATTTAAAAACATGTGTGAGTTTCATTTGTTTATTTTTCACAAAAATCCTCTACATATACAGTCATTTATTAATAAATAATAAATATTTCAACTTGTAAACATTGTATGTTGTCGTATTGACCGTTTATTAGACATTTTTAAATGTATGGAATGTTACCGTACAAAATAGTGTTTACATAAGAATTATATGATTACATTTACATATATTAAACTCAATTATTCAGTGAAAAAATCACCGTCTATTCGTTGATCCCAGGGTAATAATAAATTTTCATTTAAATATGTGTAATACGTATAAATACATGTAATATTTAATATTTGTATATTTGCTTATTGAAAATTGTTTGATTTAATATATTAATATTATATATGCAACAGGTACATTATGCTACAATTACAATACACTATAAAAGTATTTTTAAACCACAACAATATATAATTATAGTTATATGAAATTAACGTAATTAAAAAGAGGCACGTACACGATATACCTACGTATTAGTATATGTATGTCTGTACGTTTGTCATGCTTCGGTATCAGTGGGCCTACCATAAAATGATATTCCGAATTTTCGGACTCAATTTCGTGTTTTTGTTCATATCGAAGTCGGCCTTGTAAATGGTGCCATTTCGTTTGTCATAAATTTATTTAGTTTGTCCAAAAAAATGATATTTTATGTTTTACGTACTTGTGACATCTAATTTGTGTTCGAAATTACGAAAAACATTTCATGGTAGACCCTCAGTTATACCAACTCCCTCACATGTCTCACATTCTTCATCCTTGAATGTCACTTTTGTGTTATAAATAGACTATCACGCCTCGGTTTCTTGTATCTTCGAGGTAGGCAGCCATGCAAAACCGAGTGTCGACTAATGGTAACAGTCTCTATTTTTGCATACCTATTTTTCTGTGTTTATTCACTTTCATGAATTGTTTTATGTATTATGCCATTCATTTTTATATTGATAAACGTATCATATAAAAAAAATTACAATACAGATCAAAGAATACAATATTGCTTTGCAGTGGCAGTTCTCGATCGTCAATATGTTTTCCTACTTATAAATGTTGTTATACCGATGTGAAGTTATCTTTCCCTGTTCACGGTGGATAACATGCGCGCGAGCCGCGAGTTCGGCTGTGCAAGGAGGACGGACACTTCCCCTTGTTCCACTATGCAGCCATCTTCTAGAACAACGGCGCGATCGTATCCGCGCACAGAAGATATATGATGCTGAAAAATATGTAAATATAAGTTTTTTTTTTAATGGGTGATAATGGAATGGTAACCCCGCCTGCGTTATCGGTATACACCGGCGGGGCACCAGTGAGGGATGATAGGTGAGGATGAAGCAGGTCAGTTAGCCCATCGTGACGAATCTAACAAATCAACTAACAATCCCTTCACCCCCCAGTAAATATATGTTGATAAATATGGTTGAAAAAAAGGAAGGTGGTAAAGAGAAAGTAAATTAAAGAGAAAGTAAATTATTCTAGTAGAAGTGGAGTGCATGAGACGACTTATAGAAGTGATAAAACAAGAGATGTGTGAAGCCTTTGGCACGTTTCTTTTTGCCTACCTTACAAGGGACTTGGCTTAAAAATGTACAAATATTTATACCAGCATTTTTTATTGAGAGAAAACATTTTCTAATTTAGATACGAGGTTGTATATGATTATACCTAACATAATTTTACGTTTCATTTAAATTTTTTATCAACGATGATATACTGTGACAATATGTGTATTATTAGCAATGAGGACATACAGCTTCATTGCTATGCATATAGCCTTGTCAGGTCGATTTCTATTCATACAACCATTGTAGTTAATTTGTGTTAAATATTGATAGGCTAACTGACCTCCATTAGCGTCATCTATCAAACCTCACTGGTACCCCGCCAAAATGAGTAATGTAACTACATTGTAAATACATTTACTATTTGGTACTTGTAAATTAGTCGTTAGCTGAAGTTAGTAGATACAAAGTACTTATACCATTCTACACACATTGTCATTTAGAAATATGTAACGTCTAACCTTGGTAAAGTAAAGGCTCACCCGAGTTCTGCCACTTTTCTAGAACGAAAGCTAAGAGCCACTCGTCTGTATCTTTCTACTTAAGCATATATGAGAACCTATGACCTAACGAATGAATTAGCGATTCAATGATAAAAATGTTGAATAAAACTTAAATTATAATTTTTAGGCTATTTTATGTTTATAAAATCTGGCTCCTATTGTATGTGCTGCACACAGGTCGCAGCGTGTGGCGATTTATTTTAATGGAAAGGTTACTCCGCCTGCGCAAACGGTATACGCTGACGTGACACCAGTGAGAGATAATAGGTGAGAATGAAAAGGCAGATCAGTTAGCTCATCGTGCGGAATACACTTGGCATTCAACACGATGGCTTCCAGGGGGAACCACGTGGAGGTCGATCTGATAGGGTATAATGCTAGCGATGTGACTGGTAGTCCGCATTGCTAACAACAAAAATCGATAGCTTGGGTACCTCTGTCACATTCGTGTTTCAACCGTGAAGCAGTTGTGTTTACATGGCTGTGTTTCGGTTTGAAGGGTGGGATATGGCGTGAATTGACTGGGTACAGAGGAATAACACCTGAGTCCTCAGGAATGGCAACGCTTGGGGGGTATCATGGGCGAAACAGTATACTCTGTTATGTCCATGGTACTGCTCATGTCTACAGGCGACGGTTACCACTTTACATCAAGTGGGCCGTCAGCTTATTTGCCATTTTAAGTTAGCGTGTGGCGTATTCCATTTTCCTGCCATTAGCAATGTGGCGTGTGTTACCGTGACTGTGAGCAGCGAGTGCGCGGGCACGTGCGGCGCGGCGGGCGGCTCGTCGAGCAGCAGCGCGGCGCGCCGGCGCGCGTGCAGCGCCGCGCGGCCCGCCGCCGCTCGCGCCACGCGGCCCGCGCTCCAGCCGCCAGAGCGGGCGCGGCGGCCTGCACCCGCGCCCACGCAGCACTCTGCGGACCAAATGTACGTTTTCTTTTAACGGGTGAAAATAGAATGGTAACCCCGCCTGCGCTAACGTCTCCCCCTCTGGTATCAATGCTTTATTATTAAATACAATAATAATATAATAATAAAATTAGTAATAAAAAAATCATTGATAGTTCTGGGCCCATACCGTAAAAGGGATTGTTAGTAATGGAAACTGAGAATCTCATTGCTAGCAATATACCCAACCAGGTGGACCTACTCGCGGTTTCCCCTGGAAACTATCATGGTTAATTCCAGATGAATTCATTATGATGGGCTAACTAGTCTGTTTTCATTCTCATCGATCACCCTTCACTGGTGCTCCGCCAGCGGATACCAATAGCGCAGGCGGTATCACTATTTCATTTTTACCCATTAAAAAAAACTTTTTACAGCATGGGCCCAGAACTATCAATTATTTTTTTTATTACTAATTTTATTGTACTTAATAATACAGCATTGGCACCAGAGAGGGAGACTGTACAAAAGTTGCTTTGTATAAGATATGATAGTGACGTTCGTGATACTTATCATGCCTATACGCGACATTTATCACTTTTCATCAGTTAGGCCGTCTGGTCATTTGCCATTATAAATATCTTTAAAAAGTGACAAGATTATTTTAGTTTTATGTAATTTGTACAAACCAATCAATACGTAATTTAACACCTGTGTGTGTGTGTATATATGTGCATATTAGTATATATCTTTGTATATATTTGTTTACATATAATAGTGCGCCACCTACCCTTTGATTTTCTTTCTTTTCTCAATGTCCTCTACCCAAAAGTTGTCTGGAAGAGATTGCTTAGCGATAAGGCCGCCTTTTGTATCATTTCTTATTACAGTTAAATGTATTTATTATTTTATAAATGGTGCAATAAAGTGTAAATAAATAAATATGTTAATTTTACGATACTAAATATGTAACTAGTAGTATTTCATACAGGCATAGCAATTGTATTAAGAGAGCATTACTTATAAATTCTGACTTTATTCATGATTATTTATGATCAGTAGTATAATTGGATTGCCTAGCACAAAATATTAGATGTAGAAATAGTATAAGCACACCTAAGCCGGCTGGTTGCGCAGTAACGAAATCGAACAGGCCAACTGCTCTCAAACTATCCCATATTTCGTCATCAGTATGTACTGCGAGGGGGTCTAAATTCTCTCGCAGGGTCCCGGAGAACATAACAGGTTCTTGCGGCAGAAGCACCACGCGGTGACGAAGCGCGCGCAGCGGCACCTTCGTCACGTCCTGTCCGTCGATTGTGACTCGACCGCTCTGTATGGTAGTTGCGCCAGCGCATGTCAACAGCAGCGACGATTTTCCGCTACCGCTTCGACCGCAGATCGCTGTCTGTATAATGATTTAATTAATAATTTTTGGCGACATCATAACTTTTAATTAATTTCCACTGGTCATAATTAATACAGGTCACTTTTTATAAGATGAAAATATTAGTCTACTACGTAGTATGATACCCTAATCGCTTAGTATAGGGCTTTTTTTTCTTACTATTCTTCTATTCATGTCTCTTATGATATCCTAAGAATATAAAAAGGAATGGTCATTTATATGTAAGGTAAAGCATTATAAATACGCTTTGACTAGTAACTTGACGTAACTTTAATTACTCTTCTCCATCCTAAGGTTGCCCAGAAGCATTGTTGTCTCTTCACATTGCTTCTTTTAATTAAGATTTATTTGTCACATATTGATGATTTATATTACTTGTATCACTATTTGAGGGGAACAATAAACAGTTTGTCATTCAATCATATATGTATATCTTCTAACTTTCTGGATCGCGATGATAGGTGCTCTTAAGGTCACCTGGAGCATATCCAAGATGGATTCCATTGGTGTTATCCATCTGCACATGTGCTTGGCAGACGATAATTCCTTATTACAAATAATTGGTCAACTAATATTTTATCCTTTACTTATTTTTACTGATATTGGAATACTTTTTAATAGGCATATTATTACAATGCGATTATTTCGATGCCTACCTTTTGACCAGGAGCAATGGATAGGTTTATATTGTGGAGGACAGGAGGCGCTCCAGGCTCAGGTTGTACTGTTACATTTTCAAATTCTATTTTTCCATCTCTTTGCCAGTTCGGTGGTATAGGACCTAGAAACAATAAATGTACGAATATTATGATTAAGTAAATTAACTACAAATTAGTTATTATAAATATTACTATACTTAAATATATTATAAATCTAATGCTTTATAACTTTTCTCAGTTAAAGGTACCTAACAGACCAATTGGAGATTTTACCAAAATAATAAATTTTAATACGAACGTTGAGAGATTGGATGTTTCAGAAAGACGCCGAATCTTATATATATAGGATCTTATATTACTAGCAATGAGACCTTTTGATCTTCAGCCCATAACAGAGCCGAATTTACTAGCTATTATACTACTAAAAATTTCACTCTATGAGCTCATTTGCAGGACCGGGTCGCTGGGGAAAGAGATTGTTACTCGTAGTAATTCAGTCGCTACTCTCTCTTACTAACAATATCCGCCAGAGATCCCTTATGGTGATTGACATTTGGACCCTTGGATACCATCGTGGTAAATTTCTAATGCGAATTCATTATGATGTAGTAATACATCTTTCTTCTTTATCTATTATTACTCACTAGTACCTCGGCAGTGATAAAAATAAATTAAATTTTGGTCGTTTTAAAAAACACAATTCCCCTCACGTTACAGTAGAGTCGAATTTAATAACAATGGGGCCACGAATCGCTGTTATTAATAATCCTAACACATAGCAGGCCCGGTCTTGGTAAAAAGAAAGATATGAGTTATAACATACAATCGTGGGGGGAAAGGGATTGTTAGTAATGGGTTCTGACTGCCACATTGCTAGTAATATACCCCATCAGGTCCACCTCCACGCAGTACCCCTGGAAACCATCGTGATTAATTGATGAATTCGTCATGATGGGCCAACTGACATGCTCCATCCTCACTTATTGTCACTCATTGGTGTCCCGCCAGTGTATACTGATAGCGCAAGCGGGGTAGCCATTTCATTGTGATTCATTAAAAAAGAAACCTACAATCGTCTCTGTAGTGGTCCTGCGGCACGTGCGTGTGGTGGGCGAGGCGCTGCACGGCGGCGAGGTGCAGGTGGAGGTCGGCGCGGCAGCGGGCCAGGTGCGCCAGGTACGCGGGCAGCAGCAGCGCGTGCGCGGCCGCCAGCGCGCCCGCCGCCGCGCCGCGCCCGCCCGCCAGCGCCGTGCACATCGACGCGCACACGCTGCCCGCGCCTACCAAGTCCTGTGCACCCAGTACGTCTTATATAGATTTACATTTCACAACGACTGGACCGATGTGGACAACATAAATTGAGTAATAGTTATTAGAAAGCACATAAGTCGACTGCTTAAAACTTTGGGTACCTCTGTCCTGCCACAGTCATACACATATATCTGCAGTAAATTTTTTTTTTTGTTTATTTAGCTTATCTTGGAACCTAATGTGCGTTGTTTACATGACACATCGTGCCGTCAAAGAGTTATGCGCGCCTGGCTATGTTTTGGTTCGAAGAAGGAATATTGCTATGAAATAACTTATAGAGAACATATATTACTTACTGTTATGTATGCCATCAGCTTGTTTGCTTTTCCATGTTGCATAAAAAATATGCTTACGACTATAAATAGTATCACGAGTAGTCAGTAGTAGAAATTTTAAGACTGTTTCTGTTGTCTGTGCTATTGTGATGTTACGTTCACCTTGATATGCCCACATTTTATCAAACATATAAAAATTCAATGAATTCCAAATCAATTTCTATTTTTATGTTTCTAAATTCATAATATATTTACACATATTATTTACTGGTTTTATAAATTTTAGACACAAATTACAACACCCAATACCAAGCAAATTATGGAAAGTTCACTTACAAAATTAGTATTACTAGTATAGTATTATATAATCTGTGGTATAGGATTGTATCGTTAATCGTAAAAAAATCGTATTTTTTTTATATTTATACCTATATAAAAAAGGTAAAAATGATATCATACCAAACTAAGTCCCAGCCAACGATTGGCTGTGTTGAGAAGTAGCAGTGCATTCTGATTGCGGTTCAAACGTTGTTGGAAAGCAGTGCGCATGAACGGTTGTAGCCGTCCAACGCGCACTGTGGCGCTGCCTGTGCTCGTCTCCGCTGCCAGTGACACCACACTCGCTGCGCTCTGAGCTTCTAAATGCTGAAGCTCCCTGTTATTTTGCAATAAGTATTATAATCGTAATAAATATTATTGGACATATTTTTTAATGAATGATAATGAAGCACACGCGCGCACGCACGCACGAACGCACGCATGCATGCACTCACGCCCGCCCACACGCACGCACATACATAATTAGACATTGTAAAAATGAACAATTTTTAAAAAATTATAATATATAAATAAATTATGTGATAGATAAATTTACTATTTTTTTCATATTTATTACACAATTTACCTGGCGTTATGAAGATAAACTGATTGTAGAGTGAAATAAAATATAACGGCCGGAATTAGTGCAAGAAGACTCCATGGCGCAACGATCGCATTCACCAACATGGCAGCTCCACAAAGCAGTGCTAGTTGTGCCCAACGGCTAAATGCTATTGGTAGTTTCTGTAATAAAAAAAAATTTCAATTAATTAATTTATAAAAAACAAATGGGTGTAGGCCTATATATGCTAAGTGTTACTTAACATAGATGTCATTATCATCATCATCATCATCATATCACCCTTTACTGTCCACTGCTGAACATAAGCCTTCCCCTTGGGGGTTTTGTAAATAGTTGCCACGCTTGGCAGACGGATTGGCAGTCGTAGTCAGGCAATAGAGATGTTTTAAGACGGACGCTGCTGCCCATCTCTCGCCCTCCCTTAGTTCTTACTTTTTCCCTCGGCTCTTACGACACCTACGGGAAAGGAAGGGGTGGCCTATTCTATGCCGGGACCACATGGCTAGTACCACCATAATCCTTAGTAAGAGAGGTACTACATCACAGTGTATATTGCAACGTCCATGGTACCGTTCATGTTTATACGTGTTTGTTATCATTTTCTATTAAGTGGGTCATAACTTTATTATTTGATATTCTAAGGTACTGGCTCTAATTTGATGTGGTTTCAAATAAAAAAGCTTCAAAATATTTTCATTAACAAAAATAGATATTTAAAATCTTTAGAAATGTAGGTTTTCAGGAAAAAGGTTTTCAAATTTTCAGGAAACAACCTATATTGAAATACCTATATTGAAACACTTTAGAGCTTTAAGTCTAAAGTACCTATTAAGAATACAAATTTACTTTTTAACAGTTATCAGAAACGAAAGAATGTTAAGTGAAAAAAAAAATCATTTCAACAGCAGACCGTAAACACGTAAAGCCATTGTACAAATTTTGTCAAATCATAATAGAGAACTTGGAATAACCTTATCAATAATTTGTATATCTGCAGAGAAGCAATGTAACAGTGACCCTTGCGACATTGCTTGGTGGTAGTGTAGCGGAGCGTGCAGCGACGCATGTAGCATCTGCTCGTGAAGCTTGCGGCGCGCTCTCGCGCCCGCGCACGCGCATGCCGCCTGTGCGAGTCCGCCCATACCCGCACCGCACACGCACCATAACGCGTATATTTGTACAGCACTCCACATCTGTAAGACATTTTACACGGAGGGTAAAATCAAAATCAATTAAAATTCTGTTAAAGGAGTATTCTATTATTGAAATTGAAATATTTTCCCCACAGTGGGTTGATAACTTTTTTTTTTACTGTTTTTGAATGTTTTATTCACGAAATTTCTGTCTTAATGATTTCTATTTAATTGTGTAGTTTTAACTATTTATTTATTTAGGATAACAACAGCGTTTTTCATGATTAAATACATATTACACTTTTACTAAATGCTAGTCAATTACAGTTATCCACAGCGTAAAACATAAGCACCCATTGAGCAAATAAATATAATATTTAGGTTGAATAATCCTTGAAATTGGTTATTTGATGAATTAGCTATATTACTCTAGTAATAAATCATTTGATTTTATTGAAGCTACAAATAATTCAATCGACTGAAGAACTCGGCATACTAATGGCGTATTCAAAGCTATTTTAAAAGGCCCTTAAAAACACTCAGATAACTATGTCTTGGTGCATAGTTGAAGTTCCGCTCGCATTATGAAGTAAATATCAGAGAATATGGGATGATCATGGCTTACTTATCCCTTCGCTCTCATCCTGAATACGCTTGATGTAAGAGTTTTATTTAACTTTATCCGCTTTAGACTGTTATTATATAATTGTAATAAGTGTATTGGTAATAATAGTAACCTGTTCGTCAGAGAACGTAGCTTGTGAGTTCTGTGCGGTGGTGCGTGCGAGCCAGTAATCGGCGGCGAGTGCGAGCGCCTGCGCGGCCGTCGCAGCTACCCAGTACAGTACACCCCACCACCCGCACGCCCGCCCGTATTCGCACCACGCTACTTTCTGCAATTATTGTAGATATAATATGACTAAAATAAGAATAACACGAGTCATAAGTGAAATTTTGTATATTGTTGCATCACTCTGGAGCGGGTTAAAATTGCCTCCTGCTGTTTAAAACCTTGAGAAAGGACCTTCTTTCTACCTTATTATGGAGAAAAAAGTTGCCTGCCTGCGCTATCGAGATACTTTAGTGGAGCACCATAAGAGCATAAGTGAGATTAAAGGCAAGTATTTTGGCTCATTGTGACGAATTCAGCAAGAATTAGTTACGATATTTTTAATAGGGAACCCCGCGTGGAGGTGAACGTGGCAGGCTTAGATTATTCATACAAAATCCTTCGAGTAAAATGGATCAACTTTTTCATGCAATTTTGCGTGATAAATAATTATAAGTGATTCCTTTATAACTTCTATATTTATTTTGTCTTATAATTTTTGCATTTTTTCAATGCGTAAATACTTATTTTATTAATTGAATAATACATTGTATGCGTAAGTATAATAAATACTGATAAAAAAACAGACAGCTAATTTGATAATTAAGTTGACCCGTTTTTGAGATTCGATGCTCTATCTATATAATCTATGGTGGCAGGGTATATTGATAGAGACGGAGCCGTTAGTTTTCGGTTTGGCTTTGGCCTTGCAAGCTAATGTAATACATAGATCTATACTCGACTGGGACGAAATGTGGGCAAGTTGAGTAACATTTTTATCAAAATCATTACAGATAACTTATATATTCATTACGTGAGGATATTTTTGATCACATAATTAAAGTAAATTATTATGTACCTCACTGTAACTGGCGTCGTTGTCTTTGGTAGATACTAAATCTGAAACTGTAGCAGTATTGGTTTTAGCGCCGTTCGATGTCAGTGATGTGTATGTAGAATCCATTCCCGTTTCATTAGCGATGTCTGTAATAAAATCCACAGCAACTATAGTATCTATCTAAAAAGTCCAGTAAATACACTAATTTCTGGCACAAGAGACACGATTTGGCACCAGATTTTTCTGGGGTCATATTGTTACTACAAGCTTATAACTTGAATGCTGAACATGGATCTCTCGCCGTTAAAAGATATTAGTATTTATTCGTATTATTTTGTCATTGTTAAATTAAATTGGTATAGGATAAGTAGGAATTAGGTTTAACATTAATATTTATGCAAAACATCATAGCCGATCATTAATAAGATAGAATTATGTACTCAAATCTGGTGTTGCTGTCAATTGTTAAGACATTTTTAGGAATGTAGATAACCTACCATTATTTAAATTTTCTTCATTACAGGCGTTTGTTTCTGAACTTAGTAAGCGGCGCAGCGTTCTTGGTGTCCACCTGGAATCATAAGTAGATCAATAATATACGTTTTCATACTGTACAAACAAGCCTGTTCAGACAAGTTTTACCATGTCAATAGCGTAATAATTGCGCGTCAAAATAAAAATTCATTCCATATTAATTAAATACTTTTAATTCCAAATTCAAATTCTTTTAAGAGAAATAAAAGCATTCTTACACGAGTTTATTTGATACCAATGAGCAAGTAATTAAGTTCTAAGTCAAGTGTTAAAATTGAATTTAAATGCAGATGTGGGAAAATGACGTTGATACGTATAAATAGGTACATGATTAATAATTTTCTGTCCGATAGATTTTATAAGATTATAGATTTTCTAAGATCATAATATATATTAAAAGTATATAAAATATTACTTAACATAAACAGCTTTAGCAATTGTAGTAATTAGAAGGATTTGTATAACTTGGTAGAAAATAATAAAGTAATAACAACAGGATTAGTTTTCTACCTGGCTAAAGTACGATGTGGTCGAGACCTCAGCAACCTTCGAAGCAGGCTGGCTTCTCTTTGTAGCGTTACATTTGATGCGTCAGCACTTACTGCGCGGCGCACCTCACGTCTCCATCTACCAAAAGATAAATTCAATAAATAAAACTAAGTTTCATCGCTAGGATGTTGTAAAAAGTGACTAAGAACAATGTAAGGGATGGAAGACGTAGTATTAAACACTATAACAAACCAGCATGGCAATTGTAAGCTGGAATTTTACATATTACGAGTGTAAAAATTCATACAAAACGTGCAAACCAATATAAACAGATATATTTTTAAATTAAAATATTTGTATTGTGCGGAGTTCTAATCTTCAAGTACAGCCAGTATAATATATTAGTTCATTTCATATTTTTCTTTACATGATATGCGTCACTATCGCTTATGTACAAAGTGTCTCTGAAGCGAAGTAGATTTTATACTACTGAGAATTTACTTGTGATTGTGCATTGAAGGAGGAGGCGAAGATAGTTGTCTCGAGAGTGCTGGCCTGGTACGAGTTGTGGCACGCCTCCAGCTACCGCCTGAGCACGTCGGCACTTCAGTCAGAAGGTGCGCCCCCGTCGCTTCGCTGATACCAATCTGTAGTCAAGTAGTTCTCCACATGTAGCATATGTGAAGTTTTCTGCTAAAATATGATAGGTTTTGCATAAAATACAATATGTGTCTTAACGTGTTCCTGATCCTCTTAGGATTTAATTTAATTATAATAATTTTTAAACAAATTATATGGGCAACTATACTAATGGTCCTCTTAATGGAGATTCATAACTATGGTAATAATATGATGCCCACTGTATCCCCACGCGTACCACATATATCATCCTCGGACTTGATTCTTATTCTTATGTCTTCATGTCCATTAATTGCACTCCTATGCTCACGCTTCAAACTAAATTAAAAGCATGCAAGCATAGCTGCGATAGGAACATGGATAAAGGTACTAACGCACATTTAATAAATGCAGTCTTACCATAGTATCATCTGAATGACTCCTTTGGAATTTGACGCGGTTGAGAGCACGCCGCAGACGGTCGCGTTCTCGGGCCGAACCACCTGGCGGACCCACGCCAGAACGCGCGGCGGCTGCTCGCGCCGAGCCTGCCAACTGTGCCCACCGCCATAGCGCCGGTGGACCCCCGCCTGCTGCACTAGGCCGTCCGAAACCACACACTCGACCGTCCTCCATAGCTATAACCTGACAACATTGTTGTTTATTATTCAAATTCAGAATGCGTAAGTTTTTGCGGAATAATATATTTTAAAGGGACATTTATAATTATCTCCTCATTATCATATCAGCTCTTAATTGTTGAACATAAGCTTCCCCTTAGTTTGCCAGTAGTTTCCACGCTCGGCAAGCGGATTGGCAACCGCAGTTAAGCTTTGAAGATGTTTTAGGAGGGACGTTGCTGTCCATCCTTTGCTTCACTTAGTCGCATCTTACGACAACCACGGAAAAGGAAGGGGTGGCCTATTCTATGTCGGAACCACACGGCGAATGCAAATAGATATTTGTAAATTAAAAAAACAAGATTTTTCTCAATAGATTTTTTCTTGTTTTTTCAGTGGTATTTATTGTTTGACAGGGATTTTCAACATCATTAAGATTGTTCGGTATTATTTTAAAGTGGAAAAGACAAAAACTAAAACTATATGGAGAAATTAAATTATGGAAAACTTTTTTATGCACGCGATTAGTGCATGTCATTTTGGTTTTTATAATTATGAAATAATGTTTGATGTTTTTTATTTAATTGCTTGTTTAATTCTTAATATACACACCACTCTGTGTTATCATTCTTTTGCTACTTTCGCTAAACATGAACGTTTCGAAGTATGTTGTATTTCTGTTTATGGAGGCCATAAAAGGAGAATAGATCGTTAACATTATTCGAAGATCACTGTAAATCACCAAACACACATGAAAAACCAGTGTGTTTGGTATTGATACGATGTTTTTGAGAACAAGCGAGTAATATGTTAATTATGACATTTATTAATTACCCGTACATTGTTGTCTGTGTTTAGTTAAAATAATAATTAAAATGTTAAATGAGTTACGCGTCCAACGCGGTTAGTTCATTCACGCCGTATAGACACGTGATGTGAATTGGAAATGTAATGACTGAATTGGTAAAATGAAGTACCCCAGATTCGTCAGAATGTATGTCTGTAACTATAAGAATATGGAAATTTATTCTTAAGAGATGAACTGTATTTGTTGCTGGCCTGCACAGTTTACGAATGAGATACCTAATTTAATGATTCTAAAATCACAACAGTAACATTTCTGTTTTTGAGTGAAAATCGATCCTATATCAAACATACTTATTCATATCCGAACACATTACAATTAACCTAAAAAGGGGCATCTATTAGTCGATAAGAATGAATGATTTATGTTTATTTAGATGTCTAGGCTTATTAAGTGTCAAGTGCAGGAATCTATACAATAAATACTTTATCAATGATCATTAAGTATTTTTGTATACAAGATCTAATTTACTTCTATAGAATGTTAAAATGTTAAACAATCAGCAACCCTAAAACAGCATAGGAACACGACCCCTTAAATATGTCGATGTTGATCTACATTTTTATTACACCGAAATTAACGCCTAAATGTAGTATCACATTTAAGCGTTGATTTCGAACAAATTGAATATAACAAATTACAGGCAATTTGTAAACAATAAGAAATTATGATAGAGAGCAATCTACAGTTACGCTAGTTGCTGTGGTAGTGATAGTAGAAGCTCGTGTGGCACTGCTGCTTTCAGTAGATCTGCAGTTACTTATCACTTAGGACCGGATATTAAACTACGGTTTATTGGTAGTTCAAATATGGGAAAATTTGAAGTGAACTAACCGCATTGTGTTTATATTATAAGTTTGATTACCAAAGTACCAAATAGACCATGATGTGTTACGTCACGCTGAACGTTAAAAATACTTTCAACAACCATTTAACATTAACAAATATGCAAAATGTTATCGTTATACAGGTGTCCCTGTATATCATAAACTAGATATATTTACTAAAACCAACATTTGTTAACATTAAATATTAATTAAGAGAACACAATAAATTCATTAGTAATAGTTAGTAGAATTTTTTATAGATAATCATCAACTATGAACTCAGGGACCATATATATGGCAAACAGGTGGTTTCTTACCGCGTCAGCGTAATGTAAAAGTTCCAATCTGTTAGTAGCAACGATAACGGTGCGGCCGGCGCGTGCAACAGTGACCAGTGCACGAGCTACGACGTGCTGGGCCAGCCCCGCGTCCAATGCTGCAAGGGGCTCGTCCAATGCTAGCAGGTGTGCATCAGAGTAGATCGCACGTGCTACACACACACGTACTCGCTGACCGCCGGATAGAGGCGAACCGTGACTACCCAGGAGCGTTGCATCTCCTTCTGTTTGATTATAAAGGTTTTTACTATTAAATAAAAATAAAAAAATATTAATATTTAATGCAAAAAATCCTATTTTGCTCTTTTAGACCTGATTAATTAGATTTTAAAGTATCTTTTAAAAACTAATTAATAAAAAAATCATACCTATTTTACTATACAGCTATTTTATCTAGTTTCTCACCAGGTAAGAGTTGTAGGTCAGGCCGTAAATCGGTCGCGCGTAATACACGTGCGTATCTTCGTTGACACCAAGAATTGTTCATCACAATGTTATTTCGCACCGATCCTTCAAGTAACCATGGCGGTTGTCCTGCATACCACGTGTTGCAACGCCTATTAAAATATATAGATATAAAAAAAACAAGTATACCTATGACTATGAAATCTTGATTCATCATCATCATCATCATTGCAACTGTTATCTGTCCACTGGTGAGCATAGGCCTCTCCCATAAACTCCTATAGTGAACGGTCCTGAGCCACCTGCATTCATTGACTACCTGTAATGCATTTGAATTTATCATTCCATCTAGTGGAAAGAGAATCGTCCTACACTGTATTTGATCGAATCAAAGACGTCCTTGTCTCATAGTCCACTATCGCCAGACATAGTGACGGATAATACTTTGTGGTCGTCTGTAGATTGTGTTTTAGCGTATGTATTTAGTATATGGTGCCAAAACCTTTTCGAAAACCAGCTTGTTCGGGTAGCTGGATGTCGTCCAGTTTGGTGCGTAAGACGATTGGTTAGGACTCTTAAAAACAGTACGTAATCGTGATTCAGAAGGGAAATCGATCTATAGCTCTTCAATAAGGTATTGTCACTTTTCTTGAAGAACAGGATTACCGCATTATTGCTCCACGAGTCAGGCGTAGTACCGTTACAGATGATGAAATTAAAGAGCCTCTGAAGGACTACAAGTAAAATTTTTCCACTCGCTTTTAGAAGTTCCGCTGTAATTCTATATAGGATTATATAGTTCTCCTTGTTCACTTTTTCTCCATCTATACAATCTTTTCATTGACAAAGTTTGTGTATGTGCATGACCGTTACTTTAGTCAGGAATAGCGGAGCCGCCAGGGACTGGAGGCTGTTTCTTTTTGGTGTTTACCATTGGAAGGTTTTGCCAGTAATTGCCATGCTTGTCAAGTGAATTGGCAACTGCAGTTAAACTTTTAATGATTTTTTAAGAGGGACGCTGCTGTCTAATACTCCACCATAAGTTCGCTTAATCGCCTTTTATGACACGCACGGGAAAGAAAGAGGTGGCCTTTCTATGCCGGGACACAATGGTAAATTTTGATTAGAATTATTTTGTTTAATTCCGCTACTCAGTATATATTACTCTTTGTCCCAAATACTAGTGTTAAATTTCAAAATAATTGGTTAAGCAAACTTTACCCGTGTAACAGTCCTTTGTTCTATTTATGTATCTACATGGGGGAATGCCGTTCCTTTCTCTTCTCACCTGTAATTTCGTCCGCATGTCCGGGATATTGTTAACTGACCGGAATAGAAAGTAACTTTTCCATTCTTTTTAGTACGCGTATACCAAATTTTATACTGATCGATTAAGATTTTAAGGAGGTAAGAGCTAAGATTGATAATGGTAAGGTTTTATTTTAATAAGTAATGAATATTTGTGTTAATAGGTTAATCTTAAGCCTCTAAGGAGTAGTAAAATAAATTTTACGAAATAGATAAGCTATCAAGTATAATAAAATAGAATTTATGTAATTTACCGTTAATTTACCTACGTCCGCAGAAGTAAAATAGATACCTAGTTATGTGTACAAAAAGAATGAATAAATTTATACATAACATAGTTAATACAATTATTTATGTACATAAAATATATACACATAACAGAATGTTAACATTTGGGTATATAACAATACCATCATAATACAATGTACAACATTCTTAAATGTTTTGTATGTAATTGTTATGTAAATATGATAGCAAAACTGACTTACTCATTGTAATTAACTTCACCTCGCTCTAGATACATTTCGCCGAGAATTGCAGATAATAACGACGTTTTACCGGACCCAGTTGAACCGACCACCATGATTAGTTTTCCTAATAAATAATTTAATTTATTTTTATTTTCAAATGTTAATTTGAATAATTATTAACATTTAACAAAACATACGAGTTCCGTAACATTGTTAGTGATTATTAAAAGTTATGTATGGTTTAAATTACAAAAAGCATGATCAAGTTTGAATAGTGGTTGATTAAATACATTGACTTGATTTTAAAGCATATCATTTTATATTCATGTAACTTAACATTTATCAAACGTAGCGTAAACGGGTAATACAAATATCTTCAATTTGAAACATTGATGGAAAGAATTATTTGTTTGACTTACCTCTTGGAATATCTAAATCATCAATTTCTAATAAAGTACCATTTTTAGTGCCCCACGAAAAAACTGCATTTTTAAATCTAACTACGTATTCATTTCTTTGAGTCAGTTTTGTGTTTTCATCATCTGAAAATTCATCTTCATCTACTACTTCTTCTTTATTTGCAATATTTTCTGTGGGAAACATGTCGTCAGTAGAAGAATTAATAAAAGCATTGTTTAAAATATCTGTTATCTTTGCGGTGGTTTGTACATCATTGGCTTCCCTGACATTATTTGATTCGGGAAGGTCAAGGAAATCTTTAATTCTTCTTGTGCTAACCTGAACAAGTTTTATTCTTCATTTATTGGTAGAAATGCGTTAAAGAAAAATAATATAAAACTACATTTCGTTGTATTTTTATTTAACTTACCATAGCTTGAATAACCATTAGGACAGTCACTGGCAGAATTAGTAATGGTATTGTTAATTGGTTAAATAATGCCAGTCCAGCAAATACGTTATTTGCTGTTAAGGTTTTATTATCTTCCAGAAAATAATATGCCATGAACGTAATCACTGTCACCAAAATTGTCGAGACTTGAGTGGTGAATGCTGTAAATTATTTCATATTTAATGAAATTAAATGCGACATAAAAAATAAAGACTACATTATTGAGTTCATTAAAATAGAATTGAACCCAGTATTGGCTACTTCATCAATTATATTCTTAAACGAGTGTTATTTGTAAAGAGCAGTCTGCTTTATTAGTTTAAATAACAAAATTCCGAATTCAGCTTCTATATTAAAAGTCTATTTCCGTAAAGATTATTTCAATTCTGTTTTATTTAAATTTATTTTAAAATAAGTTTAAATATTATTATTATGAAAGCACATACATACTTAAGAAACTCCAATAAATAGAGTCTTTATTTAGCAGCCTCAGCTCCACTTCTCTTAGATTCAATATTTTCTCATTAAACAAGTCTTCCCAGACATATAGTTTTATGACGTTAATACCGTTTAATATTTCGGTCATTTTGGAAATTCTGTGATCGGTCCATTTTGCTATATCTTTAGAATTATCAGACAACTTTTTACCGATGTAAAATTGTAGTGGAGTAATAAATATTATGCTGACCGCTGCGCCTATTATGGCACTTAAGCCTAATTTTATATATAATAGATATAGAATTACTGTTACCTGAAAGATTAGATTAGCGTCAACATTGCAAAATCAGCATACTTTTTTTTATTATTTTTATTAATATTTTTCTACCTTTAAGGGTATGGCCCATAAATAATGAATAATCCAGACACATGACATTACATTATAAGTGTCCTGAGACATAAGATTCGCAAGTAGACCAGAAGGTGTGGTAGTCGACACCTTTGGCACATGCAGTAACGGTGAGTCTTCATTATCTTCAGGACCCGGCGAGGACCATGGTGCAAGTCGCATACATTTATCGTATAAAATACTCTGTAAACAAAGATGTATTATTACATGATTTTGTTTACTGGTGACTTAATCAAAGAAGATTAAATTTATCTGTAAACCATACCTGTAAACTTGTTTTTAGTCTTGTGCCTTCTACAGTTAACAAATGTGTAGAATTTTGTGAAAGAAATGCCTGAGATATCAATGCAATGGTTACAATAGTTAACATTATATACCCATTGCTAAAGAATTCTTGTATGGTAACGTGTGATTTCTGATCAAAAGTGTCAGAAGATTCTTCTACAAATTTTATAATAACTGCTAAACCGATAGCAGGTACAACACTTATTAGATCCCCTAATAATTTCAAGATTCCCGCAATATAAAAATTTGGCCACACTGTGTAAAAATAACATCGCCATATATTAGGGGTACTTTCGTCTGTTTTTTTGTCCTGTAGAATAAATAGGATTATCATTATTTGTACAAAAAAATAATTGAAAAATGTTTTTTTTATGTCTACGTACCTTTAGATTATTAAAAATTCTTTTAAATTTATCATAATATATCCGTGGTTTCTCGTCTTCAGGCAACTCTCCGAGATCATCTTCCTCCAGAGGTGAAAGGTATCCTCTATATAGTAATGGGTTTAGCCAGAAAAACGCTATCTTTGAATAGAAATATGTGTCATTGTGTTTATATGGTATATTACATTCACTGGTGGAAGGTTTTTGTTGATTTCGATGTCGTTTTGTAACCTAAAAACATATCTATATTGTATAAGTAAATAAGTACTAGCTGTATCCTAAAGTATTATATGTGTTAATCTAGAATATGGTATATCTGTCTACCATTTTAATTTCGTAAAGCTACGTAATTGAGTACCTACAACAAATATTCAAACGTCCTTTAACTATAATATTTATAGAAATGCTTCTAATCGGATTTCCAGATGAATGTATAAATGAAACCGTGGTCATCTCTAGTGGTCATTTCTTTAACAACGAGATATTATTTTATATCCTAATTGATGTGGGTAAGGCCGCAGAGTACAGCTAGTGTTTTAATTTATTATTTCAAATGTAAGAAGTGATTATTCAATATCATTAATCTATCATCACAAAATATGTTGTATAGAGCGCATTAAGATCTAAAATTCTCTTGTAATGCCCTCCAAAGGCATAGCAATAAGTAGACATCCAGACAATTTAAACGGTAAGCAGATTAGTATGTAAAAAAATATAAATACGAGTACACTATCACTCATAGTGTATTAGAAGACTGGCGCCAAACTGGAGAGCGTCACGACGGCGGCGCTCTACAACTGACCGACTCCTGTCTGACTAACGATTATTTACTGTAATTATGTTTTACAATAAAATCGATGTATTGATCATCATGCATTATCTATTAATTTGAAAATCATTCTATACCCAATAATATTTCTTATATATGATAACGAATTTAGGTGTAGGTCATTTGTACATAAATATACCTATGTAGCGTGCGATCGATGTTATTGTACGTAGAACGAAGTAATAAAGATGTAATAAAGTAATAAATAATGTTATGAGCTGATAAACAGAAAACAATATAGGCATGTATTATTTTACTTTTCATATCACTATGTATACCTATAAGATATTTTTAATTATTTTCTAATCAAATTTTTATTTATTATGAGTTTATAATAAAAAGAACGGTTTCAGTTTTCCGATATTTAGCTATAATTTATTTAATGGGAGCTGGGGTAACAATATCAATTTACTAGTACATAATATAATAATACTTCTTATTGTTTTCTCGGCTACTTATTTGATTATCAAACTCCGATAATTAAATGAATGGACATAATTGTTATGATATGCACTTGTCTACAGATTTATATAATTTCACTTTTAATCTCGTAAATCCAACTATATATCTTATTATTTATTGATATAAATAATATCTAGCAATAATTTATTGACTGGGTAAGTACCCAGGCTGGTTACAAATAAATAGGTAGGTGTGCATTACATGTTTTTGTTATATGAATGTTTGCATTGATATATATTTTGAGATGTAAGCTCTAGTAGGTATATTTAATAACAAAAACACCTTCCTTGCGAGTCGTTTGTAGTTATCATTACAAAAATCTTTAATTTTACAGACAAAATAGCGCTAAAGATTATTTATTTAGGCAAGTTAAAAAGATCATGCAGTTACCTTTATTCATGGGGTAATACTAATAAATCAACAATTTGTCCTTTGTAATTTATCTTGGTTATAGCTACTCGTACCTAAGTATTTCGTGTAATTTGATAAATTATGTAGATATGCATTTATTTCTAAATGCAACTAGACTGTCGATAAGCAGCTTAGCATCGTCATCATACTTAGTTTGAGTCAGCTTTTCTTTGTTTATATTATACGCCTCGTTCATTGGACGAGGTGTAGATTCGATATAGGTAATTCACACATTTAAGTTTGTATATTTCTTTCTGAAGAAAATCGTCAGTTACTTTTTATAAAAAATTTAAAAGACTTCGTAAAGAAGAAGATTGTCATTTAACCTGTATTTTTTAAGCGATTTTGTTACCAATTCTGGACCTATTGCGGTAATTATTTTAGTACAGAGGCATAACACCTTAGGCCTCAGGAATGGCAAAACATGGGAGGTATCATAGACGAAACAGTATACTCTATTATGTCCATGCATGCGGCTCATGTCTATAGCCGATGGTTACTATTGTCCATCAGGTAGGCCGTCGTATAAAAAGAGTAATCAAAAACGTTTTGTTGTTCTATCTGTGATTATTAACATTATCATAAACGCTTATATTCATACAACAATTTTAGAAACTTTAAGAACCATCACTCATGAAAACTGACAATTTCCGAGTAACACTCGCACATGTTACCTTATAATGATAAATCTCTAAAATAAAAGGTATTAAAATCTTTTCTAAAAAACCATTATACTCATAGACTTTCGCCCATTATAGAACTATATGTCTACTTACGTTAATTCTTCTATTTAAAGTTTTTCCATAACAATAATCTATGTAGACTAGAATGTAACCACACAATGTTACTGTATGAAACCAAGCGGTGCTGTTAATTTACATACGAGTACTACATGTTGACTAATTCCGTTCATGTCGCCGTCGTTCCGGTTAATTAGAAAATACCGGTATGCATACCGCTGTTATACGTCACGATACGTTATAATTATGTTAATACTCGTCAACAAAATTATAATATGCTTAGGTGGTCCACTTTCACCCATCATAATTATGTCTTCGCTGATAATCTTCATTGAACTTATAGGAGAAAGAGTTAAACTATGCGATCACTTGTTTTAGTAGGTATATAATTATAATAATCATAATCATTATATCAGCCATTAACTGTCCAACGCTGGACATTAAAATTATATTACCTTCCTTACGAGGGATCCTCAAGGAAGGTAATATAATTTTAATAATACTTCATTATTTGTTTTATAGAAGACTGAAAAACCAGTTTACGGTCACCTTATGGTAATGACTATCGCACGTCATGTAGGTAGATATACCTATTTGGTATCAGAGTAGTTACAATAGTAGAATTTAAAATGCAAGTATATATTGTTGGCTTGTTATTTCGGTATATACTCGTACATATTGAATGTTCATGTAAAAATGCATATGAGATATGGTAGAAAATGTTACACATTATTGTCAAGTTGGAACTCTCGTAGCCCCAGTACAGGCATGCAACAATTTAAAAATCAAAAATATATAGAAGCTCATATTTCATGTAACTCTCCAATATCTAAATGAGTTAATGTTACGAATACATTAAAACTAGACTGAATAATTTTTTTACAAGGTTAATACCCATGCTACTTGATGTTTATTAAGCCATGCATAGCCATGCATAGCTACGTATAAATAAAACAGAAACAATTACCTCATCGTAAAAGCAAATGCAGTCCACTCCTGAAATAAATACTGCTAATATTGTGGAAACCGCCTGTATATAGAGATCGATGTGATTCAGTTTCACTTCAGTCTTGATGTGCTTCCACAGAATGGCGACTGTGGAAATGGCGGATAGAAGCCAGTATACAGCGAGATAAAGGATAGGTGCTGCTGAGCGGCGACTCCAAAGTACCACATGAAGCGCAGCGGCGGCCAACCACGCTAGTGGAGCAATAACTGCCGATACCAGGTACACTGTTTGTGCAGGCCTCAGACATGCTGCAGCTGCACCACAACACCAAGTGATGCCTAAGATTAGACTGGCTATGCCTCGAGTGGTTTGACCTCTCCAACGCTTACCGTGCCTGTTAAATCAAAATAAATATATAAATAAAAAAATCCAATTTACTGATTTCGCCTAATCGACATACATGGATACATTAAAGAATATAACTGATACTCAGTATCTAAGTACTCGTATTATATATATTACAGTAGCAATGGTGCTTGTTATTTAAACTTCGACGCGGCTTTGCGACGTAGGTACTATTTTATACATAGATACCTACTGGATTTACAAATTAGAGCACTGGATAATTTACTTAAGTAAAAGAGCGATTGATAAAAATAATAATCTTTTAGGATTAATATGTCTGTAAGATAAAAATCCTTGAAGAAATAAATATTGTTTCGTACCAACGCGGATGTGTCGGTGCACAGCAGCAAATGAGTGCGGTGGATATGGAGGCGCAATACAGGTGCAGCGAGTGAAGGGAAGCAGCCAGTGCGCGCATCTCGCACAGACCGTCGCCGCGTTCGCATACCGCATCCATGCCGTTAGCCTCGTGCCTGTGAGACGACAATCATTGGCAAGATCATTCATAAAACATTTTTTTAATATCTCTTATGTACAGACATTGCCGCGTGGCCTAGGCATAGAATAGGGCACTCCTTTCTTTTTCGTTTCTTTTTAGAGAGAGCGAGGGATGGGCGACAACGTCCCTCTTAAAACATCTCCAAAGCCTAACTGCTGTTGCTAAATCGCCTGCTAAGAGTGGCAACTACTAGTAAAGCCTCCCAAGGAGAAGGCTTATGTTCAGCAGAGGACAGTTAAAGGCTGATACTCGTATATATGTACGAATATATTTAGGTAATATTATGTAAATAACGCAATTCAATATCCGTGATCCATGTGGTGATGATAGCCGCCGTCTGGTAAAATTTACTGCCTCCTACATTGATGGGAACAGACCGTGGCTAGCGAGATTAACGGGTTGTTAACGTCAATAATTCTTTGCCATAAATAATAGGGAGGTTTGGTTCTACGCGGATAAAAGTTCTTCACCCGTGCAGTTAAGGTTGTCAGAAATGACGTTATCTTCGCAGATAAGATAGATATTAAGTACAAATCCGCAAGTATCCTGCCAGGGGTTTTTTATACGAACGTCCTGTAATTTGATACTAAAATTATAGATAACTGGTAACTCACCTAGGTTTCACACGGGTAGGTTCATAGAAGACCTCTAGTTATTATTATTATTTTAAATAAAACACAGACCATGTCACTCGCTAATAATTAATATAACATTCTATAAGCGAAAGAATTTTCTGCAGAATGGACATTATACAACAAAACCAGAGGGAGACTTTTTACAAAAGTCGTTTAGTTTGGTACCTCCCATTCGTGTTTCTACCGTGAAGCAGTTGTGTTTTCATGGCTGTGTTTTGGTTTGAAGGGTGGGATATGGCAGTGAATTTACCGGGTACAGAGGAACAATACCTGATATTCCACTGACACTGACATTATATTATTATTATTTTAAATAAAACACAGACCATGTCATTCGCTAATAATTAATATAACTTTCTATAAGTGAAAGAATCTTTAAAATAATTTTTAACTTTATTCATTACGACCAAAAAAAAAATCGAATCGATTTAATTATATTTATTAATTTAAGAGACAGCCCAGATTGTAGTCAAGGAAAAGTTAATCTGTTAAGTTTAAAAAATTTGTAATATTCCCCCTGATATGAAAATTTGTAAGTTTGTTTGTTACACAATCATGCTAATTTTGAAAAAAAAAATGTTTTTTTTTTATACAACTTAGAATGGCATAGAAGCTGACGGCTCACCTGATGGAAAGAGATAACTGTCACCTGTAGACATGAGCAGTACCATGGACATAACAGAATATACTGTTTCGCCCATGATATCCCCCATGCGTTTTTATTCTTGAGAACTCAGGTGTTATTCCTTGGGACCCTGCAAATTCAGTGCCATATCACACCCTTCAAACCGGGGGGAAAAGATTGTTAGTAATGAGGAGGTTAGTTCCCATTGCTATCAATATACCCTATCAAGTATCAATATCTATTATAAGGCTGGCAGGCCAGCTAGCCCATCATGATGAATTCATCAGGAATTAACCACGATAGTTTCCAGGGAGAACCGCGAGGAGGTCGACCTGGTTGGGTATATTGCTAGTAATGGGATTCTCAGTCTCCATTGCTAACAATCCCTTTTCTCCCAGTAAATGGTACATTGCTAAAACAAAGTGTTGGTTTAAGTACCTACGTCAAGCGTATCGTGGCCATACTTACGAGTATGTGTAAAAATATTTCACATATGAAAATTTACTGTATTATTTATTATAGACTTTTTAATGTAAGTATATAATTATAGATAGGTACCTTTTTCCGCATAATAAAACTATTACAGTTAGCGAGTATATTTTTAAATATATGGGTATAAACTTAGCACTATATATATTTAAGCGACTTCAATTCCCTTATATTTTTTGCGAGTAATATACACATATTATATTTATTTATTTTTTATTTATTCATATATTTTAAACCGATTTAGACATTTTTTTAGCAATCCTACTTTTCTATTCTTGGTTTTAATTAATATGGTCTCCGTCGAAACAGTCGTTTTATGCAATCATTTAAAAAAAAAATTTTATAAATTCATATAATAATAAATACTACCTACCTTCCTATGCCAATAAATCAAAGTTTATTATCTTCGAATACTAAAAATATACCTAATTATAATTTTGAATTTTACGATTATTAACCACTTATCTAGGTAAGTACTTAATAATTTCCTACTTACGTACTTGTTGATAACCAGCCAGATATTTCCGATCGATTGATATTTTATAAATAACGGATCATCACGTATTTACATCAACTCGCACTCATAACAAAACTCACTTAACAGTAACAGGTGCAGAGTTTATAATTTTACATAGCGATAGTCGTAAACTATTTAATTTTCATACACTTCACACACGAGATGTTTGATTGTTTCGAGTTTATGAGATTATTCTTATGTTATGATGCGGTTCATTTCATAGGTTGGGTAACTTTGTGTCTTATAACGCCTCAAAGTAGACGCGTGATACCGCTCTGCAATTACACTGGAGACTAAATTGAAGTTGGTTGGATGTTGGATTGGAGCGTGACATGCTGGCGTACGATTTGGAATCCACCGGAGCGCGGCGTATCACCACCGTCACTTAGCGCGTCAAGCTTGCAACTTGTATACCTAGGCATACGTCAGTAGGCCAGTAAAATGGAAGAGCAGTGACCCGCGCCTGCCACATTTCAATTTAGTTCATTGAAAGTATTGAAACAGGTTGGTTACTAGCTAGTAGTTTGTACTAGCAAGTAACTAACAAGTGTAGTACACTTTCATGCATGCATTTCACAGTCGTACGGGGAAGCAGGAGAAATTAGGTGGCCCGCTTCGCTTCTCGATACTTACACCAATAAGTAATTCCTACTTACCATTCTACTTGTCTACAAATCAACATAACAATTTAGGTATTTTCACGTTTGCAAGATAAGTATTTTTTTCATTTTATCGTACAAAACACATGGCAACACGATCGATTTCTTGAAAATTATGCATGATGAATATATTAAAAACCTAATCAAAAAATAATCACCTAATCTATTTAAATTTTTAAGTTTTTTAGAAAATTATGACAAAGTAATAAATGATCATGTCAATAACATTTTTCCTCCTATTTTTATATTAATAATGAATTAATTAACTAAATAATTAGGTATACTCTGAATATATATTGGTTTGCTAGTAATGCGAACTTCCAGTTCCATTATTAAAAATATACCCTGTCAGGTGGACCTTTCCGCGGTGCCCCCTAGAAACCACTGTGCTGAATTCCAAGAGTATTCATCACGATGAGTTAACTGACTTGCGTCTTTATTCACACCTATCATCTCTCACTAGTGCCCTATCAGTGTATACCGTTAGCCCAGGCAAAGGGTGTTTTAAGTTTATCGTGATAAGAGCGTCTAGAATTCAGCACAATGGTTTTCAGGAGAGACCAAGTGGTGGTCAACCTAGTTGGGTATATTGCTAGCAATTGGGCTCTTTGTCTCCATTACTGACAATCTCTTCCCCCCGTGCAGGCGTGATTACCATTCCATTATCATCCATTAAAAAAAATATGATTTACGTTGTCTAATATTGTAAATAATCTCTTATTATTTAATCAATATATTGATAACGGGTAAATATGTAAGTAAGCGAGTCAGTGCATAGATTATAGTTTCTTGACTATGTAGATATATATATATGTATATATATGCACATGCAGTTCTTGTTACGTATTTAACCTAGATCCTTAACCTATACCTGTATAGGTAATTACCCCAGAATCACAATAGTAATATTCTGTTACGATAATAAATAACTAAGTGTAAAAATAACAAATAACTAAATATAAAAATACACTGTAGTTAAATTAATTATTTATTATAAATATTTATTCTATATTTGAAACATAAACGTAATATGTAACTTATTTTTATGCGATATTCATTTATTTATTTTAAATATACTTAATTACAAAATACAAAATATCTTATAAATAATCTAAAAAATATTAGTCACCTCTTCTGGTAAGTTTAAATACGATATGTAATGATTTGAATGGTTTTGTAACAAAAGTTACCAATTACTAGATCTTTCATTTTTTGTCTGAAGTCGACGGTTTGTTACACCTACTTATAAGCTTTTTTATTAAATCCTTTTCATTACTGTATTTCAGAAGAATTACAGATGCTGGAAGAGTTTTCATTCATACTTGTACAGATTCTTAATTTAAGATTTTTCTTAATTTTTTTTCAAAAATCTACATCCCATCCAGAATTTTCATCAGGCGGTAGTTTATCTTTAGGATATTTCTCAAAGTTGTTCAAATCCGAGTTGCTAGCTACAGGTTGAACCAAAGGTGGCTTCAGCTTCGTCTCACGAAGGCCATCCCAGTCAAATCCAAGGAACCATCTAGATAAAAATAGATATAGAATTAATACCCATTTTAAAAATATCTACCAAACCTATAATAATAATACATCATACATAACTATATTAATAATAGTATGCTTATTTCGAATAATGACTTTTTATTACAGAGTAAAAATACATACTTATGACTTTTTATATCAGCTATGCCATTCTTGAGATAACCAAGGCGTTCAGCAGGTACAGGCCGGCACAGCTTACGAATAAGCTGCTTCGCCGAGTTGGTGATACGTGGATGAAATGTAACAGCATCAATTCCTCGTAATATAAGAGTGTACGTCTTCATGTGGTCACCACCAGGCGCTCGAAAAGGAGGTCTGCCCACTAACAACTCGTGAACTAGTACACCCAGCGCCCAGCAGTCTACTGCACGGTCATGGCCCTAAATTAATAAAAATCTTATTTATATTGTCTATATTAGATTAGATACCTATGCCTGTGATATGTAAGTGAAAAATATAGATCTAAACAACAAAAAATTAACACTAGGATATAATTAATTAGTTGTAAAATTCTATAGAAAATTTTGAGAGATTGGTAGGTACATTTATTGACAAAAATCTGTGTTCTGATAAGTTAAACTATAATTGTTTTTTTTTATTATATTTTTTTTTATTGTCAATTTAAAATTTTATTTTCCATATAAAGCATTTGATACTATTAGTCATATTATACTGTCATAAATAAAAATGCGACGATTTCTATTGTTCATATTCGTTTCAATTTTTAGACTTTTTTACGTAGCAAAAAAATATGTAAATAATCTGACTGTCCTCCAGATCGAAAGTGATAACAGTCGCCTATAAACACTGATAGTACCATGGACATAATAGAGTATACCGTGTATTGTGGATACAGTAATTAACCACTTTAAATCATATTCTTCAAAAGAAATAGATTTAGTTAAAATGGATGACTAGCAAAGTCTCAAGTGATTACTTGTGATGTTCCACGAAGCTTGATATTTTAACCACTATTTTTTTTTTGAGTCTGAAGCCATTTTAGACATTTAAGAATTTTGTCTTCAAGAGTAAAATATTGATAGATCGACTTAATGTTATGAAGCTGAGATTTAGTGGATCTTACATGAACAAACAGACACGTACTAAGAAAATAGAAAACTTACAAAAATATAAAAATTAAGCTCGAGTGAAGTTACTATTGTATATAGTTGTATAATTACCTTATTTAAAACGATTTCTGGTGCAACATATTCAGGCGTACCGGCAAATGTCCATGTTTTATTGTTAGGAGTTACTCGCTTGGCGAATCCAAAATCAACCTATAATAAACAAACGTAACGAAATTATTTTTTTAACTATTGTTGATTGTGATATTGAACTATTTTATGAAACTTGATAACATTAACAAGACTTCAACATAAGGACATGAATATTAATGATAAACTGATAACAAACACGAGATAAAATGAGTATTCCATAAAAATAAAACTTTATAATAGGCACAAAAATTGTTTTACACCAATAAATATATTATACTAACCTATATATCACTAACTATATTAGCTTTGCCTATTAGCCAAGATTACAAAAAACCTACATTTGTTAGTAGAAACTTTATAAGCTAACTCAACATTCTCATAGTTCCGTAGTTTATGTTTATATAAGAAATATGTGCAATAGTTTCCATAATTACCAATTTGATGTATCCATTTTTGTCCATCATTAAATTCTCTGGCTTGAGGTCTCGGTATATAATATCTTTAGAGTGCAGATACTGAAAGGCTTCGACGACACAGGCCATCATAAACCGCGCTACGTTTTCAGCAAAGTGCCCTCGCTTTTGGAGAATTGTCCACACGTCACCGCCCAGTACTGGCTCCATTAAGAAATAGATATATTTACTATCCTTGAACGTTCGGTATAATCTACGATAAAAGATAAAGCACAAATCAAAGATAGGTTTAAGAAATTACCAAAAAATATATTGTAATAAAGTATGAACATAAGAATAAATAATTCTTATGGTTATTCTTATTTGTTAATGATTTAGATATCGCTTATGAAAAGAACAATTTAATTTAAAATACGTAATTAAGTATAAATCTCGCTGCTTTAGATAAATTTAAAAACGTGGGCCTCTACAGCGTAGTGGTATAACAGTCACGTTGCTTTGAATAAAAGAGGTTCTGAATACGAATTTGGGCTATTTTATGGAACAAACAGTTATATTATACTCCCAAATCTTTGTTACTTAATGTTTTCTAACAATCTAGAACAGACGGAATTAATAAATGAGACTTAAAAGAATTTTGTAAAGATAGAAGTACAAGTCAAGAGTTTCAAGCCCTTAAAATAAGTATATAGTAAAATATATATATATTTTTTATACGACTTAGAATGGCAATCAAGCTGACGGCCCACCTGATGGAAAATGGTAACCGTCGCCTATAGACATGAGCAGTACCATGGACATAACAGAGTATACTGTTTCCGCCCATGATACCCTCCATGCGTTGCCATTCCTGAGGACTCAAGTGTTATTCCTCTGTACCCTGTAAATAATTAGTAATTAATAAAAATATTTACTTGCAAATAAATTGGTTATCACATGACATCATGATGTGTTTCTCGTTGTAAGCATTGTCTTGTTGATGCAATTGAACCATATCGATTTTTTTGAGGCATTTCAGCGCGAAGGTAGTCGATGGTTGTGGTTTGTATTGGACCAATTCTACACGACCGAACCCACCTACGCCCAACGTGCCCAATATCTCGAGGTCTTTCAGCTCAACGTGTTGGTATTCTATATGGAATGAAATTTATAAGACATTACACTTATTAAAAAGATGCGTACTGTATGTAGGTATAACGGTTTATGATAAATACAATCAACACAACAATCACGACTCACAATCAAATGATATAATTAAATTTGTTCAGACTTCGATCAGATATACTAGAAATAAGTAGTCACGAATCCTTACTAATGTATTTATAATAAATACATTAATTTGTTTATTGGTTTGTTTGTTACTTTTTGATGTTTTAACAACTTAAACAATCGACATGAAATTTGGTACAAACTTACATAGTATTCGAGATTGAGAAGGACATAGACAACTTATTCCGGTCAATCTAGATATCTTATGATGAAATTGCGGTAAAAAACTAATTAAACTATATTTACCACTCTTAATTTGAGATTTTTTTCTTTGCTGAGATGGACGTAATTCAACTGGATTTTTTTTAAGACCTTCCAAACCACCAAGCAGCTCTGTGAATTGCCTAAGAAAATAAAATTAGAATTTAACTAACTGACCCGACACATGTCTCTTTCTTCTATTAAAATCAGCTAGAAAAAGTTTGTATGGTAAAAAGAAAAATTGGGCTTTTCCTTTTTCCGGGCTTTTTTTCTAATCTTTGTCTTTATAAAAACTTTATTCGGACTTTAACGAATATACTTTTTTAAAGGTTATTATTTGTTATAGATTTTTAAGTTTTGTGTTTAGCAACACATTGACTGTTTCATTTTTGCTTATGTAGATTGTTAGATTCGCTTTAATTTAAGGTGTTTTATAATGATACTAGGGGCTAAATATGCCGCCCATGAATTATAAATCCAGAATTGAAATGCGTAAATTATTGGTTTATAAAAAATTTACAATCTATTTTTTTTTGTGATATTGTCAGATCCACTTATTTCTAATTTCTTGCTTCTTTTAGTAGTATAGGGTGGCAGCTCCAAATTGCATAATAAGCTTGTAGTCTGCTTGGCAATGTCGTCAGTTTTTACAAGTATAACATATCCTTACTATTATAAATGTGAGTGTCACTTTGATTGTTTGTTACCTCTTAACGCCTTAACTAATCACAGAAATTCAGTATATATGAGATGAAGAAGGATATACGTTAATTAGTTTTCCAGCCACGCGGACGAAATTGCGGGAAAAAGCTGAATGAAATATAATATACATACAAGCGATCTAGCGTGAGACATTCAACTCCCGGAGCGAGTGCAGTTACGGTGGCAAGACGCCGGTCCTGATGTAGCAGTGCCTGCTCGCCGAAGTAATCTCCTCGACCCAGTGAGCCGACGCGTTTCTCACCGTCTTCTTCATCGCGCTTTGTCACAATCACTGTGCCCCCACGGATGATATAAAACTTATCACCATAATCTCCTTGCCTCACTACTGCTGTGCCCGCCGAAAAGAACTCCTATTTAATGACAATGGCGAAAAAATCTATTATTAATTCAAAAATTATTAACCTAATATTAGCGGAAATTATTATTGTTAATTACTATTCTAATGAAGAAAAAATGTGTAATTTTTCAAGTGCTGACATCAAAATTACAGTTGCGTATAAACGACGCAAGTGCTTGCAAGTGAATTATTCCAATGATCCGAATCGAAATTTAGCCAGGGTCCAGGTACACTCACCTAAGGTAAAAAATAGACTATAAAAAGTAAAAAAGCTTACACATCAATGCACGCAAAGGACATTTGCGACATATATTTAAATTCATGTGGTGTTGAGGTAAGCGATGGGACATACCCGTTTCAAACATTCTGAAATCTTGATGAGCTCTGCATGTTGGATGCCTTGTAGGAACGGCACGCACGATAGGAAACGGATGTTGTCGTCTTGTTCTTGTCGTCCGCTACGGACCATTATCTTCTGGAATATTCGTCGCTCTAATGTCCATACCTGTGCTTCTGTAATGCCTATTAAGACCGAAACAAAATCACATATTAGTGTTATAGTAAATAAACAAAAGGATACCTAATCAAAATACTATAAACGTATCTTACGTTGAAATCTAGTGAATATTATTAGAATATTACTAGAAGAAGGGACTACCCTTTTTTTTATATTTAGAGACTTGAATTTCCAACTCCTAAATTATAGGATACATACAAAATTTTATCTATTACAGTAATTTGTGACTAACACGGAAACCCTTTGATTCTATTATATTAATACAATATAATAGAATCAATTTACAATTGATGAATTAAATCACGTAATATAAAAAATGTACGGATTGAAAAATTATAATAAGTACACAATCTTGTACTTAATTAAGACAAGATACTTACATCGAATAGAAGCGAATCGTTTAGCTCTATATAATATGGCGAGTTCACCGAATGCTACCCCTGCGCCAAACGTTTTCACAACTTGCCCTCCTTTTAATACTTCAAACTGTCCATTAGCTGATACGAATAGATGAGTTCCACTTCTCCTTCACGAATGATCAAGTTACCACCCGAGAATTCTTGTGGACTCATCGCCTCTGTTACCATATTAAGACGTACATCATCCATTAAATTCTTCAAGAACTCATTTTCCATTATAGCTCGTTTTATCAATTCGATTGATCTATGAATAAAAAAATATTTATTTATTTATTTTATTTAACACTTTATTGCACCAACATAACATGATTTGTTAAAACAATTTTCAATACGTATAGTGCAAAAGGCGGTCTAATTAAATAATAATAAATTTAATGTCAGAAGCCTTATTATACCGACGGCAACAATTTTTTTTTCTGAAAATCTTTAGCAATACTCACCGTTCGTCTTTATCATATTTATCATACTGAAGATCAGAAATGTCGACATGCATAGGGGGTGGGATCGCCTCGCGTTTCTGTCGATGTTGTTTATCAGGATTTTCGTGTATAATTTGCGCTATAGTCTTGCGAGCCATATTGCTGCTACGACTGTCAAGTACCTCATTGTCCGACTCTAAACTGAGATTTGATTTTTTACTTTGAATACTTGGTTTTTTGCTTGACTTCCTACTGGTACTTTGACTTTCATCGTCATTGCGAAGGGTTGTATCTCTCTGTGGCAAATCTTTATTTGTAGTCTGTAAGTGATTGAATTAAAAATTAATAAATTGTAATAAATATCTAAATAAATACTCAAAATTAACAACCCAGTTTAGCCTTATAGTAGGTGCTTAGATACAAGTATGTAGGTAATACCTATATTACTGAATCAAATATACAAGAGTGCCCATAAGAAGACAATACGTGCAAATGAAACTTCAAATTTACGTCTCAATTTTCAATCGATTGAATGTACTCAATTCATAATAAGTAAATAAACTTTAGCCAGAAAAGCTTTAAAATAAGCTATATATAAAATTACCACTAAAAATTTTAACTATACGTCTGTAAGTACAGAGATTAAAAAATATACGAGTATTTAAAATCTTTAAAATTGTTAGATTCCATGTACTAAAAAGAATTGTATTAATTTCTATTTATCCCCGGGTTTGTGCATTATAACTTTGGCAGTCTAAATTCATTTACAGATAAGTATGTATAACGCAATGTTGCCAACTTTATTAGAGGAAATGCTAGAACGATAACTTTATTTTTTATCATAATGACTGTTTGCATCCGGGGAAGTAATTTTATTTTAGAAAGTGAATAAAGAATTACATATTATATACACGACGTATGACAAATGTTCACGTACCTAATCATGCGTCAATAAAATTCTTATCCCTGCTTTGATTTATTGAATAGGTATTAGTAGATAAGTACGATAACAATCTAAGAGTTTGTTTATCATAATTAAAATATTTTAAGCTCGTATTTACTTAGGTATTCTTCATATATATGTTTGCATATACTTGTTTCGACTACTTCTGCCACCACACTTTAATAATTATACCTATCTGGATCATGAAATGGCGCCACTATCGGAACATCTCTAAGGGTATCTGAGTATTTTTTTATAATATTAGTTCTTTTGCAGACGGGCCGAAATTGTTAAAATCGACTCTTCGAATTAAGCGGTTGATGAACGACGTTATCGCTATATGAGCGTTTAGGTCGAGGTACGAAAAATATAGCTTTCTAACTTACTGTGGACAACAACTTAGCTTCATTATCGGAAAATCTAAGTCTATATTCTGCACGTTGTAGCATAGTGTAGATGACAGTTGACATTTTGGCAGTTTTTACTAAAAAATACCTATATTAAAGATGATTTTTGGAATCGAAATTAGTAAAGTCTAATAATTATTATAATTCACAGAATCTCACCACTAAATATTTTGTTAAAATTATTATAATTTAGTATTTTTTCCTTTATAGTTTTAGTGACTTGTTCTCGTGCCATATTTTAATGTACAATGTAAACTACTTCGACCGGATTTAATTTAGTTTTTTTATGTAGTAGGTAGGATCAAATAGATAATAAGTATACTACTTAAATAGGTACTTATTTAATAAGTACACTAAATATAAATTTATTTTCAGAAATGAATAATTAAGAATTATTGATAGGTATGATTAACTGCTTTCCGGGTATAGAATAAGTAATTGCTATGATGTGCTCGCTCGCACTATCTTTATTATCCGGGGATGTGTGACAAATTATTATTCATTTATTAGTTGTATTTCCGACATACTTATGACACATTATATGATTTATGTTGCAATAATTGTCTAATACTTGGTTTTGTTTTCGGTGAGATAGGAAGTCACACATTTTTTTTTTAAACAAATCGAATATTTACACGTTATTGGAGTAGCGGTTATGTACACTTTCTTTACAGACTTTTGAAATGGTTACGATTGTGAGTTTGTTCCTCGCATAATTCAATCATTATTATTTTAATCATCGTAATTATTATTACACAATTATTTAAATAACATTTTTTTTTATACAACTTAGTATGGCAAACAAGCTGACGGCCCACCTGATGGAAAGATTTAATATACATAATTATTTTTTATAGCTTCATTATACTTTATATATGTTATACAATAAATAATATATATTATATTCATATACAATGTTCATATCTTCTATAAGGCCCAGTGTGTTATAAATTTCATCCTGTTTCTCGAATGCTACCTATCGAGTGGTGGAGTACGCCACAGCTTACGCTGAGTGGGGACCATTTCAACTGCTACCACATAATTGTTATTTAAATGTAAAAATTTTTAATTAATATTGTTGTATTGTGGCTGAATAAATGATTTATTCAGCCACAATAATAATAATAATTATTATGTTCAAAATAAACCTTTCCCATAGATTGCCATAACTAAATGTCCTGTGGAGGTCTGATGGTCTAGTGGCTTACTTGCGTCTACTGACTTTCTACATGACATTGTATGTATATAATGCAAGTTGGTGCAAATATATATAATAGTATGTAATTAACTAATGGTTTGGGACTTAGTACAGAAAAAAATAGTTTTTTTCCCTATTCTGTGCTTTGGAAGATGACCTGTGTTTTAAAAAAATATTTCAGTATGTTTAGTTTTCTAGTATCCATAATATAAGCTCTGCTTATTTTGAAATTAGATGGCGTTGTGTGAAAGTTACACTGTTGTTTGTTTATTTATTAGAAGTTTAGCTTGGAACTAGTCACGGTTGAAAACGCAATGTTAAAAGGGCGTAGCTCTCTAGCGAATTAATATTTTAATAATTATAATTATTCGTTAAGACAGCTATTTTCTTCATAAAATATGGATTGTATTCAATTAGTGGAATTACCTACTCTAATTATTTGAACATTAATTAGCAAATATTAAAATTTGTTAGGACAAAATATATAGGTACATAGTTTATTTTAGTTTAAGAAGTAATAAAGTTACTTCAAACTTAAAATAAATAATATATCTATTTATTTAAATCTTATTATCCAAGAAAAGGTGATACAAAGGCAAAGTTAATGCCACTTGCCTTACTTCCCACCTCTAAGTAAACAAATTAAAACTTTGTTCTTGCCGTTACAAATTTTTCCATTACGAATCTATTACCTAAGTTAAAAGTTAAAGCAACTAATGGACACATTAGCCACTGATCTAAACTTTTTGTAAATGTAGATAATGGTACAAGGTGACATTAAAAATACTACTAAATACTATCTATGTACATAAAATTGTTTTATATATGTACTGTTAAATATTTAAACTAATTATCATGACGTCATTTTACTTACTTTTATAGATGGGCGACTTTCATTGTTAGCAGGATGTTTCACAGGTTTATTTAGATTAAATCCGCCTTTTGACGACCACTTAAAAGGCGGACACAGCACCATTTTTTTTAATAAATAAAGCTAATTTGTAATCGAAGGCACTGATTCATATTTTGGTACAATAACACGACACGAGCAGTGTTAAGGTGAGCTGTAACACTTGCACTGAACAATTAGCACGCAAGCATACTTTATCAGTAGGTATCTAACAAGATTATCTTACAATACCAATCGTTTTAATTATTCCACTGTATTTGTCATTACTACATATTTATCAAAGAACCTTGCGATCTTATCAAACATTAATATAATTGTTACTGGCAACAACACTGCTCACAGAATGGGCCGTTGCACCTCGACGTCGTCGGCGTATCAAATTCATTGTTCATATCGAATTATACGATGATAAATGTAAAACAGAAATCTTACTGTTGGTCTTGTATTGTGCAGGATGAATAATCTCTTATAGTTTTACAAATCAGATACAAGATATCCAGGTATTCATTACATACTTACTGTACACTCGCTAAAGTGATAAAGAAGCTTACGGCCCACCTTATGGTAATTAGCTATTGCTGTGTATCCGATGAATAGTTAATACCAAAACATACGTTTTCTATAAAGTATTAAAAATACATGCAAGGCCTTTTTCTTGCTAGTAGGTAACTAATAGTGGGTGATATTTTTTGAAAAAAAAAGACAAAGTTCATACTATAATTTATTAATAACGTAAATGAGTACACAACGCCAAAGGCTTTAAATGATTTACTTCATTCATTATTCTCATTGGAAAAAATATATATTTACAATAAAAGAGAAAAATCAGCTCTGCAATTCATTTTAAAATTGCCACACGAAAAAGGTAAAATCCATTCATTATTAGATTATCACAAATCGTATGAGGGAGCTCGCTGTGCACTCGGCTCGATGAATGTTCATTCTAAAACCGCACTTCCCTTAATAGGATCGACGTGCAACAATAAAATGTGCGATGAATCTATGTAAACTGTGCCAAACGGAAGACATTCATTATGTAACAAATCTATTGTAGGTAATATTAATTTTCAAAAACATTTAGTTTTAACATTACACGTACAACATACACATACGGAAATTGAGCACGGTACTGTAATCGTATCCAAACACATGTCGGCCCTCAGAGCCGCGAACGGCGCCGTCCGCGGCCCCGTAACGCATACTCCTGTACCGTCCGTGTCTCTGCACACCCCCGCCGGTATTGAAACACCGGACTAATAGCTGAACACAATATACAAAGCAACGGTGAGCTGTTATATCCCATACGCCTCGTAATGGCAACACTTTCGCCGGTGATGGGAAGACGAGCGAATGCATTTGTAAACAGGCTATCTAATATGCAATAACAGTACTTATGTACATCATAAATCAACTAAATACGGTTATTTCTACATGGTTAAATAGACATCCGCTCGTCTTCTGTTGAAGTACAGTTATGTTGTTACAGTATGGGTAGTTAATTTCCTTTACAAAATTAAACTTTCCTCGCAGGAATGCCTTTGCAAGTCACACGAAAACAAATACAGCTCATTTACAAATCACTATTGACAAACAGTATGCGCTACGTCTACCGATGTTCCCTCTTTTTTATATAAATAACAAATCGTCATTAAACTCATAGACATGCCGTTAACTACGATCGGAAATGATGTGTCCACATTACAAGTAGAGATTGTGGCACGCCTACGACTTTAATATAATATTAGACACTTGGATATACAGGCATAAATGTTATAATAACCCTGCTAATATGAGTACACTACTACACTAACTGAACAGCGTCGACGAGTGCAATTGACGAACAAGTGATACTTATCAACTCCGGCTACGTTAACAATATAAACCCGAGGTTACAAATCATACGCACAACATGCGGCGGCGATTCCGCCGATAACACTATATACAGTTGGCAACGCGAGCTGGCCGCAGCCACCTTGCGTCCGCCGGCCACGCGCCACTTTGTAACTCCTAGTAGGTATAATGTTCCATGGCAGATACATCCACACTGCTGCTAGGAAATTGAGTAGATACATTTAATACTTTTGACAATGAAGATTTTTATTAGCAATATAGTCTTATATTTCATTACGGATGCATTACAGACACTATACTGCGACGCTAGACGCGACGACGCGAGAGGCGCGGCCTCACACACTCACACGCCCCTTATAACAGTAGTCATTGTTGGTTTTGGTGTTGCCAGCAAACATCGATTTTCGCTAACAACACTATTGATATGACGTTTTATTATGCACAATATAACAACTCGTTTTAGATCTAATGATTAGAATCGAAGCCGTCGATCGTATAATTTGTGCACAGCATAAAGAAACGAGAATAGTATGAAAATTTTAATTTAACATCTCATAAAAACTGAGAAACAAATCGCGTTACAAAATACACATTATCCTTAATTTAATGATTACCATATTTTATAATACATTGTTCTTGATGATTTTTTTTTTCAAATCTTAACGTAGCACACTAACCATTTTGTCAGATATGTCATTTAAATTCAATTTTTCCCCGAGTAACAATTTGGCTTAGATTTTGAGTCTCATAAAAGAATATTCCATATGATCAGTTTACTTTTGTGATTTGAACAAATGACCTATGGAGTCGTAACAGAAAATAATAATAATAAAAAGAAACAATCGTACTATCTACATAGATCAAATGAACATGGCGACTTTTAGACTGGGGAATAAAGAGTAGGTTTAAAATCAATGTTGAAAATTGATCAGTCCAACATTTGGTCCATCTGTCGTTTTCATCTGAATCCCTAGTCTAAAACATGCCTGATTTATATAACTTACGATTAACATTGGTGGTTTAAATTGTAGAAAATTATAAAAAAAAAATTGTGACATGAATTGTCTCTAGACAAAATATATATAAAAACTAATAATTAAAATCATTTAGAAATCACATGTACTTTTACAATGTACTTAGATAAAAAACTTGCATTAAAAAAAACAGCTAATGCCTATAAAACTAAATATATTCACTTAAAATAATGCATTTACGCATGAGTATTCAGCGGTAAAGCGCAAATGATTGTTCGCAGCTGCAACATGACTGACTACAGTCCGATAAAATAATAACTATAACCTATGCATAATTAATATTAAGCCAGTGGCACTAAGAGGTGAGTGAAACGATCGTAATCTATCAAATGAATAATATGACACGAAGACCTTAACAAATAGACACTACAGAACAAAAGATCTACATCAAATCAAATTCGGAAAGGTGTATGAAAATATACTCCGTTAAATTCACATGAATATTTACGAATCAGCACCTTTAACTATTATAGTTTGTGCGCAAAAAGACTAGAACTGCAAGATTAAAATATCCATGTCATGGGATCGCTATCGAGTTACGTATGCTAAAATTGTGTGCCTATGAGCTTGCTACCGAATCAGCACAACAGGTGACCATAACTCACTCATCTTAACTTTTTAAATAATTAAAGCTATCATCGTAGACGACACCGTGTTGAAACGTAGCTTCAGAGTATACCAGGGGAACATTTCTGTTGATATGTTAGCATAGAACTATTACGCGGGATCCTTGTGGACTTTAAACAATATTAAGACAATTCGAAAGTTCATTATACAAACTGAGATAAGTATCGAAGCATAAAATTATCACTTTATATGATTTTAACACTACAAATTTACAACAATATCAATAGAGCAATCGTCAACATGAAACGAATCATTTCAGATCTATATTCATATATCATATCATTGAACTATTTTAAAAAACTACTCTAGATGGCAAATAGATATGTTCATATAGAAAATTACTTTGCTATAACGTAATTACTTAAAATGAAAATATTGTTTTTGAACGTTTAAAAGACTCACAGATTTTGTAAGTTTTTCTGAATGAAAGACTATGAAATCTATGGACAAGTGGTTAATGACATGCAAACGCTCTGATTACGTATGAATCGATGGGTTTTGTGCTTTGGTATAAACTTTGAGCGAATTCACAGTTGTTGTTATTTTTACAATCCTAATGCAAATTGTTAGATCTAAATTACGACGACGTTTAAAAGGGTTGGACCCGTACGCGTGTTTGTTCCATTGTTTAAATGAAAGTATACCAGATAAAAGTATTAAAATAGCATATAAATACACACCGTACAAATTCAGATCTACGGTACTGAACATAATTACAGGGAGAAATCTCAATGATATGTAAGAACTCGATGGAGTTCCCTTCTTTACTTAAACACTACATCTAAAGCGTTATGTCTACGTCTCAGTAAAATATTAAACATTATTACCTAGCGTTCAATAATTCGATTTTATAGAAAACGAAAGTAAATATTTTTGATACATGTAGGTACTATAAACGAGAAGCAAATTGTACATAGCGAGTACTAAAATAATTGCTAATTTAACACGAACAGGATTTGGCTTTCCACAATTTGTCTGTAACATTTGGGCACTGTATTGTGAACTTTAGAAGCTATAAAAGCATAACCTATTGAGTAATGTAAACGCAGGATCGCAGCGCACGCGCAACCAACAGCACCGCTGTACGGCCGCACATATCTATAACTATTAAAAATAGTATTTATTTAATATTTATTTAGGGTAGAAGGTAACTTCTGAAAAAATATATTTGTAAAATAACAACCAAATACATGGCACCGTATGAAAATCGCACCACATAGATCGTTATAAATAAAACTAATTTTGCGAACCTAGTCTATTGTTATAGAACAATTCTATTTGTCTTTTTGTTGAGCGCCATCTGTAATAATGAGACACGAGACGAGCTAGCGTTCCATTTATAAATTTGTAAAATTGATGACGTCTAATGCGATTCCGATAACAACAAAGCGGTGTTTCAGTATCTAAACTAAAATGTTATAACGTACGATTAAAATGTGTTCAGGATCCAATATTTACATTTTTTTCTATGATATGCAAGTGCAAAGCTCACTAAATATCGTTTACATGAAATATTCTTCTATTGTCAATTATTACAAGTGTAACATCTACATGAAACCACATCGTAACATATACTAAATGTAGATATTCACATTCACTCTCGTGTATTAGTAAAATATAACTCTTACAAACATCTAAATAGAACAAAAGCACTTACTTAGCTGCTCGCACTTGTATAGCATTAGGTACACAAATAATTTACAATACAGTTTAACTTAATAAACTATTTCTGTTAGAAATTTTAATGACTTTGGTATTTTCATAAGTTCCTAACGCCCGACGTGAGCGGACGTATCGGACACTTGGCTGAGCGACGGACGACGGGCCACGACTCGAGAAGCCAGCGTCGATTCGTCGCCATACATAGTTAATTAAGCTATCCAACTTTACTTAGACAGTAATCGGCTAGCACTATTATGGTTATCTTAAATTATGAATTATTTTTGTACGTTTACAAAGAGAGTTCATTGTCATGTTAGGGTAAATGTGAAAGATAGTTTTATATTCGAGTAAAAACGTTTTTGTTCCACTGGCTTAGTAGGGCGCAAATCTGTTGTAACCACTCCTGTATACAGCAGTCTGAAATAGAACAAGAGATTATATGTAGACAACAACATATTTATAAAGAGAAATAATTAATAAGAAAAAAATAATTCTATTTAGCTTCTGTATTTTGAGACGAGTAAAACGCCTTCTTTATTGTATACTTACCCCATAACCTGTGACCGGTCCTATGCCATGACCTAGATAAGGGTCTGCATACTCTCGGCCGTACCTAAAATGAAACAAATTTAAGGTTATTGGCATTGTTCTTTATCTATACTTACTAATATTATAAAGCTGAAGAGTTTGTTTGTTTGTTTGAACGCGTTAATCTCATAAACTACTGGTTTGAATTGAAAAATTCTTTCTGTGTTGGATAGTCTATTTATCGGGAAAGGTTTTAGGCTGTATATCGTAACACTGCGACCAATAGGAACGAAGCATCAGTGAAAAATGTTGCAAAAACGGGGAAAATTATTCATATTTGAGGACTTCCGTTGCGTGCGCTGCGTAAACTGTTCAAGTTACCCAAAAAATATGTACGAAAGAATTATTACTCTTTAAATGATCTAAAAAAATGTCCGCTACAGTATATGTCTATCTTTTAAGACTGACTCACTATAATCTTTTTTATCATAATCAAATTTGGTCGAAATTAATACATTATTGCCAATTATTTGCCAAAGAATTTTATCAACATAATTTACGCAGAAGTACTTTAAAATATATATATTTTTAAAACTTCTTAATTGCGATCACAATAACAGAAGTTGACGCAGACGAAATTGCGGGCAACAGCTAGTTTTTTATATACAGGTTTGGTCTTAATGAACATACTAAATGCCAGTAGTGAAACCCAGAAAGTAAAAAAATATTTTTTTAAATTTACACTCAAAACGAGCGGTCACGTAATCGATTTGAGAGAACACTTCAAAAATTATTTTCAGTGTTCAATTTTGTACGATTGATTAAAAAAAAATATTGACTAATCCGAAGAGGATTAGAAGAAAAATATTTTTTCCCAAAAACAAGCCAGAGAAAAAAAGAAAAGGCCATGTTCTACATTAGATTAAGATTGAACAACATCAGAATCGATATCATTCATGAAATAGAAATAGTATTCAACGATACCGTAGCCGTTTTCATTACGAGAACTGATTTAATGAAATTGTCACACCAATTGTGAGACATGCAATAAAGTCATTTTTAGTAATATTATACACGAAATATGAAAGTGAGTTTGTATATTTGTTACCTCTTGGTGTTTTAATGGCTTAACCAATCGTCATGAAATTCGGTATATATGTATTATCAGCGATGAAAAACGACATAGGGTTCAATTGATGCTATTCAATCAACATATCCTGGTCACACGGACGAAGTTGCAGGTTAAAGCTAATGTAAAATGGAAGGTAAAAGGTAAAAGGGAAGGTTGGCTAAAACGAAAACAGCTGATTCAGATAACTGGTCTGAATCAGACGGCAGATTATTTTTCCAAAAGAAATGCACCACAGCCACATAACGATTCTGAGTTTTGACGCTGCGCAATGCATTTGAAATTTTACGATCCACACAACTTGCGCTCAATAACGCGCTTCTTCGTAGGTAGCTTTTGTACACTTGGAGCGTTGACCTTATACAGCCGATTCCGTGTGTTGTGATAAGATTTTAATACGTGTATTACATTGTTGTTTTTTGGTATTTTATATTATTTTACTATAAAATACTATTATTTCTTCATATTATGACATAATAACAAAGATTACATCGTTTTAAATGAAAAAAAAGTACAAAAATTTGAAATTTTCCGGAAAGAATTTCCCGTGGTTTTCAATTTAGAATAATGGCCTCAATTCACTGTTTCAGTTTTTGCCGTGTCCTTGTATAAACCATACCCTGTATAGTATATCCTGTATACTACTAGAGTCTATATAAAATACTAACGTCGCTGCGAGGGGCGCTAGTGCTGCGGGGGCGGGGGCTGCGCTAACGGCGGCGGCTGCGGCCCGCGCGGCCGCGCCGTAGTTGGCGGCCGCTGCGGCTGCCGCGGCTTGCTGCGCCGTCGCTAACGGCGACTTCAGTAGAGGTGCCGCCGCCGCTGCCGCTGCTGCCGCGGCCTGCTTATACACACGCAAATAATTACATAGTCTTTATATCACAATGGTGACAAACAGGCATACAGTCTGTCTAATGATAAACGGTTACCGTAGTTACGTAAGTTTCAAGTATTAAACCCGTTTGAAACCCCAAATCCTATAGACAAGTGGTAAATTAATTTTATTTATGTACAATTTATCGCTACTGATCGTATTAGAAATAAATAAGACACCGGATGATCTCATCTCTTTCCGTTTTTTATTCAGCGTAAACTTATTTATAGACAGATTCGTTTATCATTTATCTAATGGGTAAGGGATTTCATACATCGTTAGCAAACTCTGAAGAAACATTATTCCTTTTAATTATATTCTAATAAGTATTCCGCTGTAATAGCTAAGATTTGTTTTAATAATCCTAAAAAACCTACACAATAACCGGAATCAATATAATGTTGACTATGCGATTCAATATTCCTATTAAATATACTAAAAAAACTAATCAACTGGAAAAAGAACAATTTCTTAGTAACTTTTACCAAGTCCACTTCACTATTAGAATTTCCCTCAAATTAACAAATTAACGTACCGATATATAGTTTTTAGTAAATATATCTGCACGAACAATGAGCCCACAAGGCTAAATTGCGTGGAGCTAAAAGTGGACGTCGCGTATGTTTAACGTGCGTCGACGACACTAACATTTCGAACAATTTTCTATTCTGAAAATTAACTGGATGGCGGCGACAGGAAAAAAATTGTTTCTTCACATCTTACCATTTTGTACCTGCAGTAATATAATGTTGGGTGAACGCTCGTGAGCCGACCGGGCCTGAACTGCAGTTTCTATGGTCTTTGAGAGCATAATAAAAAAGCTAGGACGATGCAGAGTATAAACGCATTGAGCTATTAATTTATACACGAAAAAGTATCAGTGAACATTTATATGTGATGTATTTTATTTACAATAAAACATGCAACGTTCTTGGCACACGCACCTACAGTTTTAAATGGTTCATTTTTCTGCATCAAAATTTTGTTTTTGCAATCGTTTACTAGTCTTATATTAGTTTTGTTGCAGAAAAAATGTGAAACATGAAAGAATTATCGAGCATGCACTATATAAAGAAGTAATGATGTTGAAAACAATACAAACTAAGATTGTAACAATGTTGAAAGAGTAACTATAAATCTAGTTCTACATACTTGTGATGGTTAGTATACTTAGAAAAGTTGCAATTATTTGTGGGCTCAATGTTCTACACGGAGCATGATATAAATTAGCATCTGATCGAGTCAACTCACAACTTGAGCAAACGCCTAAAACTAATTCACCCACCACAATACCAACGAACAAGGATATGAACTCAACAAAGCAATCGCTGCGGCCGGCGCGCTGCCGGTGCGCGCGCTCCGTACTGTTACCACAAACACATGTGCACCCTGCATTACGGTGGATACCAAAAGACCATACGAGTATAATAAGGAGCAAACAAAATCCCAGCACTCACTCCGCGATGATTATACAACTTAGACTATATAGCGTGGTGGTACATGAGTCAGGAAGCGATTGGGATACATATATCGCATATTGATCGTAACCGAGCTCTAGAGCGTGATGTATTACCTCGGCTGCGGGCTTCGCCGCCTGTAACAACACACGCATGTCACCTCGGCCCTGCATTCTACCCATTGGTAGTACAACACAACAATATAAATGGATGGAACCACTACGTTATAGTCAATTGTCAGTTACCACAAAATTAAGAACGTATAAACCAAAGTCTGTCCACGTTTGTCTATTTTAAAAAACAGTTTCAAATATTTCTGAATTATTACTTAAAAAATGTTAAAAATAAACCTGTTATTTTGATTTAAAAACTAACCTGCTGAACGGATTTTGATTAAATTTCTATGGGACCAATCTGTAAATATATTCATTCAGATAAAAAAATAATTTTTCAAATTCGATATGAACTAACATGAAAAAGTACAACCGAATTAAGATCTTCATTCTTTTTGAAGTGGGTTGAAAATTTAAAAACGAAAAAATACGGAGTGGTTCAAAATTTTAAAAGGTAGATGTATACACCACTTATTGTTTGATTAAAGTTTTAGTTATAAGAGCATTTTTTAAATAATAATTTAGAATTATTGTGAGTTAATGTAATGTCTTTCACTTTGTGGTATTTCACAACTATCGGCATTATAATCAGTGGGGCGTATATAACATATATTAGAATTAAATTTATATGACATAAAATTTAATAAAAGAAAAATGGGAAATGTTTTAATGATTATGCGTAATTGAGGAGCCCTAAAAAGCAGAAATTCGAGATTTTTTTTTAATTCAATTTTTTAGGGGCATTCAATAAATAGCATATTATTTTCTTTATTATAATTGTTTTGTAACTAAAATATTTGTCAATCGATATCTTTTGTCTTTTTATCTAGATGTTCATTTTCACAAATCACAAAATGGATACGTATGAAGAAATATAAGCGTGACGAGACATGGATTCAAATAGACGACGCAACTATATACTGTATATGATTTGCGTGTCAATTTATTGCCCCAATAGGCTCAAGAGAGTCTACTTGGACTTTTGTTAAAGCAGCAGTACAGTAATGTAAGCTTCGGATTGGAGTATGATTTCCTACATAAAATTTTAGTCAAATAAGTTAACAAAGGTGACAAAAACAGCTAACAGGTGATATTTTAGAAAATAGGAAAGGAGAAGAGTGAGAAAGGAAGGTTTCTATTAATAAATGTGTGTAGAAATGTTATGTGGTCTCGATACACTCCGCGAAATTAATACGATATACTACGAACTTATAATTTATTATATAGTATTAGAAAACACGTTTTCTACTTATTGTAGTCTTCTTAATAGTTGGTAAATAAAAGCTATTTAGTTTTTGTAACATCGTACTAAGAAAAAAATTTTGTTAAAAGTTCACACAGATAGTAGCGTTGTCTATTATCCATGTATGTATGTGTACACCAAGACAGAAGGACAAAATTTCTTTAAAAAAAATATATCTAAATTAAATCTAAATTATTAATAAAAGAAACAAAGCGTATTTATTTACATACCTGTAGTCTATAGTTGGAGTCAGCCGTCGCAGCCGCGGCTAAGAATGGGTCGTAATATACACTGTAAGTGACAAAGATATTTTATTAACGTATTTAAATCATGGTTATTATTTTTAAATTAAATCAAAATATCATTTTTTTAATACAAATAAGTCTAATATAATTAATCTATTCATATTTGTAGCGTATGTACTACATAATGTATAAATAGGGCATTAAATAAGAAGTAATAAAGGAAGAGACACTACTCAAATACTACTCTAATACACAAATAATGAACATTCATTTGATAGTGAAGGAAACATAAAGAAATATTAAATTGCGACACTATAGGTACGGCTACAATGTGTGCACGTTACGAGTCTGTGGAACGGAAGTGAGAAGCTCTAAACGGCCAAGCCAAACGATCCAAGTAATGTTACTTGAGTTAGTTACATTTAATACAAAATTATTGTGTGCTACTAATTACAATACACTGTGAAGGTTAATTAAAGAACTATAAAAAAATTAATTCATACCATCTGATTAGGGAAACAGGATTAGGGAGAAAAATATCTTGGACTGTATTGATAGGATACGCCTCGTCTCCTGTGATATTTCATTTAGACATATACTGCAAGTTCTGAGCACTTTACAAAAAAGACGTATTTACGTCTTATGCTCAAGCAAAACTTTTTACAAAAGTAAAACAAATTTATTTAAACGTCAATAACGTAGAAATAAAAATAAAAGACACAAAATTCATTCTATTGATAAAGTACTTATATTTATTATATTTACAAATGGTCACCACAAGTTTTTTGGCTTAAATAAAAAATTTTGAATAGGTACACAATAACTCAAAATAAGTCTCGCTGACCTTCAATCTAGACTGACAGACAACCTGATTTTGTTACAAATGGGTTATGAATTTATATTATACTAGTTTAGAAATTATTTTTATCATATAATCGCACATCTAATTCTCACAGTTCAAATTTATTGTAATAAGTAACTAATGCTACTGTCGTGTCATTTCAGTTTTCTTAATATGTAACGAGGCGTTCAGGATTTGGTTTGATACATAGATTTGGGATAGGTTTGACAAGTTCTAGTTTTTTAAACAAGCAGCAAATAACTGTTTTTGTAGATACGTTTACACTACCGGACGCATGAGAAGGAATAACACGCAAAATATTGCTGTGTAGGTCCATTTCATGCGAGTAGAAATGTAAACGGATCTGCAATTAATTTCATTTACAACATAAGAGGGTCGGCTCCTTGCTGGAGGTGGTGTTGAGATGTGATGTGCGACTAGGAGGTGGGTTAGGAGGGACGGCATTTTGGAGTGGGAGGAGGTGCGTGTGGGGAGGTGAGTACTCACTGTGCATATGCGTGCAACGGCGACGCGTAGGCGGCGGCGCGGGGCAGGACGGCGTGCGGGAGGGTGTGCGCGGAGGGCGGCGGGTGCGCGGAGGGGCGCGGCGGGCGGGGGCGCAGCGCCGGCGCGGGGACTACATGCAACACACATGGACAGAGCTAACATGCGGGGTGGGGCGGTACCTGCGTCGCTGGGCGGCGCGCGGGGCCAGCACGAGCGGCGGCGCGGGCGCGGCCGCCGGCGCGGCGCCGAGCCACGGCCACGTCACGCCCGACACCCGCAGCCCTGCGCACACACCGCGCCTCTACACTCACTACCTCGCTACCGCGCTTGGCTGAGTGCGCGACCAGCCGCGAATGCCGGCCACGGATCCATTCGTTCTATCCGACTCCATCCAGAGATACGTTTACATTCCATTCATACATTTAACCCCAGATGCCCGATCTCCAGATTGTTATTGCTATGTAGGTATGCACTAGTGAGATCGAAATCCGAGTACTTTCGGATTTCGTGGTATTATTTACTTAGCTATCACAGATATTAAGGCCATGCTACATTACAGCAAGTCGGACATTGCTAATTTACATACTTGTTACCAAACTTATAGTTAGATACGAATAAATACGTATGCATATGTAAGTAGCCCTTGTCTTTCAGCTCTAAAGAAGCATGGCCGACAGAAAACCTTTACAAATGCTGTAGAGTCAATCAAATGACATACAAGATTTCATCGAGCAGTAGAACTAACAACCACAGTCGTCCATCACATTGAGTAAAGAAAAAATCATGCTGGTATAAATGTTATATATATAATGTAAATATGTAAACGCAAAAGCTTTCATTTCAGTCGAAATATCTATATATAGTAATAGAAATATTTTGGCTCACCTTCCGGCCACTGGACACAGACTGAAACAAAATGAAAATAAATTTTTAATCGAAGCAAAGTCAAAATACAAAGCCGTTCGCTTCTAAAGCTAGCACAAAGAAAACAAACCTAACAGACATTCCCCACTACAGATTGAAATTTTAATAGTGCATTAATGAAGATACATTCATTCCAGCAAATGTAAATACGAATAAAATTCTTGTATAGCGTTAGAAAGTGTATATTGTTCTAACAAGCCGACTAGGATTGGTGTAGTCCGTTCATACAGTGTGTTAAATTTTTCAGGCAAACACTGACGCCGGAGACAGCCTTTTTATATTGTTTTTGCTTGTAACTTCCATGTTCGCGTTTAAGGCGTGATCTAATCAATTATTACTTTTACTTTCAATGACTAGAATACGGTCATAAGACATTCATAGGTCATAAGAGATCAATTGCAATTGTCAATCAACGAGGTTTCAAGGATTACAAATCCCCCCCCAATTACATTAAAGATCAGCCAATTTCTCACGCGCTATATGTATTTTTTCATTGAGAATTTTTTTCATTCTTTGAGTAATTATTAGTCATTATAAAATAAATATCTGTGTTGAATTGAAAAACCCTCGTTTACATTCGGTTAATATTTTCTAAAATATTTCTTTGTGTGGAATACAGTAAATCTTTATATAGCCGTGTTGTTCTTATGTCGTATTTTATTTCGGGCAATGCAAAATGAAATGTTTGCAACTACAGCGCTCAGAGTCAATGTGTTTATAATTACGTGAATAATTCAAAACTTGTATAATGCGATAAGATGGATAAGATGTTTACTCAGCTATGTATATTTAAAAAAAATGTAGTTAATTTTGTCCTGGCTTAAATTTACTTCAATATTACCAACAGTACAAGTCACGCATAAATTAAAAATAGTAAAATATCTAAAATGGCGAACGCCGCGTGAATGTAGGTGGCGCGATGGGACGAGGCGCTACGTTTTTGTGTTTTACACATACAGGATGAAATGAACAAGAGAGCATACAGTAAACACTAACTCACGTACGCTGCCAGATTTCTTTGATATACAGGCAATAACTGATTTGGAGCAATTACAGGAAGGGAGGTGGCAGCGTTTAGCGTAAGTGTTGTGATCACATTACTTGCATTGCCCACTAATATACCCATTTCCCTATTTACTGTTATGGAAGTGCATTAACTGTACAAAGTATAAGGGTGCGCCAGCGCGTATCGCGTGCAACTGTATGCGCACAGACTGTCTCCGGCTGCCGACAGCGGCGTCATTCTCTAAGTGGCATTCATCTACTTGCATTCAGACACGGATCTAGCCAACATGTAAGTAATAAGTACATTAACATGGACAACACCGATCTTTATAATTCCAGCTCTCTCACCCAAAGTGGGAACTGATCCATTTCTAGCCAGTATAACTGGATGGTTAAAAGAGAAATCCAAGATGCATTATAATTTAATAGCAGTGATTGCACGAATACGATGTGTGATATTAATATAACGATAGTGGGAGTGTTAATAAAGATAGCAAAATAATATTTTAATATGTATGGATATAGATAAGTAAATCGATTATTCATATTACGAAAAGGTTGTATTTAAAACATTGAATGATCGCGATGTATTAACTCAGATCGTTGTAAATGTAAAGCAGGCTTACCATTGGGTACGGTCGGAGGTTTCTTAGTCTGCACTCGTGCCGTCGCATTATTAACCTGATTCGGAAGTAAACTTTGTATCAGATTGTGTTCTCTAAGCAAGGATCAAATTATATTGGCCGACTTTCTTATATAAAAAAAAAAACAGAAAATTATTATAAAAAAGAAAATTAATTTATTCATCACAAAATAATATGACTAATTACATCTCAAGAAATGGGATTCGAACCCATTAGTTCTGAGTCATTCTGTTTATTTATTAAATTAAAATATTACATAGATATTCGTAAAGAAATCTCGGTTAGTTTGAAAAATACATAATTAAAGTCGACCAATGTTATGCCAAATGTCTATTGATAAAAGTTATCAAAAAGAGTTAATTAACAAAAGTTTTACTTTAATTTCTATTCATCTTTTAGACATTTGACATTTTTAGTTAGGTAGGTGTAGGGATTGAAAATAAATGTGATCGCATCTATAGGGAAAATAGATAATTCTAAAGAATGATATATTTCGGATGCCAGTCAGTCGTCTAGTATCATTGTTAGTGGTTCAAATAATAACTGAGAATAAATAGATAGAATGGAACTAAAAAGTGTGTGTTTGTAAACTTTCTTACCTCTGCGGCATTGTGACGGTACGGTTCGTTCTACATTTCTCTGTGAGACACTCTCTCTTTCGATCGGCATTTTAAATGACCGTCTAGAGAGTAAAGGGATAAAATAAATAAGGTTTGTTTGTGGATTAGACTGCGGCATACTTAGTGCTAAACCCGCGCCGAGGCGCCAGGTAGGGGCGCGGGGGCGCGGGGGCGCGGCGGCGCGCTAGCATGACATAACTACAGAGCAGACGAGCGCAGGTTGCGGTGGGCGGTGGGCGTAGGAGCGGGATGTTATAAGTTACATAGTGCTACGGATGGTATTCATTGAGTCATGCACACCTCTATCTTTCTGCCCTCAACCACGGTGCCGTGAAGACGCTCTCGTGCTCGCTCCGCATCACCACTATTTGCGAATGTTACAAAACCGAATCCCTGCATGCAAGACAGACAAAACATGCATTAAAAACAGCGTCGCTCAAAAAACAACGTGCAACAAAAATTAACATTTATGCATTGCATATTCTTTATTTAAATAGTCTAGTGAAATATCGAGAGGATTATATTTATTTTATTACGTTGATACTTTGAGCGTATTCTAGCTGAATGGGTACACATAAGCTTTTGGATTACAATAAATTAATAATGTCGCTCGACCTAGTAGTCTGTACTATTGGTAGGAGAATTCGTATCACTGTGTAACGGGCTTGGAGGGTTCTCTTCGAAACTAATTTGATAGTCACTACTTGAATTAAAATGACAAGTCATTATTGTGTGGAATGTTAGCTGCAATTTGATCTATACAGAAAAATCACCGGTCATGCACATAACTATCACAGGCTAATTGGAGCTATGGTAATATTACAATGGAACTTACACACGTAGAATATGTTTACACGGTAAAAAATAATACAGACTTCGACATAAAGTTTACATTTTAACATTACAGTTGAAAGTTATATACTAAATAATCACCATCCAACAGTCAGGAGCTTCGTATGTAAACCTAACGCTAATGAGTACAAGTACATAATTACATAACCTGGCTAAACCTTTGTATATAAGCACTAGTGTGTACCTACTGTACATCAATAATGCTTTCAGATTGTGCATATATTGTACAGTGCTAAAATTTTCTAAGCATTTTACTTTTGAAGCAACTTAGTTACTTAATCAAGTATCCCAAAACTTGTTAAATTTTATTATTGATGTGAGTTACAAATAAAATTCAACAATTTATTCGAGTAAAATTGCATTCAAAACACAGGACATGATGTCATTAAAAATTACTCGTATCAATTGATCGTGCTAAGACAAAGTATAAACTACTATTATCATTACATGGTGATAACCCATAGATACAAAAAGCAGCTAGCACAGCACACAATACAGTGGAAGAGACGAGTTGTGAAAGTGGCAAACAAGTTGCTGATTGTACGAAACGCTTACACTTATAAAAGCAATGACAGCTCTATTATTACCATTCTGAGTGCAAATATTTTAAACAACAATATGGGCAGAGAGAAAGAGAGAGAGAGAGAGAGCGAGATAGGGCGGTGGGAATCTTTAAACAGTACAATCATCTAAACAGAAGGGACCGGCGAGCGTCCAGTCCGTGTGAATCGCGGACGAGGCGCGAAGGTACAAGGCGCTACGGGGCGGACGCACGCGCACGCAATGCAACAAGCTATCAGTGCGGTTGACAGATAAAATTCTATCCAACAGACGAGGTAAACACAAGTGACATTCGATAAAGCCAAACTATGTGATGCGCCCTAGTTACTTCTATGAGATAGAACATATTACGAATACAGTTTAATACGGATTAAACACATTGTTTAGAATCAGCGAAATATACATGCCCAAAAAAATGAAAATATGTTCCCCTGTTAGGAAGCGTATGACCGAACAAACTGTTTAATAATATGTATTAATTGGAGTAGAAATACTACGGATTTAAAAAGATTGGTTTAATTAAATAGATAAATATTTCAGAATGATTGTTCATCCAAACTACACACACGACATAGTGAAATAAAAAAATAATACTTGTAACATATACAAAGCTAAATGTAATATTAGGTGTTATAGATGAAGAAGAACCATAGAGTGGAGTAGTTTAGACGACAACAAAAGTAGGTATTATTAGTGATGAATAATAGAGCTGTCCTGAAAATATGATTTAGGAAATCAGCTGTTATAGTGACGATGCATCATTCTCTAATACTGCATATCCCAATGTGAGGCACTGAAGAAAAAAATAACTTGGAGCTATTATTTCAAAAGAGTAAAATATTTTCTGACATGAGCGAGCATGGACTACTTGAGGGGTGGTCACCAAACTGACACAAGGAAAGCAGTAAACACGAAAAAGCGGTCAATCCAATCAATTTTTAAAATCACTTCGATAATATCTCTCTGTTCATCTTATGGGATCCGTCATTTACATTAAGTTGTTTTTTGAGTATCATTAAAAATGTTTTAATTAATGTTACTATTAACAGTTTGAACACCAGTGACTTACTTTTATAATTTAAATAATTACAATATATTTATAATTAAATTTTCAGACTATTACAAATAAGAGATCCGAAGAATGAAAAGTATGTCAATGGTACAATTAAGATAAATTCATTTCAAATCAGAATAATAGACATTATTATTCAATGATAATATACAATGCAATTAGAGATACTGCACCAAACATTAAAACCAAGAATATGCTATGAGAAAGAAAATTTGTTTAAATCAATCAATATTATTTTATCTAAGCCCATTTGCCTGTAGACTTATGTTAAACCAGATTAATTAATAAAATCACATGAATTGAAAGTGAATAAGATTTTAAAAATATTATTGCAAGGAAATATTTGACTAAACCTTTTAGTTACTTTAGTTTGGGCAGCAATGTACTAATAGAAATGTTAGTAGAACTTTGCAGTTATTGAAATTAAATTGACAATAATTTACAGTGAAAATATGGATCTAATAACAACAGCTGCAAAGAGAAATTTGAATATATTTTTTTATTAAAAATTACGGGAACAGCTAAGATTTATTGTCAAGTTTTTAACTTTAATACTTATTTAGAAACTTCAAAAAGTACAATTATTTAGAAATTATAATATATTAATAATAAACAATTATTCCCATAATTTATAAATAATCATTTGTTGTAAATGAAGCAAGAAACATAACATATTAATGAACACTAGTCCAACCGCTCGCGCCTCTGTAATTTTATTGTGCTTACCGATTTCAATGAACAATGTAGTAGGTGGAGAGGTTTTAAAATTTTACATAATACGAGTTTTAGAATAGCCTCATAGTTCGGCTCTAATATACTACTAGTTTAGAAAAACCTAAACTAAATAGTCTGTCATTTATAACAGACCAGTGCTTAAGGCAATCCAGTAATCCAGTAATCGATATCTTGTAATATCTTTTGGATCTACAGGTACTGTTTACACGACTGTGTTTCATTGGATTAGTGGATTGTCATGTTTTTTTTTTTTCAGTATTAAAGCAACAATTAAATATTTGTACATAGATACTACTACTGTTTACATACAAAATTTATGTAGATGATATTATTCCAATCATAAGAAATTATCTTGCATAAAGCAAGTATGTGTTCGTTTATTGCCTCATCATCATTAAATTATTATAATAATATGGATAAATGGCCACAATGAAATCGTCAGATTCCAAAGAGCCACTTTGATTGTCTTAGTGAATAAAGAACACTGCTTACCTTGGAGCCACGTTCATTGAAGATAATTTCTACATCAAGAATTGTGCCATATTGCTGAAATACAAAATGTTAAAAATTAAAATTCAATCTAGAATTAACAACATCGAAAATTCATGCCGTGCTTTGTTTATATAATGACAATAAATATATATTTAAATACGTACCCCAAACATATTTCTGAGATCAGGGTCTCTAAACCGGAAAGGTATATTTGAGACGTGTAACCGTTTGGGCTGAGATGCTTGTGAAACCGGTACGAGGGCCTTCTCCGTGTTAGCGGTAGCAGCAGCATTGGCGCTCGCTGCAACGGCTGCGCCGGCCGCAGCTGCGGTAAGCGCGGCCGCCGCATGCGCCGCGTGCGCCGCTGCTGCCTGTTGCGCGACCACCGCTGCCACACTTACTGGTGTGCTTTCTTCATTGGATTCGCCTTCACTTTGCTGTAAACATCATGAAATTCTCATTAGTCTCAATTTTATACAAGTAGATATTCAGTACTATCTTAATTGCTTTCTCTCTATCTATCTTTACTTGAAGAAAATGCCCTTGACATACAAGGGCATCCTTGCATGAATTTCATTATACTTTATCTCATCCTCTTTCATAATTTTGCATTTGACGCTCTCAAATAGTGCATGGTTTATCTAATTATTACCATTTAATCTAGATCTCTCCTCATATCTACATAATAATATATTTCGTCATCAATTAATTGGATATTTTTGCTACACGTCCCAACTATCAAAGCATTCCCTTCTTTTTCACACCAACATCTTTTAAATTCACTCGGTCTTACATTACTAATCTACTATATCACGAATTTAGGAATGAATCTAAACTACATTTTCAGTAAGTGTAATCCTTGGATTTCTTTGCTTACTCTCAAATAGGTGTTACGAGATGGTGACCAATTAAGGTTTGATGACGGAACAGGAAGATAGTCATAGAATAAGATATTCAGCGTGCCGTTATTAAATGTACGATAAAGATTTGTTAGATTAAATGAGCTTCTTATCTTATTGTTACGAATCAAAACTAATTACAATCAATACCCAACTTACTGAGCTATTATTCTGATTTTCTATTGAATTTGGAGCATGTGTCTGTGGCGGTGGTTGAGGTGAAAAATTGGCAGGTGGTAATGGTGCCGGCTGCGGTGGACCTTCACTTTTGACGAGGGGCGGTTGTGGGGGAGCGGTGGGTCCGCCAGATTCTGCCTTCACACCGGCCAGAGCATCTCCGTTGGCGGCGAACTGTGCAGCTGCTGCCGCAGCCGCCGCCGCCGCAGGGAACGGGGCCGCCATACCCGTCCCCACCATGTGCTGGAATGAGCGGGCATTATTTTTATTAATATATCAAATGTAATTTATTAAAACTCTCATTGCAAACATCAGTAAACATAGACGTATTTTTTTTTCGCTAGGTTAAAATAATAATATATAATCAAAATAAAACTATAATATAGAAAAATAAGTAAATTTTAGATCAAGGACTCTCGTCTAGGTATGAGATGTTGCAATAAATACGGCCGATAATAGTTGACGTTTCTGGGCTGCGGATCGAAATATTGACGCGAGTGCTGGTGCCAAAACACGATTCGCACCGCACCGCACCCTCACCTATAATCGTTCGCCGGACTCTACCAGCAACACGTGTACGTCGTCCTACGATAATAATAGGAAATACTGGGATATTCACTTTTACACTTTTTACAATATGAAACAAAAATACTTGACTCAAACTCAAGAATTTGTTTTGTCCCATATTGTCTATATCTATTTGTCCCATACCCCGTACAGGCAAACGCAATGTAGTGATAGAGCGATGACCTCAAATGCGTTGCAGTGAGCAAGTGGATGCAAGTGACTCGGGCAAGTATCTTATGGCAGTCTTTGGGGGATACGCATATTCAGCAGTGGACAGTTAATGGCTGTTATGATGATGAAAATAGGATTTAATATCATTCGCTACTAGCCAACCTTTGTGACCAGTACTAAATCATGAATGTGGTACCTACTTATTTATTAATATAGGTTATGAGATTCATAAGATGACCATGAACTCTTTTCCGGAATAGGTTATACAATTCTTAGGGCTATAGTATAAAACATGACGTAATAAAATATAGAATAAGGTTTATTTTCTACTGATTACTATGCAGACAAACATGCAAGACAAACACTAGGTAAAAAAAAATCTTTGTAACATTGTGACAACTTGGGAAATGAAATAGAAGAAATATATTTTTTATCCATGATAATAAGTTTTTAAATCATTCACTGTATATCTTTTAACAAGTTAGTTAAAACTGTTTCGATAGAAGAATAAAAAACAATTTGTTTTTATTTTATTTATTCCACCAAAAAAGTTTCTGTAATACTAATTTGAACTGATCTTCAAAGTTAATTAACAGTAAGTTCTGGTTTAAACCAGGAAATTCTAGTTATAACATAGTTTTTAGTAAAACTATTTTTAACTTTAAAACACGTTATAATTAGAAACGGGTTTTAACTGTAACATATATACTATATTATAAAAAGTCCTGACTGACTCATGAACGTATAGACGAAACTATAGAGCAAATAATACTAAATTTAGAACAGCGGATTCCTTTTATGACCTATACAAATAGTAAAAAGAATATTTCAAAATTCGGTATAAAAATAGGGATGGAAGTTTATATTGTATGAGAAAATATTTATATTTTATAACACTTGAAATTTATTATATATTTCTTATATTAAAAATAATGAAATGTTAAATAATAGATGATGTCTTTTATTGATTCCCGATTGATGTTTCTTTGGCGAAAATGTTCAGTTTCGCCTGTATAACACTCCTTTATAGGGTGCTAACGATTTCGATTTCAACCTGTATATAGAAAATAAAAAAGACAATATTGCAATAATAAAAACAAGTTCACTCAGAATTATATATAGATATATAATTCTCGTTCTTGTTACAACTTTTTTTAGAACTAAGTACTCTCTGTAATGTTTTGTTTTCTTCGAAACACCCAAAGGGACTGACGTGGATTTGGAAACTAGACAACGTATAGAGATCATATCCCCAGGGATACGATTGATAAAAGGCAACTTTTACTAAAAACTATGTAGCTATTATTTTACATATATATACGTTTATAATATAGACAAGATATCATGAAACACATATAAACCTTAGACAGTGTTTATTCCTCTCAATTTCAACATCGATTATAAAAATTTTATATTTTGAAAACTATACAAAAATAAATATATACTACGACATTTTCATAATATTGTGGATAAAATTGTCTATCTAATTAATATTTATTTGATATTGTCAAAAAAACCGCACAAGAAATTATAAACAAGTGTAACTTGTTCTTAGATATTACATATTGTGATTTTGTTGATTCTTAGCTCGGATACGGCTACATTTATAATAAAATATAATATCTGCTTATGATTACTAACTTTTGGGATTTGTTATAGGACTGTTTTGTATACATATGTACTGTATAATGTTAATAATGTTTGTATCTCTTTTTACTCGACTCACAGTTAATGTGTATACATATTGCATATGACAAATATTACTGATAACGAAATATTCATTATAATATTCAAAATAATCAATTAAGTTCGTTATTGTATCTATTAAAAACGAGATTACAAATAGAACTCTAAAGTTAATTTGAGAACCTTGGTTAACTAAAATTTTCACAAACATATTTCAACTAATGTTTTGATTTTTTCAATTTAAAGCCATAATAATGTTATAAAAGACTGAACTTATATGTGAAATAAGACAGTAATCTAAAAATTACGTAAATACGTCGCTCGTTTTTATGAATGGGGGGATCTAAATATGATTAAGCAACAATATTGTCGTAATAAATAACAGCTGTTATATTATTTGGCCTTGTTGTCACGCACAAGCGCAAAGTACTACCCACTAACATCAATCCAGTAAGGTCTTAAATTTTCAAATAAAGAGTATTATGGTAAAAAAATAATAAAATCAAGAATCAAATACCTTAGCTGCCATCGAAATCATAACTTAGTAATCAGTTAGACATGAAACGAAATTATGTTTTGCTCGATATAATGTTTTATATTTAGTAAAATTTGTTGTGACCAATGTAAAATGTGAGAATTATGTACGTAATACGTTGTTTGTACGTCATTATTGCGTCATTATTTCGCTTACTACTTATATTTTCGGAGTATCCTGAAATACGCTATTTTAGTTATATATTTTTTCATATATTACACTAGATTTAAGAGTATACATGTATACAAAAAACGTTTCCTGGCTTGATCAATTCTAATACGCTTGGCGAAATTGTGGCCATGTCGAGCGTTACGTTTACCCCATCATCCCCCTTGGAAATACAACAGTTGTAAGTATATTTTTATATACTTGCGAAAAAATGTCTCAATCCAATAACAAACCGCCAAAGTAGACCGTTGGTTTTCTGTTAGTCGAATAGCACCTAGTAGCAATGTACGTATGTATCAACGCTGTAACTTTAATATTGTATCTACATTTAATTTTAATTAAAATTTATGTATTTATGAGAAAATAAATTGTTTGAACCTAATTTGTTTAAGGTTATAATGACAACACTAAGGTGACTTTATAAAAAAAGATATATTTTTTTTTTAAATAATATTATAATTATAAAGTCTATTAAATAAAACAGTTCATAATTGCTTATACCAATATTATAAATGTGTGTAGTATAGGAGAAATTCTTACCATTGATTGAAATAAACGCAAATAGTGCGCAGGCAGGAAACAAGAAAATTAGGAAGTGGCTATTGGACGCAATTGCGACAACTGCTCCCGCGTTCCTCGAAACATAGTTAACATAACATAGTGTACAATTACATTGTAATATATGCGAAGAAAATTGAAAGTACACTTAGTAAATAATGTCTTAATGTGAAAGTTTGTTACTTCATACCTTAATTTTATAACCAATAGTCATTAAATTTATGCACATACGTGGTATTTGAGATAGCGATAATATATAGAGAAAGAGATAAAAAAAAGTCGCGATTATAATATTGTACACATTTAAGTAATAAATTTTAAGTTAAGCATAACAAATTAAGATCTGAAACAGAGGATCTATATTACATTACGTGTATTCTGTACTCATTATTGGCGTAACAGATCACTAACCAATGTAAAGCAGTATAAACTAATGGTAACTAAGGAATACTACGTATCAATCCTAAAGATGTTTGTACGTGTATCCAACAAATTAGTCATTCTTGTATAATGAAATGACTTAAAATTAGTTTATATTGTTTACTTACAAACAGCCGTTCCGAAGAGATAGCGTAGTAAGGATTAGTGTGGGCTTCTGCGTCTTCGCCGCTGTCGACAAGCGACGAGGGGCCATGAGATTACATTTTCGTCCGCCCAGCCGCCCTATTCAGTTACCAGTACGCGTACTAGCCACCCTCTCACCACATACATCTTCTAGTTTCACGATCAAATTCCTCGAATTATTCGTATAGTGTATAAGTATATTGATTAGATGGGCCCTACTTTGGTATTTCCGAAAGTGAAATTAATGGGATTTATTAACATAAAAATTGGAAGCGTGTTTAAGATCCACACTAACTGAGGACTCATTATCAGCCTGTGATGGATAACATTGTTTTATTACAAAATATACACTTCTACTGTTTAGTCAACAAGTACACATTTTATTATTCAATCTGTGCTATCAAGAAATCAGCAATCAAAGTACATAAACTTGAGTACTGAATAGGTAATAATTTGTTATTGTAATTCTCTGTCAGCGAATCGTCTATTTCAGTTTATTTAATAGAGATTTTTATAGTCTCCTCATTATTATATACCTATAATACTGCTTCCTTCAACAATGCCTTCAATGCTTTCCACCCTCACCGGAATATTATTAAAAAGACGCATCAACGGAGCACAACAAAACATTGTGAGTAAATTGTAATATCTTTAAAATAGGTACGAATCATTTTTCTCCATGTATTATTCTTTATAAATGAATACAATTTTCCGTGAATAGCACAATTTTACTTTGTGTTCCATTTACAATAGGCCGCTCGGTGAAAAAACGTCGCGAGACCTCTATTGAAGTTGGAAGGGTCCGACGATACTAATACCGATACAGTCAATAGTGGTGGGTGGCGGGTTTTGTTGAAGACATTATTAATCACGATAGAGGAGGTGGGGCGGGTCCTCCGTTCTCACTGCTCCTGAGCCCTATTCTTCCTTTCCTTTTAGACTGAGAGCACCGAAAGGCCGCACACACCATCGTTGACATTGTCTGCGTACAGAA